CCATTCCAAGCCAAGTAAAGAGGCCAAAAAGACGCAAGACTAATATACATGAACACTTGGAGTGAAAATGAGCGACTAATACACAAGATTATAGTTTTCGGCAAAAACACTTTTTCATTGCCAGCAACATTCTGCTCTCCAGGACAGAGTACTGAAGTCTCAAAACACAATAAATCTAAGCAACAACACGAGAGTGTATCAAGGAACAAGGTGGGGCCGGGGCGCGAAGACGAATCCTCTTGAAACTCTGCATGCCATAATCCTTACAAAAGGTTAGAGCTTGCACTAGGTCACCCCACTCGCTGCCTATTCGACTCGAGAGGCTGTTTTAGCAAATGGTTTAATAATGTTCGAGACTGTTATGACAGACGTTCCGTGAAACTGAAACTAATCATACTTGGCCTGTGCTGATGTCAGTGCTGATGATAATCAATCGCCCCTTGCCTGGAATGCAAAACATCTCAATCTTCGCAAGATGCTCTGGTCCCAGTCGGGAAACTAAATGTGTGTGACCCATTATTGAAAGACCTTGCAGGTCAACCTTCTCTGACCTGATCGACTTGAGGGATCATGTTGGCGTTGTTGAATTCTTGGATCAGGAGATTGTTAAATCCTCGTGCAAAAGAGGCGCAATTGCTCTACTCTAAAGTGTGAGATCATTAAATGATTTCTCTCCTGCACTTGCCTCATCCACAACTAGAACCAGACCCACATACTTTTCGAATCATATACAATGGCCCCCCTGTCCTGTTCTCGGATGCTTGAGAAATTCTGACTCAGTTTTAATAGGTAGGTTCGATGAGATTGATGTGTCCATGGAGAAGTTTTCTGAGCAGCATCCCACGTCGATCCGATCGAAGGAGATGGGATCGATCCACGAACAAAAATGTTCTGCTTAAGATCAGTTAGAGCGCTCGACCAAACGTTTGTCAAGTAGCACTTGTATATTACTCCTGGTCTTTGTATAGAGAACTTCCACCACTGCGCAACGAGGTACAATTGGAATAGCAATCTCCACTGTCGTCGTTTCTGTCAAAGCTTGAGAGTTCAGGCTCGAGAGCAACTTGAAGGTATCGTCGAATAACAAGGGCCTAACGAAGATGATGTTCATCCTCTATCCCTGAAGCATTCAAACATTACACACTCATCTGTATCATCATATATAACTATACTGTTCTATCTCATTGGCCAGAGAATCCTTAAAAACCTGGAGCATGTTGAGTGGAATGCATTCCAATAATAAAGATGTGCATAGATAGATGAACCAAGTGATACTGTAACCTTATCGTTTGTGGAAAAAGCAGAGTGCAATCTTCATTATGTTACAATTATACATTCATGCTTGAGATGTAAAGCAGACGTTTGCGTACGGTATGGTGCGCAACCTAGAGAGTAAGGGTATGGTATGATACTCTTACCCAGTACTGTTGCGATACACTAGAGAAGTTTTGCCTCCCATTTAAGAATTCTATATAGGTCTACTACTCAACTGACAACATAATATTCCCTTCAAACTTGGTGAAATTTACTGCATATATATCAAGCTCTTGTTGCTGCAAATTTTATTTTCTTTGGATTTTTTTTTCACCATGTTCTTTTTAAGATCTATGAGGTTAATGTTCGTTTCGTTCTTTTATTCACATTATATCTATTCCCCAATAAACATATGAATTCACAAAACTATATTGGCAATGAGATGGCATGACATAACTATCTATGATCTCATTAGAAATATGATGTTGCTATTGTTTGTAAAAAAACAAACATAAATCTAACATGAAATAGGGGTTGGTATATTTTGCACTTGACTAAGAATATGAAAATTCTAAACATCAAAAGACTAACTATTCCTTCTATGATTGATAAAATTTTCAAAATATAATAATCTATATTCCTAAGTATGAAAAAAATAAAATGATAACAGCTGAAGGTCTTTATACATATGCATAAAAAAAATGTCTACCAAAAAAATTTTAATCTTGAAAGCCACATGAATATATGTATATTCCCCTTTGATTTGAATTAATATTAATGATGTGGAAAAATACACTCCATTGTGATTGGAAATAATGAAAAAACCACGGAAAGTGAAGGGAGTCCATGAAGCCTTATAGGAGATATTAATTGACTAGAAATGATCAACAATGAATTGTTTTGCAATATATTGGATTGAGGAAGTTCAAGTCTCTTGAGGCCTCCAAGGAAGCTTGCTACTTTCCTATTCCAACTTGGAGCACAATTTTAATCCAGATGATTAGTATTTGTTTCAAATTGACAAGATCCCCAGAAGCTAGAACCCGTACTTCTCATCTGCGTATATTGAGAAAGAATCAGATCTTACCTTCTAGAGTCCATTTTTCCATAAACATACATTTGTTTCTACACCTTGTTACATTGTTCATATCAAGTTCCACCGTAAATTAAACCTTAATCATTGAATATAACCTAGTCTGTCCGCTAACTTCCAATTCTGCCACCGAGCACTGAAATTTGTATACATTAATTACATGGTCAGCATTGGACCTTAGAGATGGACTTGGAAATGTCATGCATTAAATAGCCCTGCGTTCCCTCGATGACGATTGAAGAGTGAATTTAATGTCTTGCACAATGTCCGCTTCGAAGTCATTTCAAAGGTTGAGTCTCTAAGCAATGTTACTTGTTGGCTCTCAACTTCCACATGCTGTTTTCTACATTCCGGATACAGATGCAAGAGAATGTTTATCTGGATCTCCAATTTGACGATCTATCTGTAGCAACCCCTATTACTAGGGGCTTGTTATGTATGTAACCCAGACCTCATTAAAAGTGGCATTTTAGTAAAAAGTGACACTTTTGCCACAATTAAAATTGGGCCGATGCCACAATTAAGCTTTTTTTTCTATAATGACTCTTTGGTTGCAATTGAGCTTTCCTGCGTATCTTTTTAAGAGTTTGCAAGCACGGTCTAAAGTTTACGATGTGCTCGGCTGAAAACGGAAGAATTTTATTATCCCAAGCAAGCATTAGATTTCATTACAGCCCGTAAATGTTTGGAAAGAGAATCCTTGCATATGTGTTTTTGAGACGATTGTGGACAGAAATCGGAATAATGCTTGATCACCTGATGGATGTAATTTCTAAAAGAAAAGAGTATTACATACAAATCAAAATTCTAAAAATCTAATGTAAAAACTCTAATGTAAGAATATTCTGATCATGAAACCAAATTTCTCTCCAATCCTAGGAAACTCATGTCAGCCATGTTACTCATCTTGAGCTGAGATTTTGAGGAGGAATACAAATCAATTCAATTGGAAGTTGACACTATTCAGATGAAATCTAATATACTCATCGTTAGGATCAAGAACCTTGAACTCATCTCTTCTCAAAGTACTAGCTCTCTCTGCATTGAGAATCCTCACAATGAATTATCATGCGACTTATTCATGGACTCTTCTAAGTTCTCGTTAGCTTTCGATGGCTATAGGTGTCCCTTGAACATAACATGAGGGCGAAAACTAAGTTAGCCACAACAGAGAAACAACCTGCCTCCGTTCTCGTGAAAATAATTTCAATCTCCTATGGTTTCAAGACTGAGACTTAAGTTTTTGAATACAAATGCCACTTTAAAAAAGTTTTGGGTGCCACAATTAACGAAAAGTGGCAAATGCCACTTTTAATGAGGTCTGATGTAACCCAGCTTGGATGACATCTTGTATTTGCACAACATCCTACAATCCTCTCACTGGCAGGAATAGAGAACTTTCACCGTCAGAGTGACCGATGGATAAGATGTCATAATTGAACGATACAGATTTGGAGGATGAACTGAATCTTTCCTACAGCGTTGTTGTTACAAACCAGGATCCCGAAAAGAGCCTCCAGATGCTGCAGTTGTGATTTCATAAGAATCATCAAGCGTCAAGATTTATGCTTCCAGCAGTAACTGTTGCCAGAAATCTGAAAGTCTCTTTAACAGCATAAGTATCATGGCAGTATTGGACACATCGAATGCTGTCTGTACTTTGATGACAATATTTCCTTCATGGATCGATCTGTTGGCTTTGGTGGATTTCGGTTTGCCATGCTGCTTGGAAATATCCTCAATGGACACATGTACTTTTCTGAATTTTTCTCTGCAGTCGCCGGCGCAGGACCAGACGCCTGCAACCGAGAATGAACGTTGCTTCTTATGACGGAGAGTTTTAGGGTTTGGGTTACGAAATCCCAAACCCTCGTCCCATGACCTTGTAAGCAATAAGCTCATCAACAAGGTGCAACAAGTCTTATTGCACCGTGTAAAGTGACCATCGCAGATATTGTGCACTAGCTGCTTTCACATCTGTAAAATCTCGCTCCCTACCTACTTAGTTTGGTTTGAGACTTCCCTGTCATACAGAATTCAATCGGGAAGGTTTCACTCTAAGTGATATATGTCACAGATGATGCCAGACGATACACTTCGTACATGTAAATGTTTTAATCCAGACCTATTAACAATGGAACGACTGGCTCTAAACTCATGGTCCGTAGCCCAACCCACAGCATATTCACAAAGCGTATCGTATGGCTTCATCTGCAACAGATATCGCTATACACAAATTTAGCGAGAGAACCACTCCACGCTGCTGCTGGCATGTTCGTCAGCTGAGGTCGATATCCGCATCAGGAAAGTGTCCACAATCAATCGCCAGCTGCATAAGACTTGTCTGACCGGCTGCTGCCAGTCGATAACTGAGGTCGGCGTGCCGATGCGAACATCGACAGGGCGACGACATTCGCTCCGACCAAAAGTAAGGATTACAAATCTGCGTCTGCCGGGAGTCGAACCCGGGTCTATTGCTTGGAAGGCAATTATCCTAACCGTTGGACTACAAACGCTTGGTGGAATATATTTTGAATAATAGATTATTAATGTGTAATATAAAAAACTCCCGGGATCTAGCGCAGCCGTCGTATATTATTGTGAAGAGGAGGAATGTCGGTCTCAGGTATTTGGAACACAATTCTGGACGCACTCTGCTACCAAATTCATGGAGCACGCGCTCCATGAATTATGAGTTTTGGTCGGTGGCAGATGCAAATTCTCATCTTGTGCCTCCTACCACTTCCGAAGACACGGCTGTCAATCTGTCTGTCTGTCAGTCAGTCACTCACATCGAGGCAAACGTCCGAAGATCGTAAAACTGGACGGTCTTTGAATGTCACGAGCGCTGCAGCGAATAAATGTCGAGCACCGTGGCATGCGCCTACTCCGATGCAGAGGCTGCCTACCTCTGTCTCCGTGTGTTGACACTGCCTCCTTGTGCCCCATCCGTCACCTTCTTACATAATTCACCACCTTTGTTTTCAGCATGGTGCTTGTGATTGGTTCAGTGACTTGATCGTCGATGGTTGTCTTCATGAGCCCGAGCTTTTCGGAGTCCATAACGTCAGACTCGCACTTCTCAGACAGATCCAGCTTCTCGTGACCGGCCGTTTCTGTATGTGCACGATTTCCATCCAGGGAGAACCGAGTGACGACATGTCGAGAGATGTGGACTTTGTGTCTCTTGTCTAAGCTCCTCTTGTGGAGACACGACCAGACGACAGGACGTGATGTTCGACGTGACCGTGCTCAGACGAATTTTGACATCCTGGCCTTCAGCGTTCAGTGGGATGAGATAAAAATGTGGGAGCTCGTGTTTCTTCTGCTCGTGATCGTCCTATACTTCTAGCCATAGCACAAGCGCGCATCAGTGTTTACATGAGAGGACGTAGTTTCCCCAAGTTTGGATTCGGAGAAAATATGAGGCGGTTTGGATTCTGACAGTGGTGACTGGATTCTATCTAGGTGCTTCTATGGCTCCAAAAATTTTGGCGACGGATTTGTGGAAAGGTTTGACAAAAGAAAAGAGCCTAAAACTTCAGCGAGAATTGATGCGACCTTGTCAAATGATAAGACCAACTGGCCGTCAACTTGAAGAAACAGGAGTCGGGCCGGATTTCAGACACAGATTCACCATGCACTGCATCCAGTATTATCAAATAGTTTGGAGCTGGTCTCAGTCGTGGTTTAGCATTTTCCTTGTAAACTTTCTGAGGGCGAAAAGTGGAGTCTGGACGCTAGCAAGGAAAGCAATACATCGAGAAGGTGAGGCGATGGAAAGAGTGCGAGAGGTGGTGAGTCGCTTGCATTCGTTAGCAACTCAAGTGTACCATGGCCGAGGTGAGGTGATGGATAAAGTGAACCAGATGTACAGGCTCATGTGGTTGGTAGCAACGTCAGCCATCCACTGGCGAACTGAGATGGTGGGCATGGTGAAACAGAATGTAATGTCACGTTTTACCAGGTATCTGAAATGTCCAAAACTTTCACACAAAAATGTGCTCACCGCATTTTTCTAGTGCAGAATTGGTCTTCATTGCAAAGTTTACTCTTCGGCATTTGACTTGTTTGTCCCGTTGATGAGTCCCATGAGCAGCAATGTTGTGAGGTGGATTTACGGTTGACCAGTAGTCAAATTGGATGGGGAGGAATCTGAATGCATCTATGGACAAGAAATCGGTGTGAATCAGTAGTATGTATTCCAGGCGTGTCTAACATAAACTCAACCACGTGCGTGCTGTCCAGTTTCTATTATCCTGAAGACGACGACGACAACAATCTCGAGAAGCAGCCGTTCAGGAGAAGATTCCCGGTGGATCGTCTTTATGAACTAATCAAATGCCAATGCGCGAAAATCCAGAAACGAACAGTTAAAATTGTGAGCTGCAAGGTTGTATGGTTCGTGGGTCTGCTTGCCGCTCAAGCTCTCGTGGTATACTTCGTGCATCAGTCGCGAAGCTCATCACACGTAAGAGACTGTCGAAGAGCCCGTCAACTCCCTCATCATCACATGCCATCGGTAGGACGGTATACTAACCACCTCCCACTCTTTAACTGGCCATTTATCTTCCTGAATTTTGGAAAACAAATTTGGAAAGTGTGGAGATGCTCTCGAGAGCAAGGCAAAACGTCCCATTGATTTCCCGGATTTGTTAAACCAGTGATGCACATGATGGTACGAATATGGCTGTTCTGCTGCAGACTGATTATGTTGGTACTCACAATGGTGTGGTATGATCGACGGACAGGCGTGGTACTATGAGCATGTACATTATTATCCGGTTCCACGGCTGAAGATTTTGACAACAGAAGATGGTGCACCTCCGATCCAAAGCCAGATCGCTAGCAGTCCACGAGAAATTACCATCGCCACACACGTAAGAGCCAAGACTATCGCCTTCCAATGCTAAACTCATACTAAGAAGTTCCGACCGAGACCCTCAGAGCTTGAATTTGGTTCAGTAGCTCGATTATGTTGGCTGGACACGTGCATGACGAGAGGCTGAAACTGGAGTGTGGACTATACTTTACTTACGCATGCCTGGAGTGTTGACGATTTAATAGACGATTTAATTAGATAGCGCTCTGATGCATAACCTTCCCAATCTTCAAATGATCTAAATTATGGTTTCTCTATAAGGGCAGACAACAATGGACAGATTCCCTGCAGTGGAAATGACAGCATTCCGTTGGAGTGGTCCCATGGTTCTGGTGGTACTTGTCAGAGTTCTGTCCGAACTTGAATCGACGTACGCCAAACTGGAATTACTACACTCTCGAGTGGAGGCGGAAGGAAGATGTAGGCTGCAAATCCAAATTGCTATTGAAGAAGGTTTTAGAAATGATGGTCAAGCACTGCAAGCTCTGTACCCAGTAAGATACTTCTGATCGTTCGATCAAAATCACCCTCCAGATGGATGCGCTCTGTACATCAAAGAGAAGATGAAATGCCCAAAAGCAAGCAACAGCCAAAAGCATCTGAAGTGTTCGTTTCAGTCAGTGTTCCGGAATTGTGTTTCGCAGTCTAATTTTGCATGTTCTTGCTGCAGATAAACAGCATGCGCAATTTAGCGTTAGGCATGGTCACTACTCAACTGGTGTTTCTGGTGGATGCCGACTTCGTTCCAAATCCTGGGTCCGTACGTCTTTCCACATTCCACATTCCATAGTACTACGGTAGCACCAAGCTAATACGGCTGTTGTGTGTACTCTTACAACTGACGAACAATCTCGTGGTTGAACTCTTCTCGTGCTACTCAGTTTCACTGGATAGAGACCTTCTTCCCGAACACGATAGGTATCTCTACCTCAGGTTCTAAGAGGATGAGTGCGCTTTTGCAGGCTGCATGAACATTTAACCCAACACGAAGAGAAGTTTAATGATCTGATTAAGAAGACCGAGGAATGGAACCAGTTGCTGGTGGTACCAGCGTTTCAGCTGAGTGAAGACAAGACTATTGAGTATCAGCACAGCCTCCATGTACTGCCTCACACGAAGGAAGAGCTTCGAGAGGCCTGGTGGAATGGCATTGTTGACTGCTTTCAATGTGATGTCTCCCCGGATTCTCATCAGCCTACAGAGTATTACAGATTCACTGATCCCGCGGTCTCCTGGCCGTATCAAGTCTGGTACAAGTAAGGAACTTCAATATTTTTGCCATGATTGACGACATAGAGATGAAAATCTTCAAGAAGCGAAGCCAACTAGAATCGATATATCGTACCGAGTTATCTCTTAATTCCTCTTATCCTGGTCCTCTGTTACATATGTAGAGAGTCAAGTGAGTTCTCAAAGTTGACATGTGACACACCACTTACAGTTTGAAGCCTCTGTTTGAACATCGGTTTATGTCACTCTAAGCACTCGCCATTTTCTTAGCTAACGTGCTCTACTGTCCTGTTTGAACCAGAGAGGGATACGAGCCCTTCTACATTGCTTCTAGGAATCATCTTCCCAAGTTCGACGATCGTTTCAGGTAATTCCTTGAAATGTGCGACGTGTCCTTGGGTTTTGCAAAGATGACATGCACCTCTGTATATCATTGCAATCGCTCAACAGTCTTTCTTCACATCATTCAGGGAAGAAGAATCATAGTAAGTAGAAAATCGAAAAGTTCCTCAATTGCAACTCCATTCGTATAGACTTTCATCTGCTCTTTTCCAAAATGTATCAAATTAAAGACAGATCTAATAAGCACCTTTTCAAATCTGTATTCATGCGCTCGACGTGGGATGGTCCTATTTCAGAGGGCATGGGAAGAACAAGATTTCGCATACCTACTTACTGTCAGTCAAGGAGTTTACATTTTGGGTGATACCAGAGGGATTTCTTGTGGAGCTTCCTCATCCTCCCTCACTTTCGGAGAAACGAAAAGTCCAGGTGCGTGGTTCGTATCTATCCTTAATGTTCACCATCTTCACTAGTTCAGTTGAAGTCATAAACGATTCTCAGTATGTTTTTCTTGATCGGAAGATCCACGTGGTGATACAGGATCCACTGCAGACATGGCGAATTGATGGAATCTACAACCGTTCCATGCGCGAAATCAACTTGATTTACAATATAACTACTCCTAAGAAATCAGAGACGGAAAAGACGGGAGGACTTCCCTGCTGACTAGTGTCATCGAAAGTGCTGCAGCCAGCTTCAAAGGTGAAGTCTAGTCGCTTTGTAAAGACAATTAGAATCCATCAATACCTAGTGACTGCATATGGAGTATTGGGAGTGTAGAGCTCCAGCTATGCCAGCTATTTCAAGCAGCATACGGAGCATGAAATTGTTAAGCACGGGTTGACCAGTCAGCACTTCCATGCTTCTTTGAACATGGATAAGAGTTCATGTGTAGATAAGCTTTCCGCTGTTAGCTGAAGTGGGCTTAAGTGATATACAATGATTCAATCAGGTCAGAAAAGTAAGCTGAGGTTTGTATAGTATCCTAGAAATCTGAAATTATCAAGATTCCAGTAGTACCCTCTGATAAGTTGATATATCTATCGCGCAATCAGTTGTTTGATGCAAGACTCAGATATAATGTCGTTAGCCTTGACGTTTAAGTCCATGCTTTCATCGTCAGATGTCAAGATGCAGATGTTACCACAAAACAGTTGACAGAATGATTTCATGACACCATCAGGGTTCTGACAAAAAGAGCGTCCAATCAGCTGATTCAAGTACAACTGCTTTCCTCCTTTCATAATCAATCGGCACAGGTGACCGTGGCTGTCTGACATAGGTGCTACTGTAACCTACCATGTCAAACTGTGCTGTAGATCGCTCCCATATTCTTGAAAAATGCTCTTCATTTCTCAAACACGGGTACTCCAAAATATAATTTCTACATTGAATGACAACATTGAATTCTATCATGACAACTATCTCCCGACTTGCATCCAGCGAGTGGGAATGAGGGTGTGTTTTCGGTGCAATCTCCAGAAAGTATACATCCCTGATTTTGAGGGTGAAAACTTCGCCCATCGATCGAGTACAAAATCTATCAAAATCGTTGGCTTCTGACGAGTCAAATTACACGATCACTAGGTGCGAACCTTGATGTCTTGCACTTGACATGAGTCAAGTTCGGCCGAGATGAACGCGACAATCGAATCTTACAACTCCAAGATTATCGAGTACGGTGGACACGAGTCTCTACCGGAAACGACATTTCCACCAGCCCAGTGATACCTGCCTTAACATGTTGACCAGCTGTGACGGGACCGACGCCGGAAGGAGTACCTGCAAGATGATATAGAGTACACAAAATTAGGCGAAATACCAGATACCTATGAAAGCAACACTGAACACCATGTTCGATATGCTATCATACTGTCTGCATCCACCTCTGCAGGACTTGGTGAGGTATTAACGACTAAAGTTATCAAAAAAAGATGCAACAAATCTTTTATACATGAAAAAGAGCCGGACAACATGTCCGAAGATCGTTTCAATGTTCGCAATGATCGTATGTTACACGGATCATTGCCCTAACCGTTCGCGAGAGTATGCTCTAGCCAAAACAACATGGCAGCCTCTTTTGGAACTGTCATACATCATTCTCAAAGGTAATGAATGTGATAACTCACCTGTCAGAATGACATCGCCTTCGTTTAAGGTCATAACTCTGCTTATATAGCTGATGAGCAACGGAATGCTGAAAATCATGTCTTTGGTGCTACCTTTTTGCTTCATAACCCCATCTACCTGTTGAGCAAAATTTCAGTGGTTAAAACTACCTATTCTCCGGAAATGCAGTATCTACCTCCGAGAGAGTCGAGCTTGCTCTACTTTAATTATCTAAAAATGGTGGGTTACGTTGCCATGAATTTCAGTCTTGTAGTCGTTACCTCACACCATAGCTCCAAATTGTCAGTGGAAGGCACTTCATCCTTCGAAATCTGTACATCGAACAATTACGTCTCAGTTACATAGCAGATAATGTCAAAACAAGTGGAGACAATCAGTGGACTCAAATGCTTCACATAAACTGCAAACTTTTCTTAATTTTCGGAGAATATGTGATACTAAATTCGATTGTAAAACGCAGGAAAGGTTGAACGGTTAGGTTCGGATAAAATGTAGAAATTGCAACCCGACTTCTGAAAAAAGATGTAGAAAATCATGTCAACAAATATCTGGACTTGATGATTTCGAATACAGTCTGCACGTTGGACTTGACAAGGTCAACTTTAAGTGCTCCAATCATGTACTGGATCGATTTTCACTGAAATTCCTTCTCTACTCATTCAAAGCCTGAGAGCAACCCATTATAGGGATGCAGTAATAAAATGCAAAAATAGGGTAAATGGGGAGCTGTATACGAATCCACTTATTGGTGTAAATGTATCGTATCCTTTCGCAACCGTCCACGGATGACCCTTAGCCTGCATGCGTTCAAGATATGAGAGCCAAAATAAATAATTTGGAGTTTCGAAGCCACGGTAGAGTTTGAGACAAACCTCTCATGACAGTAACTCAACTTCCTTTTCTTCTATCACTGATGCTTGTTAAACTTAGAGCTGCTTCTCCCAATTACTAGATCATAGAGGCACAAGTGAAAGCAGCTTGATTAGTTGCTAAAACGAAGCAACGCGGTAAACCTTCGGCTGAGGGGAAGAACACTGCACACCTTTGCAACTGTCTGAATATCCCTGGCAGTCATGTCCAACGCTAATGCGTAACCTGGTAGACCATTCACATAGGCCGAGAACTTTCAGAAACATTTTCACATAACATAAACCAACTACTGAATTAGGATCTGCAAGTGCCTTCAAGGCAATGCCAAAAAAAACGGTGTAAGTTCCTCAAGGAATATGACAGGGCCGAAGCCCTGAAGTTGAACTAAAATGCATAAATGATATTTCTCTATCCTGGAAGTATCCTAACAGCAAGTATCTCCACTCTGGTCACTCACCTGAAACGTGATCCATGGCTTCATCCTCGAAAATATCCCTACCCTTCTTGCCGATCACGACCCCGAGTTCTACTTCATGATGCAGAGAAGTCAAGGGAGGGGGGATTTCTATAGCTCCTCCTTGGAACACATATGACGAAGTCGGCTTCAAAAAGATCATGGGCTCCTGATGGTAGACACAGCAGAAATACATACTAGATCAAAAAACGCATCCTCGCAACAGAACCGACTCCGGCACGACTCTAGCGAAGAAGCTCATAAGATCAACACGTGTGGCAAAACTCACTGCCCTGCTTTGGACAGCATGATAAAATCCTCCGAAGCCCTTGAAGGTAGGCTGAGCGCAGCTTACAGAGAGCCGTCAAGCAGCTCACCATCGCCCGCAATCAAACTGACTGCCGCGCAACATTTCAAAATAAATGCCAAGGGATAATGAAATCCAGGACGAATCTTTTATGCGCTTGCTTCTTATCACTCAGGAGTGTTCCAACCGCTGCAGGCATTGAAGTCGACCTGGACATTCGTTTCTGCAGGCGAATCGACGCCTCACTTCCCTTTTGCTAGGTTCTTTGCATACTTGCCGACTAATGGTCGAATGGTCATGGCGCACCTCTCCGACGGATATGAGAGAGAGAGAGAGAGAGAGAGAGAGAGAGAGAGAGAGAGAGAGAGAGAGAGAGAGAGAGAGAGAGAGAGAGAGAGAGAGATGGATTCACTTTGTTATATTACATGGAAAATCGAAAATTTGGAACGCGAGGAAAATTTGGCGGAGCATGGCGCCACATGTGAGCATATTCAAGCGTCCGGACGTAAACTGCAGTCAGCGATCGGATTGATTTCTTCGAAGGAAGATCCCGGACCTACTGAGTCAACGGCAGAATCAAGCAGGAGTACCTTAGGAACAGCATTCCCCAGCTCGATCGCGTGAGCAGCATAATTTCTTCCCACTGCAACGATCTTGGTTCCGGCGGCCAAAATCTTGTTCCCGATTGATGCTGACATCCTCGTTCGACGGGCCTCGTGTCGAGAAGAAGCTGATCGAGCGGCCTGAGAATCGAAGACTCCACGGCTCTAATCGGAAGAGCCTCGAGAATCAAGAGCAACCTCCAAAATCTCCGCTTTTCAAGCTACCGGGGAATCCAGGCCATGCTCTTCCGCAGTTTCGTCTTCTGGTCTCCTCGTCGTCGTCGTGCGTCCGTCGAGGAGACGGGGGACAAGTCTCGTTCTGTACTCTCAAAGGCGCCTGCCACTTGGTCACTCCTTGGGCGAGGACTTTCACTGAAGTTGACCAGTCAGCAGCTCTCCGCACTGCCACCATCATCATCATGACCTATGCACCTCACCTACCTTCGGCCTTCTTCCCCACTACGTATCAGTCTCTACTGTGTATCATCTCTTTACTGCGGACAAGCTTTTTACAACATCCAAATGATTTTGGCGGAAAGAATCTCGCGGTCCAATGCACAATTACTATGAATAGAAAATGTATAGAGAGGAATCGAAAACTTAATAACAAACATGCGAATATCTAATATAAGTTCTAAAAAAATTATTTCTATGTTACAATTAAATCACTATATCCATCATAATATCCAATGTTACATCTTTCTATTTGATAAAATGACAAAAAATATATTTTTTATTATAATTTTAAAAGATTAAATTTGAAACATTTTAGTTCTTTCTAATTTTTATTCTGATGAAAAATTGATATAACGTCAAATGAAAAGTTATCTTATTTTATTGTAAAGTGCAATCTACACTTTGCTGGTGAAATCAAATTCTGAACAGTAATAAATTTTAAGCATCAATTTTTGGCTATGAGGAAATTTAGTATTCGTCAAAATATTTGGTATGACTACAGTGGAAAATATTTTTCATGTAGGTTATGCTCAGTTTCTACAATTTTATGGACTTTGATTTAAAAAAAGCAAGATTTATATTACTTTGTCATTCGTAGAATCCTGCAAAAACACTTCGTAACATCTTGCAAAAACATTTTACCCTCAATAACTCATAATTTTCTTATAGTTTCATCTGAATTTGGAATAAAGTTAAAGAATTACATTCCGTTATGAGATATATGAGTTTGATACAAATTCATTTTATAATTCAAACATTTCAAGTTTTGACATAATCTACTTTTCATCGAATTCAAATCTCAAACTCAGAAAAGTTTTAGTGCCAACGAGTTCAGATAAAAATTGCGTTGTCTGAAAAATCCTAAGTTACTAAGTGACTTAATGAAAAGCAAGCTTTCTAATTTTGTTTCAAAAACATTCAAATGTACTCGAGGTATATTGCAAAAGTTTTTTAACGTGTATCAATAGACAACTTGCAAGCCATCACATCATTCGTGGTTAAACCATCACATTTTCCATCTCATGTGTAGAATTACTCTCAGATTTCCAAAAAGGGTATTCCAACTCCAATCAGTATTGTGAACACAACCCATGTATAACTTTTATTACAGACGTGCACGACAGTATACATATTAACACTCAATATTACTCAAAGGAGTAGGTGAAAGAACTGAACATTGTTGTTGTATTCTGCATTTGTTTTGACTATCAAAAGATAATGAAAGATCACCTACTCCTTTCCACAAAGTATTCCTTCTTCAACAAAGCAGCCACTCATGTTATATGCACCCCCACAGTAGTAGATGAAGACGCCTTCCCTGTCACATGTTCCTGCCAACCGGTTGGCGTTTGTCGTAAAGTTTACACTTATCCCAAGAACATTCGAATCCAAGTCTTTGTCACTGGTATGGATAGAATTGTAGGCATGATACTTCGAAACTCTTAACAAGCTTGCTTCTATAATTGTTCACGCAGTATTTCCTTTTACTTTCCAATCATCAATGGTAACACTGTTACGGTGTGAGAACTTATTAACGGAAAACTGATAGAGAGAGCAACCTAAATCCCGGATGGCTTAGATAACAAACAGATCACCTAGTAAGTCAACCCTTGATACATTTTTTACCAAGAGTCACTGAAGATAACTGGAGTACAAACGGATGCTAGCGATACAAACGGGTATATCTGTTGTATCTGGTCCCATTTACTCAAATTCACCTAATTGAAGACGTTGTCTATGAAACTCTACACTGCCAAAAGCCTGACGTAAATTGCAGAGTCTGATAAAACTACTCGACTTACTATTATAGAGCCGGTCACCTAAATAGAGATAGCACTACGTGAATCACAAGAACAAGCACTTGTCGAAGTCTTAAGTTTGCCTATTTGCAATCACTTCCGAGTGGATCAAACTTGTTCCAACCTTCACGGTGCATGAGAATTGTCCTTTCTCTTCTAAACCAATTACATAGTGAGACCAGATTTATGATCCAGATAGCAGAATTGAAAGTTACGACCGTAGGTGTCCACATAAAACGCGGTTACCAATAAAACACCTGGCAGTGTCGGATACGCGTCTGCCTCATCTTGTAATCTGCCCGGCTTCTACGGGGTGCGGAAAAAAAGATTCTCACGAGGCACTTCAAGAGAAACAAAATAACTTTTCAAAGTCTAACGCTCATTGAATATAAGCCAATCCAATTAAAAACAAATGAGCTTACGCTACTTGCTTATTCATCTTCCATCAATTCTGATAAGGTTACAATGAACCACGTTATCTATTGGTAAGCTGTAATACACAACTTAGGTCCGGCACTGAGCCAAAACCGACAAACCTCCCCTACCTACAGTCAATCCTCCCGTAACATCGGTCGAAGACCTCAACTAGTTACTCTAGCAATCGTTAATAACCTCGTTATGGACGCAGGTAGAAAAGCAGAAGCACAATCGCAACGTGTGCAGGATATTTACTTCCTTCTGTTAGGACGACACCGGCAGCAAAGAACCTCTAAGAACTTGCTACCGTTGGTAACATAGTTCTCCGCCAAGCCCAATACCGAGATCTTATAGAGTCTAGCTCCTCTAACCGCGTACAGAGGAGCCCTGCAAGCTCCACGAGGGATGACCAAGTACCAAGCGCTTTGCCAAGAGCAGAACAATCGGTTTGAGAGGGCTCATAGCCGATGCTTAGCAAATCCAAGAGCAGATTTAGTGCATGCACACAGCTCTGCTCATCCGCAAGTTGCTGAAGACAGACCATGATAACATCTGAACGCGTAATGAAAGTTGCTTTGTCATCCTTGAAAAGTCCTCTGAGATATCTCCAGGAGCTTTCATTGGTTGGCGCCTCTTGTATAGCCATTAATGTGTAGCTAACTTCAGGTTCCAGCATAGATTTAAGCCCACCACGAGATGGATCCTTGGTTATCACAAAATACCTCTGCAAGTAAAAGGTATGTAATAAGATAGATGGCCTCCTCAAAGAAAAGTGTCCACCTAAACCTCTGCCGGTCTGGAGGATGGTGAAAGTGATCGGTATGAAGAGTACCATAGTAAAAAACACAACTTGATACTTGCGCTGAGAGGGATCCACAATGGGGCAAGCTAAGGTACACTTCCAGATCGCAGTCCACTTTTTGTTGACATAATTACCAGAGAAGGAGAAAGATAATGACTACATCTGTACGAACTTCGTTCAGTGACTGAAACCTCACCTGATTCCATGCTGAGTTGTTGTAGATGTCCTGAGAAAGCAACTTTGAGCAATAATCCAGCTCCCCATCCCAACCTCCCAAATTCAGTAGAACCCACTGCCCGTTTCCAAAAGAAAATGCATGTCAAAATCTTCATCATTTCTCGAAACTCAATACTATCTTGTTCTGTAAAATATACGAATGACTGCGACAACAATTAAACTTGTTTCATTGTTCAAGTGTAAAACTATCTATCCAGTTCTAATTTGCAAGTAAACACTTCCTCACATCTTCCCGGTTCGTGAATTTCCGTTATCTCATTATGGTTGATAAGTAGAATCCTTTCAATCGAATTTCATAACCAATGAAGATTGACCTCCTAGATTTCAATACAAGCTTTCTTATTTGCTTTCTTAGCATGCAAAGATAGATCTGGCAACGAAACACCCTCGAAATGGCAAGACTAAGTTTCTAAATATTCCGTGCTTCTCTGGTGTCATGCGTTGAAGAGCATGAAACCAGAATGCTGTTGTGAGGATTCAACGTCACAGCAGCACTTAAACTCTAAGAAGCTTTGTAACCTTGATAGCTGCACCCTAAAACTGAATCCAACGTTGGACATGTGGTAACATGCTTAATATATGTGGAGTCTTATTCATTCTTTCAGCAATACCATTATATATCCACTCCACTCCACTCCACTTCACTTCTTTTCAATCCAACACTCAAACATAGCTAGTTACAATGTCAGTTCTCAACCATCCAATGCTCAAATGTGATTAAGTCTTTAAAAAGTATCATTAGCAAATACATGTTGGTATATATTCTAGCAACATACAAACATTTCATGAATAGCTATAACTCATAACTAACAAAACCTAAATAAATTAGAAATTATCTATAATGAAAATTATTACATATCTTTTACTCCTTATTAACCTACTATAAACATCAGCAAATATTAGTTTTAAGATTTACGTCACCATTCACTATTTACGCAAATTGTAAATGCTAATGTTCTAAACTCTAGACAAAAATCAATTCTTTCTTAGCATTAGATTTGGGATTGTAGTTCTATGAGAGAAGATGAATATATTTTCCATCGTGACAATATGGAACTAATTTGATGTGATCTTCATATCGTTTGTGCTATCCACTTGGCCCCTTTTCTATATGTGAATTCTTTATATGCTAATGGTTAAATATATATATTCCATCTCGGTTTGAACCGGACCAAACGAATCCAAAACCCATCAAATAACAATCAATCTAACAGGAAACTTTCCTGAATTACTACTATGGTAAGAAATCAGGATATGGCGATTCATAGGACTGATATTTTCTAGTGTTATATGTTGAATCAAAGATAAAGCAGATTTTGAATGGGATCCAGCAGAATACTTTCAACCAAGGCTGACCTGTCGATGAGACCATGCATGATAATTTTTAGCATCATCTTGCAAAACAATTTCTGTGTACTTCAGTTCATCTCGCACTGCCACTGCACCACGTTTTTCAGCGACCCATCGCCGGTGCTGCCTACAGTACACAATTCGTTAGGGCGTGAAAGTATGGTGCCTCACTCGATAACAGAACATCAACCTCATCTGTGCTCGAGTCAATAATTACCAGAACTGGTAGTTCTTGAAGTTCAAATCAGCGATTTCTTCCATGAACGACAATTCCTCTTCCAAATCCGAACCAAGCTCTTCCAAGACTAGCCTCCTAAAATGCCAAACCTGCAACATTGCATCACAATGTTAGCCAGTTCCACCACACCTGAGAATGTAGCAGACAGAAGTAAAGCTCGGCTCGTTCCCCGCGAATCTACCCTCAGCTCGTCAATCAGCCAGGAAGAAGGAACGGGAAGACAAAGAAAAGCGCAAGTGAAAGGCAAACCAGGACAGCTTTACTGAAAGTAGACGACTGATAAAACAATAAGGCTAGTCAATGATTCTAATGTTTGTGATTTGATGCAAGTAGGATAGACTTGCATGGAATAAAACGGAGTTTGATTCAATATACCCTGAAGTCTAAACTTGTCAAAAAATTATCAGCTGCTTCAGTGACCAGCTCAACAATAATGATGTGGCAGGCGGATTCTTGCAAGAAATTGATCCGGGTAACCTCTCCAAGCTGAATCAAGAGTCAATCCGTACAGAGACCCTCTGATTCACTGGGAAAAAATTTAAATGATTATGCATTAGGCCGTCCAAGCTCAGATTCTAGCTTGGGGGTTTAAGCTAGGAGAGGAAAGGCATACAGTGTAATTTGCCGAATTGAGGCCAACAACTTCCGCAGTAAGCTTGAGGGCACGAACACTGCGCTCATCTTTCTTAAGTATCGCGCGAAAGTAATCCATAGTTTCCCTAAATTGTCTCGTGTACGAAATCGGTACGACAGGATTCGGCCCATCGTCTTGCGGTACAGGCTCTAAGTCCTCCCACTCCGGTCGCTCGTTGAAGGGCACCCAGTTATCTCTAGCCATTTTTCCAACTGATCCCAACCCAAATCGCTCTGCTCCCAAAACTGAACCTAAATAACCCCCGACTACGATTACTATCAGCTTTTTCTCATGTCTACTCTACGATATATCCGACCGCCGAGACCGAGGTGCAGCATACTTCCACGCATCAGCGTCCAGCAATTTCTCCTCCTTGCGAAGCGCCGCAACCAGATCCTCCATCAAAGCTGCAGACAAATCGAATCAACCAAACGAAAAACTGTCAATATCCACGTCACACCTTCACGACAGCAAAATTCACAGGAAGATTGGAATCCAGCCCCGGATTCAACAAGCTCCACCAGCCATCAGGGCGAGGTGCACAGTCACGAGAAATTTCCCAGGCAAAACTCCAAGAGCAGAGGGAGCAAGTGGGCGAAAAGAGAAGGCAGGAACAGAACGCGCCTTGCTGGGTCTCGGCCTTGCGATCGGCGACGAAAGTCAGTTCATCAGCCAGGTGATTGAACACAGAATCATCCTGAACTTGCGGGGCACTGGCGCTTCCGCTGCTCGATGCTCCTCGTGCGGGTGACCCCGTTCCGGCTTGCATCTCTCGTCTCTGAAGCTGCGCCTTCGTTTGCAATCGACAATCCTCGTCGTGTCTCACTGCCTCCCTCCACAATCTTCGTTCCGGCCAGACGCTCGACGCTGCCTCGATGACATGGACTGCGATCCGCGCCCTCTCCCCTCCCCTCCCCTCGAGCGCAGTTCGCACCGGCCGCTGCGGCAGAGCAAGACATTCTTTTCTGACCGGGAGCGGGCACGGGACGCCAGACCATCGCCGGTCGACTGACTGGCTGCGGCTGCTGCACGGATATCGAATATTCTCCCAGTACCCGGCTGCAATTAAGAGTTCCGAAAACCCTCACAATCTGAAACCGGTTTTATTGTGAGTAATTCTGTCGTTGTGATCCACACTAATACAGTGAATACTAATACTAATAGAATTTAGGTGTGCAATTTCTGAAATCTCCTTGCAGAGGCACGGAACATTAAGAAGATTCAGTCAATGTTGAAGTGTTCACGCTTTTAAATGCATTAGGCGCGATCAGCATTAAGCTACATCACATTTCGTTCAAATGGTTACGCAAATGGTCCGATACACGGTAACATGAGGGAGTACCTAATGTATGACTCTTAGTATTAGCGCCCTGGTAGGGCAGCTTGGTATGTAATATGTGGAACATTTGAGACAAGTAGAGAAAATTAATATGCCAGTCAAACTGACCCTTTTGTAACTTCCGAGCATTACATACATCACAACTCACTGACCCAAATACTTAGACCCGAATTTGCTTAAATCCCAAGGAGCCTCGACTGCTCAGTACACTCGAGCCGAATACACACAATCTTTGATGCGATAACTTCGACAAACAGGAGCGCACCGTGTCCAAGGCCTGGATCACACACCAACGCACAAACACAGTGGATACAGATTCACAACCAGGACAAGCTAATTGACAGAAAAGCCCCCCAAGGAAAGAGCCTTGGGCCTCTTTATTCACAATGGCAACTCTTGGATATCAACCGCTTGAGGCGAATCGGTCTCAGGGGCTGTGCCATCCGATGTAACGGTTACGGCGTCGTCTGAACTACTATCTACTCCTAATCTACGCAACACGTTTACAATCTCTACTTCTACATTTTGGCGCGCCTCATTCAATACCTTTGAAAATGTGTTAACTAACTCTACAATCTGTTTATGTCTTGCGGATCTGCTGGTCTTCGCACTCATCAGCCGTCACTCAAGTAAATCTAATTTCAGCCACTTCACCGATTGCAATCCCCACATCGCGAACCCGTTCAGGCACTTTTCTAACCCCAATTTCAACTCGTCGGTTGACTCCTCCCGTAGCTGACGTTAGGCCTCCTCTACCTTTTCCATTCTCCTTTGCGACTCTTGCGATCTCATCTCTGCCTTCCCTAACTGCGCTCGTAACCGTCGACAGTTAGAATCAACCTTCAATTTACATTCGACCTCCGAAGACTTGGCCGACTCGCAATCTACCAATTTCTTGGCCCAATCCGCTAACTCCTCTTCATGCTTCTGGTTTCCCGCCGACAGACTTGCTGAAAGCTCCTCCACACCTCGGAATTCCACTTCACACTTCGCCTCGATCTCCAAAATTTTGCTACAAAGATCTTCTTCCGCCGTCTTCGCCCCTGCGATTTTGCCCCGAAGTTCTTCGGCGCTACGAACTTCTTCGGCTCTTCAAGCTTCCATCTTAGCAAGTTCCTCGACATGCATCTTCTCTCGCCTTTCTGCAGTGATGATCAACCGCTCCGACCTTTTGACTGCTGCATCGTAAGCTTCTCTGAATTTCTCCAATCTCGCCATCAAATCCACCGTTACTTTCTAGGCATTCTCATTAGAGATACGAAGTCCTCCACAGGTCTCTTCCATATCTGCACATCGCCCGGATTCTTTCTCTAGATTCAGCTACAGCACCTCACACTCAGTTTCCTTCTCTCGAAGCTGGGCTTCTCGCTCCCGCAATGTCGCCTTCACTGCCGCGCACTCGGTTGACAAGGTTGCAGCTCGCTCCCGTGCCAGTGCAGTTGCGGAATCCCACTCCCTTTTTACTACAACTGCTCTCTTGAGCTTCGTCATGTTCCTAATCATCTGTACATCACTCTCTTCCCATCCAAATACTTCAACAATGGAACTACACTATCCTGCAAGAATTCAGGAAATGTAATTTCCAAGGTCTTCACGTCTTCACCCGAAGCCTTCTTTCCTTCTTCTGGTCTCACCTCTTTCATCGGAGATGTCGGCAGTGTAATGCCCTCGGCTTCTACCACCGTCCCTCCTGTCCGTGCGACAACTTGCTCCATAATCTCCTCGCTCAAAGTGGACTCCTTCTCCAGGTCCTCGTTCATCTTCAGTTGTGGTGTCTCTTCGCCCCGCGCAGACCGTGTTTGCTTCGAAGACAGAGAAATCGGACTTACCAACTCCGTACTCTCCTTCAAAGATTCTGCTGGTATGTCTGCTAGAACTTCGTTTGACACCTCCGAAGGTACTCCTTTCTCCAGAGGCCGCATTACCTCGCTAGCTGCGACTTTGGATGTGTTCACAATTGGTGTCACCGTCTTCTCCACGCTGCTGTCCGACACCTCAGCTGTCACCATCCTTCGATTCGCTCTCTTCTTTGGTCTTGCGCTAGCTCTGTGCTGCCTCGCTCCATCTACATCCATATCCACCCTTCTTACCTCGTGGGCCAATTCTTCCTCGTCATCACTCACGACCTTCCTTCTCTTCGCCAATCGTCTCTCTGGCTTCTCCCCTCTATGAACCACGTCCACCTGAACTGGTACTCGAGCTGTTGTGTGTGTTGGGATTGAGGGGGGTCGGTTCTCGTCTTCGGTCCCTTCACTGGACTCAGCTGTCAGGATTTTTTGCTCTTTCGGAAATCGCTTCTCCTCCTCCCTTGTAAGCAATCCCATTCCTCGATAGAAATTCACCAGAAAGGGAGTGATATGATTGGTCAAAGGTCCCGTCCACTTGGAGCCTGCATTCACCCAGACAAGATCGTGAAAGATCCTTGCCCAATGTACTCGCTGTCCCCTCAGGATGCGTTCAAAGAGCCCTACTTGCCAGGCCGTCACATAAGTCGTGCGCGCCGGACGCAAGATGTGCATGATCCCCAACGCGATCGCCCTTCTCTTCGGATCTTTATAATCGACAGTCTTCCATTCATTTGTTCTCTGTCTTTCAGACTCGAAGAGAGGCCCGTAAGAGAATTCTTTGCCGCGTGTAAGTCCTACGCTATTCATCTCAAATAGCAAATCTCCTTCGTTGCCCGCACAGGGTCCCAGTACCTTCATCCAATGCTCGATGGTCCACAGCATGGGATAACCGCGGAGCTCCTTGTCTTTGATCGTGCTCTTGTCCATTACCTCCTTGCAGATACTCGCCGAGACGCAATTCCAATTCCACAAAGGAATTCAAGCCGCAATTCACTAAACTCGCTTCTGAAGGGTTTCAATTCCTCGTAAGGCACCTTCAAGGGAACCAATTTCCTCACATTCTCACTCTTCTTGGGCGCCATGTGTTCAATTTTTGTTTTCGCTACTCGCGAGTTGGATTGATTTTGCTTCCTCTCTCTCTCGCTCGTTCTTGCTTGATATCACTCTAACAACTACTTTCTAGACAATTATCTTTTAGTTTTGTTGATTTTTAAAGAAAAACGAAAAAAACTAAGCACCACATGACCGTCTACTATCCTTTTCTGCTCCTTTACGGTGGGCAAAATATAGAAAAAACCCCATTGTCGAGGCAACGGCTTGAGTAAGTGTTGCAATCTTGCGAGTTAAATTCACCTCATGTCGGAAAGCCTAATTGGGGCACTACTTTAACAATGGGTGTATTAATAACAATTGTACGGCGACATGCCGTACGACCTTGGCTCTCGTACAAGGTAGCAATACTAACGCAGCCAAACATATTTCCGTGTAGAACAAGCGACAAGATTGCAAAAATTAGATCACTATTGCAGCATAAACTGATTGCAACATCAACTCCATTGAAACAGGAACATTCATCAAGTTAAAACAGGTGAAATTCATCATGTTATTAAATGTGAAATCAAAAATTAAAAAATAAAAACTAGTTTGTAATGTTTCTGATAAGACATATAAAAAAACATCAACATCTTCCAGTTGTCTCAACAAAAACATAAGTGGTTTGAAAGAGTGTAACCAAATGGTGAAGTTGATGGTCAAGCAACAAAACCTTATACATTACACTATAAAAAAATACCACGAAAAGATGATTTATTTTGCGAGAAAATTTTGGACCTATTGAAAGTGGAATTTGTGCATGTGGAAAACATCAAGGTATTGAAAAGAAAAAAGAAAATATACGATTTTGTGAACAATTAGAAGTTGAATTTATGGATTCTCAAATTCGAAGATATCGAATGGTATATATTAAATTAGCATGGTCTGTAACTCATGTTTGGTATTTAAAACATTTACCTAGTTATGTTGCAAATCTTTTGGCTAAACCTCTTAAAGAGCTTTAAAGTCTAGTTTACTGCGATGTGTGACTTGATCATATTGATTTGATTTGATTTGATTTTAATAGATATAAATAACTGTTATTTTAATTTAGTTTTAATAAATACCTCAAATTTGCCATTACTTAATCAAAATATGAAATGAAGCTTAAAAAAATTATCATTTCTTTGTATCAATTAGAGGATTTAATCTAGGGTTATAAAGAAAATTATTTGCTATTTGGATTTTGTTAAAAAAAAAGGCATAAGTAGCATTTTTTTATATATATATTATAATCAAAATTTGAAATGAAAAAACTGTAACTATTTGAGCCTTATGACGGAAAACTTTCATGTCTGATTCTTATGAGAGGGAATTTAAAAAAAAAAACCTATCCCGATCACTTTTTTGCTATACCTATAACTAAAAAACCTATTTAATTATAATTACAAGGTTCATTCAATGCTCTCCTGGTATCTACCTATGGTTAATTCTACACTCTGTGGTAATGTTTCTATCACTTTAGTTTGTACGTTTGGCAATTCAACTTTTTCACTCACGTCCTTCATCAACATCAAACCTAACTTCATAGCAACACTCATTGATAGAAAATTCTCAGTTGCTCCAAGATCAATTAAAACTCTCACCTTGTGTACTTCCATCAAACCATCAGTGACAATGAGTTGAGCTTGCTTCTTACTCCTTCCAAGAGCTCCCAACCAGTGACGTCTTTCAACCTCGCCTTTTCTTCGCTTTGTAGAACCAATAAGGCCGCGAGACTAATTTACTGGTGATCTTCATTTCCCGAAACTTCTTCATCCACCTCTTTATACTCTATCCCCTCCATGTTGTTGAACAGTTGTCGCTGCATGGGCCGTACTCCTTGTAGTGTCGGCCGAATTCGACAAAACTTGGCAATTTGACCCATTCGTCCACATGCATAGCATTGACGATTGTCACAAACTCCAGCTCCTCCTCGAACCATTCCGTTATTTGCATAATCTTCTTGCAAATTTGGAACTCCTGGTCGCCGAATCTCACCTCCAAATCTTGGTGGTGGTCCTCTTGTTGGTGCAAAACCTTCTCTGCGTCGAAGGTTTCCCAACTCCTTTGGTGTTGGAGCAAATGGATCTCAAAAATTGCTTACTAGTTCACCGTGTGTGACACCAAAAGCACCCAAAATTTGTTGAGCAATTGCGATTACTTCATTCACAGTAGATGAATTACTTACCATGACCTCCTTTCAAATTCGATCCTTCAAGCCTCGTTTGAACATTTCCAAGGATTCTGCTCCACTCATATCCATGATAGATACTTGATAAATCACAAAATTCTTCAATGTACTCATGAATATATACTTTCTGCTTAAGATCCCACGACTTCATCCTTGTAGTTTGAAGAGAATCCATCGTTTGAAAATTTTGCAGAAGTACTTCTTGCATTTCATTCCACGAAATGGTAGCACCTTGTTCTGAAAGCATTCTCTCCCATGTTGTGTATCATGTGAGAGCCTTATCCGTAAGATAAGATTTCATGAACATTCCTGCAATATAATCAGAAACCTGAAAATGGGATAAATGAATATTCATCCTCATAATCCATCTTTCTAACACTCCCATTGCTCACTCCCTCTGTAAGCTTCCACCTTACAAGATTTTCCCATTTGAACCAAAAGATTTGCTTCTTCAATCTCTTGAAGACGTATCCTATTTGACTCTGTTACGTCAATAGGAGTTGATTCTAGCTCAACTTGAGAAGCTTGAACTTGAGGTTCAACTTCCATCTCTCCAACTCTCTCTCTCTCTATTTTCTCACTCTCCAATGCGAAGATTTTATCTTCCATGGCTTGTTGCTTGGTATGACCATCTACATTTCCTTCATCTTCGCCATGATTGTATTGAGAACCTCACCCATATCGATTGATGTCCCCATGCTTTTTCACACTCCCTCTAATACAAAGTGAGTATAATCACTATGTGAACTCTCAACAAAGGAGTCACAAAAGGTGCAGGTGATTCTATCACAGCTCTATAGTACTCCTCTCCATAATTCTTCACAAGAAAATCTCTCCATATCCTCTTCTGTCGATAAACTGTTCTAATCTCTACATAAATGCTGAACCGAACCGGGACAGGTGGTTCACAATTCAAATCTATGAAACATTCAGTATAGAATGTATATAATACAACCTCAAATCTCTCCATAAATAACTATTGGAAAAATCAGTGGCACTCTCGACTCCATCACTTTAGTCATAAAATCTGCACCCGAACAAGCCACAAGGTACATTCGAAAATGATGTTTCTCCATGCAACGAAGGTGAATATCGAATAGGTTAGGAATTGGCCAGTGCGGTATTGGATTCTTGTCAATACCGTCCATATCAGCAAAACCACAATTCCCCCCTTCCACCTCTCTCTACATGCAGATGAATGACTTCTGACAGCCTCTATACACTCTCAAAACTGCACTCCATCATCACTCACTTGCTATTCCATGAGGGGTAATCAGCACTCAAGGAAAGAGCAAGTTTGCTCAGATACCATTGTAACACTAGGGTTTAGAAAGAATCTCACTCGAAGATAGAAACGTAAACTCTGAAGATGAGAGATGCCAACAATGGTTCTACTCTCTCTTATATAGCTCTCACAAACAGGTACAAAGAGATAAGATTTTATTTCCACCATCCATCCCACTCCTAATGGATGACGTGACGGATAACCCTAACAAGCACACGGATCGTTGATGTGGCGCTCCCAACTAACACACTAACTAATACACTCAATCCTTATCTACAAGCACAAAGATTGTTGACGTGACACTGTCAACTAACACATCCACTCTGTACCTACCAAGTGCGCGGATCGCTGACATGGCAGCTATGACTAGTGCACACTAAAGTATCTATATCAATATTTAGAGTTAACTCTACTTTAGTTCTAACTAACTAAAGCTGGTTACATATCCCTTGGAATGCCATGGATTGAGCAATATAATCCGGAGGTAGATTGGAGAAGAAAAGTGATTACAAATAGTGGATGGAAGATCTATAGAGATAGAATTAGATCTCTAAATAGGAATTTACCCCTCTTTGTGATGGATACAATATCCATTTCTAGATATGATGTATGTTTCCTTGGACTTATAAGAGATTTTGAGTCCACGTACAAAGTTTACATCCCGGAGTCCTTGAACGACATTTTTATGGAGTATAAAGATGTCTTTCCAGATGATCTACTACAGGATTACCATCAAAGAGGATAGTAGATCACAAGATTGAGGGTGATTTGCAAGTTGGTGTAGTTCTAGGTATCAACCTGGAACTACACCAACTTGCAAAGCTCCATATCGTTTGGCTCCAAACGAATTGGAAGAATGCAAAGCTCAAGTGGAGGAGATGTTGAGCAAGAGATTCATTCAACCAAGTGTTTCACCTTATGGAGCTCAAGTGCTCTTAGTGAAAAAGAATGATGGATCCATGAGACCATGCATTGATTATTGCGGGTTGAATCAACAAACCATGAAAAAAAAATTATCCATCACCTCGCATAGATGATTTGTTTGATCAACTTCAAGGAGCGAAGTACTTCACTAAGCTAGATTTGAGAAGCGGCTACAATCAAATTCGAATTACAGATGAAGATGTCCACAAGAAAGCTTTTTGTACTAGGTATGAACACTTTGAGTATCTAGTGATGCCTTTTGGTCTCACTAATGCACCAGCTACATTCATGGGATTGATGAACGATATCTTTCGCCCTTATATAGATAAATCAGTCATTGTTTTTTAGATTATATATTGGTGTATAGCAAAACTTTGAGTGATCATAGAAGTCATTTACGAGAAGTACTTCAAGTTTTAAGAGACACTAAATTGTATGCCAAAGCTTCAAAATGTGAATTTGGCAAGTCAGAAGTAGATTACTTGGGTCATAAAGTTACAGCTACAGGAATTCAAGTGATGAGTGAGAAGGTAGATGCCATTCAGAAATGGACAGCACTTGAGTATCAAACTCAATTGAAGAGTTTTCTAGGGCTCATTGGATTCTATCGTAGATTTGTGAAAGGTTTTGCTCGCATAGCTCAGGCCTTGACTTCCATGATAGGGAAAGTTCAAAAATGGAGATTGGGAACAGCTCAAGAGTTAGCTTTTCAAGCACTTAAAGATGCTTTGTTACACGCACCTATTCTCAAGTGGTATGATCGTAACCGTTTTATCAAGTTGGCTTCTGACGCATCACGTACAACAGTAGGTGGCATACCTCAACAAGAATGGGAGGATGGATGGCATCCAATTGCGTTCTATTCTCAAAAGTTGGTGGCGGCGGAACAAAATTATCACACGACAGAACGGGAGTAGTCAGCCATTGTGTTGGCAACCAAACATTGGAAGCATTACTTGGATGATAAGGAGTTTGTTTTGGAGATTGATTATAACCCCTTGGTTTATTTGGAAATTCAGAAGGATCTGTCCTAACAACAAATTCGATGGGCAGAGTGACGTCAACGCTTCAACATGAAGATTGTGTAGGTGGAGGGAAAGAAGCAACTTGCAGATGCTCTCACACGCATGCCTTGTTTGAATCATGTTGCAGAATTAAAAATTCAGCTTGATTGGTGGAGCAAGATGACACAAGCCACAAAGGAGGATGAAGAGATCACTCGTGCACTACAAACTAGAAAGGCAGAGAAATCTTGAGGTTTGGCGTTTTACAATCAGCGAATATAGATTCCACAAGATCACGATTTGCGTACAATGATTTTGGCAGAAAGTCATAACAAAGCCATTGCAGGTCATGTGGGAGTGGAGAAAACCGTGGATAGTATACAACGAGTGTACTATTGGCCCAAAATACGTGAAATGTGGAGTCTTATGTTCAAAGTTGTGTTGATTGTCAACAAAACAAGGCAAATAATCAAAAACCAATGGGTTTATTACAGCCTCTTCCTATTCCCGAACAGCGGTGGGAACATGTCACCATGGATCTTGTATGTGAGTTACCAAGGACTTCGTTAGGACATGATTCAGTGGTGATTTTTGTGGACAAATTTAGAAAGATGATTCACATCAGGCCAACCACAAAAACAGTATCAGCTCCACAACTAGCTCAATTGTACATAGATGCAGGTTTTGTGAATCATGACTTAAGCAAAGTGTTAATCACGGATAGAGGTACTCACTTCACTAGTTTATTTTGGAAAACTTTATTTAGTTTTTTGAAAACAAAACTAGCAATGTTAACGGCCTATCACACTCAAACTGATAGACAAACGGAGAGGGCAAATAGAACCATAGAGGATATGCTACGAGCATTCACATTAGAAGAGCAAGAAGAGTGGGACAACCTTTTGCCACTTGTGAAATTTGCATATAACAATTATGTTAATGCATTCACAAAAGTGTCTCCACTTTTTCTTAAGTATGGAGCTCATCCTATAACTCCTTCAAGTTTGATGAGACTTCCCAAAGGAGAGTAGTTTTTGACCAAAGTTGCAGCAGTCAACGAATTTGTGAAGCATATTCACCAAGTACTACATCAGGCCAAGAAGAAGTTGGTGATAGCTCAAAATCGACAAAAGTAGCACCCCGATGCTCATCATAGAGAAGTGGTTTTTGAGGTTGGAGATCATGTTTGGTTATCTACAATGAATTTGTCTCTTGTAGGAACACCAAAATTGAACCATAGGTTCATTGGTCCATTTTTGATTTTGAAGCGTGTTAGTGAAGTGTCATACAAGTTGGAACTTCCGTCACATATGAAAATACACCTAGTATTTCATGTGTCATGATTGCAAAAACATGTACCATGACCAAAACAATTCACCAACCAACCAGCACCACCTCCTCTTCCAACCTTAATAGCAGATCATGAGGAGTATGAGGTAGAAAAGATACTCAAGAAACATATTTGAGGTCATAAATATCCCAAAATAGAGTATTTGATTCAATGAAAAAGCTATCAATTGTATGAATCAACTTGGAAACCAGCTAAAAATTTAACAAATGCACATTTGATAGTTTAGGAGTTTGAAAGTATGTGCAACGAGGACGTTGCATCTTAAAGGGAGAGAGTTTTGTAACCAGCTTTAGTTAGTTAGAACTAAAGTAGAGTTTACTTTAAATATTGATATAGATACTTTAGTGTGCACTAGTCATAGCTGCCATGTCAGCGATCTGCGCACTTGGTAGGTACTGCAACCTCCGGGCTGACTTTCATTTAGGTTTACCTCTGATGGCTTTGCGATAGCGCATCATGGTTCTAGAAGACTAGGATTTATCCTCACACTCATGTCCCAAACACTTTCTCTCACAAACTCTCCATGTATCATTCCAACTCACACACAAACTCTCATCACATCACTCTCTTCACATAAACGCAAACACACGTTGATACTCCAAGATACTCAAAAACTTCACTATTTCATTCCTGAAACAAATCCTCACACATGACTCTCCAAACTTGCTTGGTAGGTGCTACTTCAACTCTCTATTTATATTACTTGAGAAGTTATCATAGTAACATGTTATTTACCTAGGTAAATTTGACTAACCCACTATACGTGACAACATGCCATTGGCCTACCTAAACCTTCTAGAATTCTCCGAAATCCAAGGTTGAGGTGGCGACATGCCATTGGAAGCTTTAAAACTTCTACAAGCTTCTTAGCCACTAAGTCAACATTAGACTTAGTCTAGCCAATCATCTTTCATATATTGAATCAAACCAATCAAATCCAAGCTAAATCTAGTCAAATATCTAATCCCTTGGAATCTAGAACTTTTGTATAAGACAAAATAGAAGTGCTCACTCCACTCTTCTAGAACTCTGCTAATTAATCCGCCAACTATAGACATTGTAGCCAAACTTAGTCATGACTAGATAAATTTAGTTATAAATAACTAGTTTAGTCATGACTAGCTAGACTTAGCTATGCCTTGGCTAATCTTACTTAATCACTTGACCACTTCTAGGACTTAGTACATATGTGCAACACTCGGTCTTATAGTACAGAGTACTGTGTTAGTTGACAGTGCCACGTTAGCAATCCGTGTGCTTGTAGGTAAGGATTGAGTGTGTTAGTTGGCAGCGCTACGTCAGCGATCCGTGTGCTTGTTAGGGTTATCCGCCACGTCATTCATTCACTAGGAGTGGAATGGATGGTGGTGATAAGATCTTATCTCCTTGTACTTGTTGGTGAGAGCTATATAAGGTAGAGTAGAACCATTGTTTGCATCTCTCATATTCAGAGTTTACGATTCTATCTTCGAGTGAGTTTCTGTCTAAATCCTAGTGTTACAAGATGACATCATATTGAGCTAAACGAATTATTCTTTATTCAATGCTTTCCTTATATCTACATATGGATAATTCTTCACTCCGTGGTAATGTTTCTATCACTTAAGTTTCATAGCAACATTCCTTGATAGAAAACTCTTAGTTGCTCAAGGATTAATTAAAACTCTCACCTTGTGTACTTCCATTAAACCATAAGTGACAATGAGTTGAGCTTGCTTCTTACTCCTTCCATGAGCTCCTAACCATTGACTTCTTCCAACCTCGCATTTTCTTCGCTTTGTAGAACCTTTTCTTCGCTTTGTTGCGGTTTTTGAATGAGACACAGCTATTGCTGTGCTCTTTTGAAACCCTTGCTGCTGCTTCACTTTTGACGCGGTTGCTTTATGCTTTGTCGATGAAGCATGGTTGCTGACATAGCTTACATAAAAAAACATCAGATCACATCCTTGTAAAAATCTCCATACACTTTAGTATCTGCTTTGCACTTATACAAGTATTAGAAAATTTGAAAACATAGCTATGCATCTTTGCAAACAGCGCCAATCTTGGAATCAAAATTATTTGCGGCTTGTGCTTCTTTGCAAATGGAGCAGCTTATCATGGGATTTCCATCTTCTTTCGTGCCTACCATTGTAGCCCAGACATATTTCTTCATACAACTTTGCACCGTCAAATGTGAGGCAACATACTTCTTCTTCTTATTGGCATTAGATATTGTGATATTGACATTTCCTGCATGGCCGCTTGATTTCTGATATGCAAATAGACGTAAGAAACTGGTCATATATGGTTGAGATCACTATGGCCTATGTTGCTTCAAAGATAGCTGCCAACAATATTTTCTTACCAGGTATAGTAAAAAGCTTGACGCCTTCATTTGCAACGCTACAGTCAAAGCACAGTTGGATTTGCTCAAGGTCGAGCTCCGATTGATTAGCAATATTTTCAGCAGCACAAGATGATGGATTGTGCTAACGATGCATCTCGCACATTGCCGAAGGGGTAACTTAGGAACTCGACATCCATTAAGAGTTACCCCTTCTTACTTGACATCCATTACTTGCAGCTGAGCTGTAAGTAAGAGGGATACTGGCTGAAGCACCATCTGTGCTAGACTCTGCAAATGAGTTGTCACCTGCAACAAGTTGACTTTTGACTCAACATTGATAAAAGCCTTACATATGATGAAGCTAAGATAATCAAGTCAGGTTTCAATTACTACCTAGGACCTTGCGCAGAGATGGGCTATTGTGTGGCTCTTGTCAACCACAAACTCTGTGTCAGCCGCTTCTAAACTGTAAGACCGGATATTGCATGTGTGAAATAAAACTAGAATTAGCCAAGGAGTTAATCATGGTTAGGATAGTTATGACTAAGTCTAGCTAGTTCAACTATAATGTCTATACTTGGCGGAATAACTAGAGAATTTCTAGAAGATTTGAGTGAACACTTCTATTTTGTATTCTACAAAAGTCTAGATTCCAAGATAAAATATTTTTGGACTTCATGTTTAGTTTTGATTGGTTTGATTAAAGTAACGAGTAATACATTGGTTAGACTAAATCTAATGTTGACTTAGTGGAAATGAAAGTTAGAGAAGTTGGAAAGACACAAATGGCATGTTACCATCTCAATCTAGAGATTAGTAAACATCTAGAAGGTTTAGGAGTCCAATGGCATGTTGCCACATATTAATAACTAGTCAACCTTACTATGGTTTATCTTTGTACAAATAGGTTAGAAATGAATTACCATTTGTTACTATGGTAAATTCTCAAGTATAGTATATATAGAGAGGTAGGAAAGAGACTCTCAAGCTAGTTTGGATAGTTCATATATAGAGATTTGTTTCATATATGAAAGAGTGACGAAATTTTTTGTACCTTGGAGTGTCGATGAGTGTATGAGTTTGAGTGATACCTTGAGAGATTGTGTGAGAGTGTGTTTAGGTTATGAGTATGTTGCGGAATCCTAGTCTTTTAGAATCATGATGAGCTACCGAGAAACCATCTGAATTAAACCTGAGTGAGAGTCATCCCGGAGGTTGCTGTACGTTAGCAAACCTGTTACGTTTTTTCGGTTGCTATTGTGCTAGGTTAGATTGTTGTGGAGATATCACTTTTCAAATGGTAGTTGCAATCCTCTGTAAGGGGGAGCTATCGATTGCTCGCCGTGAAGGTTCAGCTTTGTCAACAATGTTATACATTGTATGAAAACGCTTTGGTTATTCCAAGAATATTAGAACGTATGTACTGAAAACAAAATATACTTTTAAAATTGTTCATATTGATGACTCATTAATTACATAATTGCGAGTGTAAGAATGAAACAACTAATTTTCCACGGGACAAGAAGTGGATTGAAAACTCTTCAATCCGCTATTTACATGTGAATGTTATCGAAATTCATACAATAAAGTGACATTTACAAAATGTATCTACCATAAAAAACTTACTACAGCAAGAAGTGGGAGTAACAAGATTTTCTACTATTGTACCCCTTATACTAAAGTAAGTTAGAATGTCAAAACCAATGTCAACTCTAGTTTGTACATGAGCATATTCTAATTGCACTAACCAATATACCAAAACAAATCTGTTTTGGTCTCATCGTTTGGCCAATCATCATTCCTGTACTTTGTGAGGAAGATGCCGAATAGAAAATTACACGGAGAAGAGAGAGAGGACTGGGACGGAGGAAGATGCATCAAGGCTGCTAACGGTTGGCGGGAAACGCAGGTTCGAAACTTCGAACGGATTACTGTTTCTGTCGAAGGATGGTTGGAGGCGGTGGTTGGTACCACGTCGAAGCTTCAAATGTTGCGCTCTCTCGAGTGCTCGGTGGCGTCGGATGCCGGAAATGTGGTCTTCGAAAGATCGGAGCTAGCGAGGGACTTCGTCGATCACGATGCCTTTGTGCGTCGCTCTCAGAAGAGTTACAATTGCAAGTGGTGAGCAAGGATTCGAGATCCACAACCCTCGGAACTCATCTCAGCGGACTGGAAGCAACGAGTTTCGCCGCTGGGTGAATTGGCGATGCTTCATGATGTGGACGGCCCGAGGGATCGTGTGGTGACCTTGCGCCGACCTGTACCTTGTGGTGCTTGTGGATGATTATAATTGCAGGTGACTTGAGATTCTGCGCGGCCGCCGTGGATAGGGATTGGTGGGCGATTGAGGTCTCACTCTGTGCGTGTGATGGCCCACTTCGATCCCAGCGATGTTTTAGAGCGGCAGCGGATTGAGAGAAAGCGGTACTTGGAGTCGAAAGTGGCAGAGACTCTGGCCTTTAAACCGTCTAAACCTGGAGCCAATTTGAAGGTATATTTCCGGATCTACAGCAGTCCTTGTTACCGAATCTGCTGCCACCTGTCCCTCAAGCGGATGGATGCTGTGCATTCAAGTACCAAGTGAAAGTTAGAGAATATGTCGAACACCACATGTGAACATTTTATACAGAACAAATATATGAAAATGTCTCCAACGACGGGAACCGCGTTTTCTTCTACACAAGTGGTCGAGGTTCTGTTCAATAATTGAACTTCTGGCTGACTTGAGATAGAGCCAAAATTTTGAACCACAACTTGGAGGGGATTTCCACAGAGTTTCCGACAAGTAACGTGATCTCTACTGACAAGGAAGACGAGTTTCTGATCGGCATGCCCTCAAATATCACGACCTCACCTGCTTAACACCACTCCCGCACAATTCGCTAAAGTGAACAATCAATTCCTGCACCAGGAGCCACTTTCAGTCCCACCTGAAAACTTCTTCTGAACTATGTATACGTGGGTGACAATTCTCAAACGTCGATCTCTGGGCTTGAATTCTACCGCAATGCTCTCAGAACCAACATTCTAATAACAACGAACCGAATGGCGAATAGAGTGAAACGCAATGTTCGCCATTAGGTTTTATAGAATGGGAACATTAGTCCAATAATGGCTACTTCATTGTCAAACCCAAGCGCTAAGTCAAATGCATTTTGATAATGAGGCTTACATGTTGGCGCCACTGTAAAGGAAAGATCGTAAGAGCAGTCACCATGGCGTCCATACTAACGCGAAAATTATGATCGACGTGGATGACCTATGCTCCTTAGTTACATGTCCGCCGTTGTGATGGACCGTTCGAGCCCTTATCAATGATATGTGTGTGCATTCAATATACTGGTGCTTGAATTTCTTGACAGATCATTAGGGCATTGACAGAACGTTTGACGGATGACATTCCTGTCGGTCTAGCTCGTTACATCGACTCTTGCATAGAGGTTTCGAACGAAAGGTGGTGCTACTACAACGAGAGCATTTGTATCCGTCTATATGGGAGCCTAAAACCCGACAATGGAACCTCCGAGTCTAGGTCCCTCATCTCCGACATTCGTTCTAGAGCAAGAGCAAAATTAGGGTTGAAGATGATTTGATGTCTCATTCTTGTCTTCAGAGAGCTGAACATGGAACTTACAAATTGAGCCCAGATGAAGAGAAACAGGCCGTCCTGGAGTATCAGCGTCAATCCAGACAGGCGAGAATTCTTCAGGTAATCCTCGCACCGACCTGAACCTCAATAGTGCCTCCAATCCACACAACACTGCAGAGATGATGAAGGCACTTACTCCATGCATGGTGTTTAAACTGAGACTTTTAATTCAGATGTAACGTGCTTCGATGTACATTCCCATCCCACTTTTGGCACATAAATTTCCATTCCTACAGTAGGTAACTGGTTTGAGTTTGCATTATCGTTAACAAGGTACGAGCACAGGAGATGCTGCATGCTGCAGCATGTGTAGGAGAATTTCGCCAGCGCAAGAAAAGAGACAAACAGAAGCTGCTACAGGTGTTGAGGGTATGTTCTTAGCTGCAAATATGTCGATCTATGTTTTACATTACAGTGATCAGTTTGTACCCCAGGCTGGCGGGTTTCATGTTTACTTTCCTAGCAACTTAGCCATCCGTCGCTTTCCACCGTATCTTTGTAGACTCCTATACAGACTTCCTGAATTATGTCTGTATAGGAGGCTTGGGAAGAAGAGCAGGCAAAACGAAAAGCTGAACTTGAGGCTGATTATCTCAACTCATGCAAGGGCATAGGACAGAGCCATGATGCGGCTCAGCTTGTGGCACAGAATCTGGTGAGATCTCCTGACACAGTACTCATTGACACTCCTTTGAAAGGAACCTTTCCTTGGTAACATTTGCACATTTTTTCTGGCAATACTAAATAAAGAATTTCATTTATGAAATTTTCTACCACAGTGACATGTCATAAACAAACTATTTATTTGTTATTCCTGAACGAAGTCTGGATTTGCATCGCCCTGCCAAGGCTCGTGGTATGTGGTCTTCAGGCCAAGACCAGGCACTCCCCAACAGGTACCGTTTGAGATCCTCATTGAAAGGTCTGCTGATGGAATTGCAGGCGATCATAGCAGAACAAAAGGCTAAAGAAGCTGAAGAAAGCAAAGTATGGGGAACTATAAGATTTCAAAAGGCAATGCAGGAGGTACCTCTCTCATATTACATGAAATCGAGTAGTTTCTGTTCAGTAGCAGCACTATTGGTCTTTGACTAGCTACAGCGTATTTGGACGTTGTACCGACTACAATCTCGGGTGCCCATCAATGGCGCATTCTGGCTGCTCGATTCTCAAGAGGCATTGAACCTGACTCATACCTAACGATTTATGTCTTCAGCAAGAGTTGGATAAGATCGTGCCTGCCTTCATCACATTCGCTTAATCTGATCCAACAAAGTTTTTGGTGAGGTCCTTCTTAGGAGAATGCACGGAAACAAGACGTTTTGCAAGAGCAAAAACTTGCTAAAGGTCGGAGGAAAGTGCTGAGCGAAACAGCAGCGGTGGATAGACGTCGAGCAAGAATTCATGCCTCTTTTGCAAAGCCTGAAGTCAGAGAAGAGGAGAAGCTGGCAACAGATGAAGGTACTCTTGGAGCTTTTGACGCTTGACTCTATCTATCATAAGTCACCTTGTTTTTGTAGCTTCGAACAAAGCCAAGTTTGAGTGCGTTGTTTAGTGCATGTTGAATGCTAAGAGTAGTTATGACTTCAATATTCTTATATATTCTCTATCATTCCTAGCATCTGATTTAGAAACCGTAGATGGGGGTTTTGTTATGGATTCATTCCAATTGCAAGATGCCAGCAAGTGGATTATCACTCAGCACGAACCGTACCGTACTGACGATCAAACTAGAGAGGCATCTCTTTGTAGGTCTCCATAGTCACATCGTTTATTATGCTCGCTATTAGATAAGCAACTTGCGCAATAAATCTTTATTGAACGTAATCATATAAGCCAGGTAATATGTTCCAATCTTTGTCTGAAGAGCTTCTCAAGTCCGGAGAGGGCGAGTATGTTCACTCTCCTTCAAGCAAGTTGATTAGCACTCTCTCATCTAAAATGAACATTTGACTGCCCTTGTCACTTCCAAAATTTAATGCACCTCTTTATTCAGCAAAGCAAGTGCGTGCTAATTGGCGGTCAATTAGATTGTTGTATGAGTACCTTTTCTGTTTCTATAGATTCTTTTCCTAAACGTTTGTTTTGCCATGAACAACGAGTCTTGTATGAAGCCATGAAGTCACTCTAGCATCTTTTACTTGCAGAAGAACCGGAGACGTATCTAAGAATTGGTTTCAACAAAGACGACATTAGACGCAATTTTATACAGTCGCGGTTGCCTGGCACTCCCAATGATTACAAGGACACATACTTCCATTCCCGCTTCAGTATGTTGAAGGACCGATCCAACTTTACTCAACGTTCTGCTCACGCTGATGAAATTCAACACGAAGCTGAGGTAGATGCATGGAAAGCTGCCGAAGCTCAAATGAAGAATGTGGAAATGGAAAAAGAACGGAAGGCAGAACTGGAGGAAGTTTGGAGACGACGCAAGGCGGAGAGAGGTCATGCAGCAGCTGCTAAGCTACAGGTAGAGCGGAATATGATGGCATTGCATGTAGTTCGTTGTATAGAAGAGCTTCAAATATCGATGAGAAGAACTAAATGCTGCTTAAGATTAACATCAAGTATGTTTTGTCCAACGCTTCTCTCTACTGACTATTAATCATTCCTCTAGTGTAATAAGAAAGACAACAAAGTCTTGGCGTTTGTTTCCAAACATTGAGGAATCAAACATAAATTGAGGTCTCTGTTGATCTTAAATGTATTGGTAAAAGAGTGAAATCTAGTATCAAAAAATGAACTTTAAAATGAATCTCATGAGTTTTGTTTGGGAGATGTTGAAACTATTTGCTTGCAGAAAATAGCTTCTCTAGAGAAAGAGCTGGTAGTGGAACTGGAGGAAGAACAAGAACGAAAACGTCAGCTGGAAGCTATTGAAGAGCTGACGAGAGCTATACATAGTCCTGTATACAAGCCTGATTCATGGAGACGTCTGCAGTCGTCTAACTCCTCTTCCCGCAAAGGTTATCAATTTCCCATTCACTTGTACGAAGCACATATGATCTCATGAAGATGGTGCTTAAAGCCATTGACATAGCAAACGTCTAAGTTTCAGACATCACAGGCATTTTTTTTGGAATTCTGAGCAGGTGTGTAGTGGTACACAGAGAGTTCAAGTGAGCATTTTCATTCCTTAGTCAGGGGAGTTGGTCAATCTTTAGTCAAGTTGTTTCCACCATAATACTTGGGATATACTTCACCAGGAAGTAAACGCAGTACACGAACCCAATTTTTTTGATCATCTCTAGCTTCCACCCATCAGAGACGACCTATCAACTTGAACTCATGTCGCCTAGAATTCATCCTCCAAGTAAAAATTTTCTTGTCCTGAAAGTCAACATTTTCCGATAATGGTTAAAAGGAATCGAGTGTGTAGAAACGACCTCATATTCCTATTCACTTCCTTGAAGATTAAGACTTCAGGACATGAGGGAAACCTTCACCAGCTTCTACAAGACAGCGCAAGAAGATGTTGAAGCCATTGGGTAGGTCTGATCTGTAGTTTTTTGTTGCTGATTAAGCATGTTTGGACTGAATATTGACGTCCATTCGATGTCCATTGTACTCGCGTTTATTCTGAATCACTCGTATTGTTGGGAGTCTTACCCAGTCGAGCTTACCAAAATGCCTTGACTTCCTCATGGGAATACGAGGGATCATAGTTTGATACCTAAGTATCATTCATTTCTTGAGTGGAATCCTACAAAGGAATGCAAGAGGCTCCTCTGTGAAGTCGATATGTATCAGTAACATGACTGCGATTGCTCAATGGGATACTATGCGGAGGAATCCCCTTCTCTACGCTAAAGAGGGTTCCTCCATCTTGTATCTTAGTGAGTAGCTCCTATTTTATAGTAGCGTTTATATTGAAGCAGAGTTGCACGGTTGGAAATGAGAGACTGGGGTTGAGATACTATATGCATGTTATTAAGGAGGCCGAAAATTTTTCGCTTTCTTCTCACGACCAGTCTTTCAGTAACTTTTCCTTTTTCGGTACCTGTATATGAGAGATATGAAAAATATCATTGCCTATCTTCTACATTCCCCAGTGTTTTAAGCTTTCCTCCACTGGATAGTCAGCTGTCCAACTTTATGCACTAAACCGATAAGGAAGAGAGACGATTTCTCTTACCGGGAGGGTCTTTTGCATTCGTGATTCCAAAAATCTTGCCCCAAGAACTGAAGGTTTTTTCTTCTTCTGTTTCAGACTTCTTTTCTGCTTGGCGCTTTTTCATGTAACTGCTGCGTACAGACAGTTAATATTGAGAAACTATTTTGCTGGAGAAGCCTTGGTGCGTAGGTCCAATTATATCCAACCACGCATTTTATTATGTAGTGCTTACTAGAACCTTCCCTGTGCATCACGAGTCTAAGCAGAAGATCTACGAACTTTGCTCTTAAAATATTGTGGGTCTACTTTCCAATGGAAAGTTTACAAAAAATCAAGCGTTTACAGTTTAAAATATTGTGGGTCTACGAGATGGAAAGTTTCCATCTTTCAGCTTCAAACAAAGGGTAAGATTGCACTTGGAGAATATTACATTCATTAGTCACTGTCTGAAAGAAGTAAAAATTGGCTAGGTAGGAGTTCTTAGCTAGATCAAAAGACTTGCCTATCTACAGGGAATGATTCCACAAGCTCTTTCCGATCGTTGGTAGCTTCCTCCCCCCCCGCTACCTCCATAAAAAGATACTTCAGAAGGGGTCGAGGTTCTTGATCAAAGGACCGAAGAATTTATATCTCCTTTTCTTTTGCGTTCATTCTACTTTTTTTCCAGATTGGTTACTTAGTTGCTGTGGTTAGCCCTTTATCCGACAAGCCTGTAGCTTCCGTTGTTACGCAGAATATCGCGAAGTCGACACTGAACATCCTGTGATTTTCTTACTGCAGAGACTAATAAATCTTATAACGCACGTCCTGGTGAAATTGAAAAGAAGGGACCAGAAGCAGACGACGCTTCACGTGTTACGGACTCAAGGGTATCGTACTCTGATTCAAAAGAGACTGTCCAGATATGCGAAGGAAGAGAAAGTGTGCCAATTGCAAGACAGTCTGATTCAGAAGAGACTGTCCAGGTATGCGAAGGAAGAGAAAGTGTGCCAATTGCAAGACAGTCTGATTCAAAAGAGACTGTCCAGGTATGCGAAGGAAGAGAAAGTGTGCCAATTGCAGGACAGGCCACACTGCCGGTCATTGGTGATGACTTATCCGTTCAGGAGTCTTCGTCGCAAAGAAATCTAGAGGGAAGGGTGAAAGACGATAAGCTTGAAGCTGTGTGCGCTGACGATGAAAGAGCCGATATTGTAAAATCCACTACTTCCAAAGAGGAGCGTTCTGTAGAGGAAATGACATCAAATTTCCATTCTTCGCAAGTAAAGGTGCCTGGCCTCAATTTCAGTGGTTTTCCTTGCAAATTGAATGATAAGAATGGAACTGCTCCGGGTATTGTGACAACAGCAAAACATTTTACCCCACGAAGTTACAGTTCTGTAGGCAGCATCAAGGCAACGAAAGATGTCAGGTCAAGCGCAAAAGTATCATCTCTATCAAGTTTGAGTAGAAAAAGTGGAATTAGGAAAGGCAACAAAAGTCCTCAAAAGCATGAAATAGAGCAGGCACCTAACGTTCACGAATATCAAGATGCAGCTGACTATATTAAGGAGTTCAAAGTCAGGTCCAAAGCTCTTTTGAGCGATCAAGCCCGGCCATCAGCAAACATGGTGGACAAAGAAAAGGTGGGCGGAAAAGTGGGGGTGCCTGGTTTATGCCAATTAGCTGAAGGTTGTGGAGCAGAGGCTCGAAAGAAGTCTCCCAGGAAGGAGAGCAGTAATTGGCTTTCAAACATTCTCGAAAAGTTTCACTGGTGGAAATGCGACTCATCCCCGAAGGAGTTTTCTTGTCCCGGAGTGGGAACTGCTCAAGGAAAGTTGGACGTTGCTGGGAGGTCAAGCGAACAGGCTGATCGTCTCCATGGTTTGGAGAATGTTGGTAAATCAAGCACGCCCAGAACAAAACAACTTGATGAACCTTTGCAAGAGTCGTCTCCAACCAGGAAGACCGTACCATTCAGGATTGAGACTTTGGGGAGTTTAAACACATTGAGAGAAACTGACTGGTACTGCGAGGAGCAACCTGGATGGTCAGAAGCTCGCACAAAGGTGGTCTTCACCAAGGAGGAACTGGAAGCATTGAAGCTGGAACTATATGGTACTTTGACCGGGGAAACGATTACTTCTCAACAGAGGAAGGTAATTCTGAGAAAGGAGAAAGTGAGACACGTTTCAAAGTCTCAAGGATTACATATGTCGCTGTTTCCGCAGCACGCAAAGGATATGCATAGAAAGGTGAAGTCTGCAGAATATGAAAATGATCAGCATTCTAGGTCTTTCAACAGAGGACTTGAACATTCGATCAGTCCTGCATTCAAACTTGACAAGACAAAGTTGTCGAGGCCTCCAAACAAGATTTTTATGACTTGCCCACAAGACGAGAGTATTCCTTTCACTAATTCGCAGTCGGTAGACGAATGTCTTGATCCTGGCTCACTTCGAAATACAAGGAACCAGAACCATGATAAGAAACCTCTTATGAAAGATTCTGCTACACAGTATACTTCTGCTGAGTTTGAGTGTGCACCGAAGCAGGAACAAGCTTTGTGCAGAGAGTCGATTGAGGAGAGAGCGCGTGAAGTAAAGACCCTTGTGGAGATACACAAAGGAACACTTCTGAATGCTGAGGAAAGTCATCATGGCAGTCCGGCGTCCGCCGACAACGTTAATCTTCGGTTGAATATATCAGCGTCTCCTCAAGACGCCGTATCATCTGTTTCGATTCCCACGCATGACAAGGGAAAGGGTTTAAATGAGCTAACATCAGCTCGTCAGGTTGCGGAAGAACTGATTCGAGCTTGGAGAGCAGGGCAGCTCGGTGGTGACGTGAGTGCCACCTTTTCACGAACGAAGGAAAGTCCCCAGGTTTCGCGGAAGAGGAGAGCAGCAACGGTTGAAGAAGTGCAAGTCAGTGCCAGCCATGCGGGGACGAGGCAGAAGTTAGGACAGCTTAGAGAGAAGATAAACAGGCCGCAACAAAACTCAGCAACGAAGCTCAGAAAATGGGACGTCCTGACTCCATCCAGTGGTGGTATAAATCATGAGAAAAAAGATTCAAACGTTGCCAGTCCCTTTAAGAGGCGGGATCTAAGCAGAAATACAATCACCTCGGGACAAATTCGTAGTCCCATGAAAACAAGTTTGCAACACCGCAAGGAAGAGCACTCCCTGTTATCGAGTAAGAAGTATCCCGAAGAAGCCACGAACATGAGGGTTGAAGATGTTTCTGAGGGAAGATCACTCGATTTCATTCTCGGTTCACTTTCAGCCCAGGTAAGAGAGCTAGATGAAAGGCTTCAATATGTAACCGCTTGTTCGCTGGTAACAAAGGACGGAACTTTTGTTTGCACTCCTGGCGGGCAGGAGGAACAGAAGCCCGTTTCAGATGAGAGAGAAGTTGCAACGTCTGTACCATCGGCTAATAGAGTCACTCATGCTGTCAATAGAAGTGGGCGAGCTCTCCAACATACTGTCACTGGAGAATCTGAAAGAATCAAAAGAGCCAGTGTCAGTGAACGAGAGAGGACCAACGGAGGAAAGACTATGAAACCGGTGGGACCGAGTCCACCAATAAGCCCGCACAAAACTAGTAAAGAGGATGGCAATTTTTCCTCCTTGCAGGGCCATCAGGAGAAGACGAATAAATCAAATACTCAAGTGAACGAAAATCGCCTCGGCGGTTCTACAGTGCAGGCTCAGTCACCGGAATCATCGATGGAAATCTGTATAGAAGACATGACCAACCTGATGCAAGAAATAAATCGTCAACCCGCATGTGGGAAGAAGGGAGGTCAAATACTCCAGGATTCCTTTCTTGAGAATTTACCCAGACGGTGTGAGAGTGGAACAATCGAAATCAATCAGGAAGACGTGGAGTCCAGACGCCCTGTTGGCAGGAATAAATGTCTGGAACCGGCGTCTGGATCTAAATCTCAGGAAAGTCGAGAGAGATTTTCTTTCAAGTTATTTGCTGACATTTGTTCTGGGAAAGCTGAACTTGCTACTCTCGACGAAATGGGAACATCGGATGCCGATAAACGAATGACGGATGGTGAGTTACATGTTTACGCCCTTCTTTTTCTCATAAGATCACGTCTGTTCGTACGTGTTAATAACCCTCGATGTCGTTTGAAACAGCCCAGCGCATGGTGGAACTAGGAGCTTGCAAAAAATCTAGCTTAATTTCCTCCCCGTTCTTTCTCTCGGTACAATCAATCTTTCAATACAGATAAGTTGAACGCACTAGGTAGATAATACCTAGTATCCGAGCATTTACAAGCAAATGGCAAGCCTGAACATGTCACACTCCCGACATGTGTTGATCTCTGGGAACATTCGTGCAGCAATTACTGGTTGAAATCGCTCCCGATCATCCATGAACTGAAGCTTATAAAGGTGTGTTTGTTTTAGTACAGACACTCATCTTTAACGCTAGATGAGGCTGTCATTGAGTATTTGACGTGTAGCAGGTTGTAGAAGGAGCAACTTAAAAAATGACGCATTAGTGTATTTTGATAATGCAGGAATGACGACTTCCCCACGTCATGCTGCTACGAGGGTTCCTCTACGGCAAGCCGAGCGAATTTCTCTGTCATCATTAGACTTGGAGGAAGCAATGAGGCTTCATGGAACTGAGGAGCACATGCTGCTGTCGAGTTCTGTAGATTTTTCACCTTGGAATACTGCAAACCTTCCTGATGTTTTCACTTCTATTAGCGACGTCGGTAGGAGATTAAATTATAGTACACAAGTTGAGCCTGCTCGACTTCGTCAAGACAATGGTTCCAAGCTTGAGCATTGCCATCTGAAAGAAAGTTCCAAATACCTCTTGAAGAATAACGAGTTCAAGAAGAAATGCAAAGCTTTTGAAAAGAAGAGGCTAGGTCGAGGTAAAGGTAAGCAGAAGAAGAGTGTGCGAAAGCCTTTCAATCCAATGGCTTTACCTCCCAAACACCACCACGGCTGTCATACATCAAAGTCCAACTCGACGCGATCTCTGCAAACAACTCCGCAGCCTGGAGCTCTAAGCTTTTCCACGAAAGATATGAAACTGACAAAGAAGTCGCAATCAAATTCCAAGTTGACAAGTAGAAGCTTGCCAGAAGAATTTCCACTGTCGGTTGCTGCAGAAGAGGTCCAGAAGTGGCTGAGAAGAGATGCTACGGGGTGTTCAGCAATGCCCCCTGATGACGTTCGAGGCAGAAGAAGAGGGTCGTATGTAAAATATCCCCAGTTTTCGGGCTCAAAGAGACCTCAAGGTTTCGAAGGGTCAGGTACAGCGTCACCACCACTAGTCATGACTACTCCAGGAGGTGATGTCGAGCGATTCGACAGGAGGAGTTTGATTAAGCGAGATTTGGTACATATCTTCCGTACTTTCACCCAAACGTCTCCCGAAGAATCGTTGTCTCTGCTTGTTTCTGTGTATGTGAACTCTGAGGTATTCAATAACACTTGAGGCGAATTGCATCTGCATTGCGTGAGAAGAGCTGATTGGGATATAGAAGGTTTCTCCTCCTTCCATTGGTCTGATAGTGGCTGGTGCTACGTAATCTAAGTGATGTGAAGAACTTAAGTATGAAACTTTCTCGGTTCTTTGTCAAGTGAAACGGGCTTAGGTGTTTGGTGGCTGTAGTTTGCTCTTTGCTCTTTGCCAAGTACTTTGATTGTTGCAGGAAGCAAGAAGAAGACCATCTTCTGCCGGTATTGTTATGAACGGGAGATAAGGAGACCATCGCAGCGCGTTGTATCTGTTACCGACCATGTTTCGATAGAAACCAAAAAGCTACATACCTTCGTGAAGCATCACAGAGAATATCTTTCCAAACTTTAAAAAAGTTATGAAGCTCGAGGTTGAAAATGATTTCTCAGCCAATCATCAATCTGATTGGTGTCACTAGAAGTGATGGTTACGTAATTTTATCCGATTACGGCAGCTACGAAAAGAGATGTCTATGATGCGGATAAACGACGTTACGCTAAGAAGTATGAGTGAAGCTCTGACCTGACTGTCCCTTGAATCTACGTGTTGGCACATAGCTATCTCCCTGTACATTCACATAAATCTCTTGGCACGACGTTCTTCTGTGGTGATGGTGGAGGAGTTGGACAGGAGAGTTTGAAAGCGAAGTATACTTTTTCCTTCGCGCACTTGCAGTAACCAAGAGATCGGAGCAGTGCGTATCGGCGCATGAGTTGTCGAATGGAGTGCATATGCGCTTATGTAAAGAAACTGCACAGTTGTGTAGATAATCTTCAGTTTATCTCTCGGTGCATCATGACAAGAAGTCGACCTTTACTGTAGTTAGGACCGGAATTGTGGTCATATCACATGACCTTGCTCTCTGTACTTGTCTTTCTTGTGATTCTTATAATGTTCTATTAGCGTCTTGCGCAAGGTTTTAGAAATTCTTCTCGATATTATGTGATTCTTCTACTATCTTCGACTACAATTACTACTTGTAGCCGTGCAGGCCCACGATCAGTGCAGTGGAAGCAACTATCTTCACCACTCCCATTGGTTTACTCAAACGTGGGCCTGATAGCCTATCACGAGGCGCTCACTAAGGAGCTTCTATTGTAACATGTGTTCACATCCTCGAGCATGAGACTGAAACCATGTGCTGCCGTTTTTCCTTTCTACATCTACCTTACTTCTTACCAGTATCGGTCTGAACACCTCGACCAATGTTACGAATTTCATCATCGAGAGCAGTTTCTAGAGTTCAATTTCCAAAATGTTACGGTGAGTTTTTGAACCATTGCTCTGCAATTATTTATTTGTATCGAAGTAAAGGGCACGCCTGCTGTTCACTTTTGTTGTGTAAGATGTACATATACATGCCCCGGGTCAAGGAGATGGAACTCTCCGAAGACGTGGGCTTCACTCCCCAATGACAAATCTTTGCTCGTATCACCACTCCGCGTCTAGGACTTAGAGTAGTCGATTAGAGAACCGCAATCCTCGGAGAAAGAGATTCTAATCGAGGAGCAGTTGTGTCAAGGCTCCTGTTGTGACTGCTTCCCGAGTTGAAGAGTATCCTTGGGAAAATCTGGCACTTTATTACAGTAGAGAGGACACCTCCCTGAAAGAATTCCATCGTTTGTAAATCTTTCAAAAAATGACTTTCCAAGTCCACATTGTGCAGGATCAAATCGCTAATGAGCCCATGGTCAGCAATCTGGACAGGACCTCTCCACTCCGAGCTTCGATCTTCAAGGAGGCGAGTTCGTCGGCTCGTGTCGGTCCAATGTTGACAATTCCCACGGGGGATCCTCGCTCAATTGCGGCGCGGATCAACCGGAAGACAGACATGACCGTCAACGATGATCCTACCGCCAGGACAGCATCACTGGACATCACCAATTCCATGGCTTCCTCTGCTCTTGCTTTAGGTACATTGTCTCCGAAGAACACCACGTCGGGTTTCAACACGCCCCCACATTGCTCGCAAGCCGGGACGAGGAAATCCTCCTGGAAGAATCTGCTGTCGATTTCAATGTCTCCGTCCGGGCGCTGCTTCATGCCGAACGAGGCATCGCTTCCGGGCTCTCCCTTCTCCAGAGCTTCTACAGCAGCAGCCCAGTCGGGATTTAGGTCACAGACCCTTTGTTGGAACTTGTGCCTGTCAGTCAATTCTCCACAGCCGAGGCAGAAAACTCTGTGCGTGGTCCCGTGCAGCTCGATCGCATTCGTGCTCCCAGCTCTGTGGTGCAATCGATCGACGTTTTGTGTGATAATGCGCATCACTCGGCCCTTCGATTCCAACTGCGCCAATGCTCGATGAGTCGGGCCGGGCTCGGCGGCCATGAATTGCCTCCAGCCTGCATAGCTCCTGGCCCAGTACCTCCTTCGAGTGGCAGCCGTGCGCAGAAATTCCTGGTGAGTGATCGGTTTGAATCCACTGCTGTAAGCTCCATTCGGACTCCTGTAGTCGGGAATTCCACTCTCGGTGCTGATTCCTGCTCCGGTGACCACCACCAGGTTTTGACTCTCTTCGACGAATCGGTACAGGTCTCGAAGATCGTGATCACTCGGTGGACTTGCCTCGGGTATGAGCTCTTTCCTTTTCACCGCATAAGTTCCCACGATCGACTCCCGAGACTCACTGCTTACCTGCGCACATCCATGCTTGTTGGTCGACAGCAAGGCGGAAGATTGGTGCCCCGGCAGTCCACCACCGCACAGAGTCCTCAATTGCGCCACTCCCCATTTCGCACAGCGGTGCCTGCTCATGCCTCTCAGAGAATGTGCCAATTGCAGCCCCGAGCAGCGGTAGTTCATGAATTGCTTCCCCTGTGGCCTTATGGCTTAGTTCCGCGGAAGAACTTGCGGATCAGGTCAGAAGCAGAGGCAGAAGCAGAAGCTGCTGCCTTCGTCCGTGGGGACGAGTGTCGAGGTGGATCATCTAGGCCCGCATGTGGACGTGCGCCAGGAGCCCCTCAAGCGGACGTAGGCTTGAGAGCAATCCGTGCATGTACCTGCGTGTCTTGAGAGACATTGGCCTCGTTCCTGCGTCGAGGGACGTTTGGCTCGAGGCAACTCACTTTTAACTGTCCATTGGCAGGTCTTCTTCGCTCGTGTCGCTTCTGGGCATGGTCAGTTTCCGCAGGCTGTGAATAGCTTTAGGCTGCCTTCTCGAGTTGACTCGCTTGCTACAAGCTGGGCTCTGACATGAAGGCGACTGGAAACCTTTCGAGACAATACTGTAGAAACTTGCTTCGCGGTCAGCGAAGAGCGGGTTCATGTGGCAGATCGTCCGATCCTCACTCTGCAACAATTATTGTTATCCGATATTATCGAAAACGAAAGATCGTGGCACCAGTGCCGACGTAGCTGTCGATTTCCAATAGAGCTCCGGCACCCGGGTCAAAAGCAAGGCTTTCTTTCTTTTCCAGTACTTAGATTCCTCGAAGTCATTCTTTCAAGTCATGGACGCTGGACATATCAGAGAGTTCAGGGCAAAGCTGATCGGGGCAGTTCCTCCCCGGATACTTGTATACTATCACTACGTTTACCGTCGGCAGTGTAATTTGCGTCGAAAAGTGGACACCAAGGCAATAAATTTGTAAGCAAAGGACCACAGCCTCTTCACCACTTTTGACGGGATAATTGCAAATACTTGCCACACTCGCGAGGATTAAACATCGAAGCACACAGATTCATAGCCATTGCCCTCCGGACCAGAAACCACAGATGTCTAAAACATAATTCGGTTCCGTAAATCTCGTTGGCTTGAGATTTCAGAATTTCAAACTAGCCAAACTTCACGTCTACGGTTACTCTTTCCGAAGGACCAGAAAGTAAATAAAACTTCTTCACGCGAGCAATTTTTTCTGCGTCTAGAAGATAGTTTTGTTGAGCCTAGATGAATTATTTGAGACACAACTTCTGCAAGAAACGTGTATACATCATACTGATATTGAAATGCCCTCGTAAACATCTGATTTCTGGATATTCATTCCTTACATTTGAACTGAAGAATGTAATTTAAGGACTTGGATAAACCCTTTCCCCATACGACTTTGAATAGAATTGATAATCAGAGATAATGTTTGACAGTGCACGAGAAGTGAATGCCTCTAATTAAATAACTTTGATGGCATGTCCTTTTGATCACCGCTTCGCCAGAATTTTTCCCCTCAGCTTGTAAGCCCATTCAAGGCCCGGGCAGTAATGCAAGGGGGGGTTGAACCGACCATCGGTCATCTCTGGCGGAAGAAACGCACCGTTTTCTAGGAGAAAACGGACTGCTCTCTTGTTTCTCTCTTTGGCTGCATTGTGAAGTGGAGTCCCTGCGCATTGTCACATCAGATACTTAGCTCAATATATTCCACCGTACCTTGGCATGAACAGCTTGTTACAATGCGGCTCTTACTCCTAAACACCGCTTAAATGCCAACCGGCCTCCCATGTGGAAGAGCTCGGTATCACGTCCAGTCATCGTTGCGTTGTAACAAGAAAAATCTTTAATGGTTCGCTTCAGAATCAAACAGGAGCAAATAAAAGCTCAGTCAATTTTTTAAGCTACAACAGATTCATGATTTCTGATTCATAGATACGTGTCCATAAGTCAGGAAAAAGAGAGGTTCACTCCTCGACCAGAAAATAAACCTCAACAAGTGTGAGATTCATTAGAAACTCCACGTCAATTCCTATCACGATCGGACAGATTATGAACTCAACATGAGATCAGCTGAAATCATGTGGGAAGCCAGGTTGTCAGTGTGCGAAAGGTTGGTTCATTAACCGCAGATGTAACGATGTCAGAGGCCACCAAATTACTCGGGTTACAGTTGTGCAGTGAACGCATCATGCATCAACCTCACTCTTCGTCCGGATGGTTCAATCAGGGCGTCAACGTAAGGATCTCTTGACGTTTGATGTACTGCGATTGTGATTGAAGCGAGTATGACTACTCATCTACGGCATCAAATCATGCGTACAAAATTGGCACGAGAACGCACAAACTGCTCAGTTTGTTCCAACAAACAATAGCTGCAGAATAATCACACTAAGGAGCTATTCCCAGGGCAGCCAACTTCGTAGCTACAACTATCGACGACATATTTCCTTCAGAAATACAGCTTCAAGATGAAAGGCCTGTGTTGGGAGTTCTAGAATAAGAACCAAAACAGGAAAAAACAGCAACAGGAACCAAGAATAAACAACGCACAGCTAGCAGATCAACTAGTCGTGATGAAGCCAACAACTACATCTATTTAAAAACGCAACTCTAAGGGTCAACTTTCGCTCACTTGGGCTAGTTAAGCCAACATCTATGATATCCTGTTCTATGGGAATCAAACGTCAGAGCTCAGTTCCATCCTGGCAGTCCAACTGAAAACTGCGATGTGTGCACGACATCAAAGATGATCGACAGCCAACCCCTTTCCTTCGAACCAAGCACACTGTATACTCAAGTCCCAACAGGGAAGAATAAAATAAACCATGATACTTACATCCACAACCTCCTTTGGTGCGGGCCTCGATATTTGCACCGCGTTCGAGCAGTTCATCCATCACATGCAGATGCCCTCCAGTGGCTGCCAAGTGCAAGGGGGTCGTTCCTGGCGCCTTTGGTCCCCAAGCCGGGGCGTTAACATCAGCTCCTTCATCTAGCAGGCGCTGAACCTGGGGTATACAACAGCCAAATGGTGTTACAATTCCGTAACAGACAATATTTTGGATATTCTCACAGTTGGGCAAGGTCGGCAACGGCAAAAGTTTCTGTGAGCAGAACGGCTTTTGGATCAGACAGGGCATCATTAACTTTGGGATTGCTAGCATAACGTCTGTCAGGGACACAGAGCCTGCCAGCTCATAGCTGTTACATTCGGTCGGGACTTTACAATTGTCACTCTATGAAAGATGACCTGACCAATAAGTGAGGACTATAATGATACAAAATCCCAGTGTTGATGACATTGTGACAGTGAGGGAAAAACCTAACACCAAAGTCCTGCAAAAACATCAGAAATTTTTTTTCCGATCTGTGCACAGAGAAGGAAAAGTACCTCTGCTAAATCCCCTATGCGGGCCGCAACGTGCAGAGGAGTCCAACCACGGTCGTCTCGAAGAGCACCACCCCCTGGCTCGAAAGAGTCTCGCCGACATAACGAGCGAGACCAACTGTTTTGTCTGTGAACGCCCACGACACTCATTCTGCTGGCGATTCGTCGATAGTCGCAACCACCGACCGTGGCACTCGGTCTCCGCTTTGTCGGCTGGTTGTAATCTGCAGAACCCTACACTGGAAAATCTCTCGTCAAAACCCCTCTGCAGGCACGGTGTTCAGCAGGCCACGATAAGATGCCGCCAGATGAAGCGAAAGAGGGAATTATCCGCGACCGCCGCTCTGCTTCCTCGCACTCCCTTCCTCTCTTGCAGGAATCCAAGCAACAATCTGGACAAGCGGGCACGGCCGGTGGATTTCCTTCTCCTCTGGGGCCTCCACGCAAGCCCAATCAAACTCTAGGACGTCGGCTCGCTCGCTCGCTCGCTCCAACCTCGACGACCAGTCGGCGCAGAAGGCAGTGCTTCGCTTCTTCGCCTGCTTCGATGTGATTCTCCAATGACACAAGAAATCAACCTACGGCGAGACGAAAGCAGCCAGGACGACAGATCGTTGAGCAAAGCAGCCGATTCCGGGCCCCGGGACACACATAGTGCCTGCACAAAACTCCGGCGTTGGGAAGAGAGATCGGGCCAGCCCGATCGAACTCCTGGCCCTCGAACAATCCACCCCCTCCCCAATTCTCCCTGCGCCTCGCTCCACCCTCCACCTGCACGCCTCGCTCTCGACCCACTTCCAATCAGATCCGACCCCGCTTCCTCTAAGCTCTCTCTCTCTCCCGGGCACGGCCCCGCCCTCGCAATCCGAAACGCGCAAACCCTCGACGCCTCGCACCAACACACCACACGAGCAGCGCAGAGCAGAGCAGGGCAGAGCACGAGAGGCGATGGCGGTGGCCGAGCAGCGAGCGCGAGAGAAGTAGAGCGCAGCTCCCGAAGCCTCGTCCGACGGGATTACCGCCCGCAGCCCGAAGACGGACCGAACGCGGGCCGAAAAGACGCAGGACAAATCCTCCGCCGGACGACCGCGCGAGAGAAGACCCAGAGCCGCATCGCCAGTGGGCCGCATCCCGACTTCCCTTCCGCTCCCGCTCCCGCTCCCGCGGCGACAGAGGTCCGACGGCTCGAGCCCTTGCGCCCCGGATATTCGCGCGACGAACTGTCATCAGCCGTCGGAGTTTCGGACGGCGGCGGTCTGCCAGTCCGAGGCTGGTGACTGCCTGGTCCCGTCGCGGCTGGCTCGGTTTCCGCACCCAGGTCCGGACCCCAGGCAGGCCCGGAGACGTCGTCTTTCAGACGATCCGGGGGAGTAGATGAGTCAGCAGATTCCAGGTCCGGATTCTCATCTGCAACCGTTTGTGGGATCGATCGAGGCAGATCGGAGCGGATTTTGAGCACCTTGTGGATCGGCAGTTCAACGCCATGGAATGACGATCGACCTCCAGGGGCGAAGAACGAAATCTAGGCCATGCCAAGGTTTAGGCATGGCCTAGATTAGGCCATGCCTAAACCTTGGCCTAATCTAGATCCGAATCATGCCTCTTCCGATACTTCCCCAAGAGTGTTCAGAGGTGTGAAATTTGCGCTCTGACAACAAACGTTCCCACTCGAATCAAAGCTCATAATCAGAATCATTCGATGGAGTACATGAACGTGCTGTGCTTATGGATTTGTGATGTTTAGTAATCGAGCGGGACACAAAACCATATAAAATCTTCTTTTCTTGCTCGTCCTTTTAACTCGTTTCGAAAAACTGGACATTACGTCGTTCGAGTTAAGCTGGCGCTTGGTGCATGTGTTTACAAATGGGCGAGAAGGGAAACCGATCATGGCCTTTTCCTCTACCGGTGGTATCACGAAAAGCGCCAAGTAGCCTCTTATTCGCTAACAGATCCACATCCTGGGGAGGAGGGGATGAGTCGAACAAATTAACTCTAACTAGAAAGGGGCTAAGCCTGAGCCTCTTTCCCTGATCTAATCAATCCCCTTAGCCGCTAAGGGAATTGATTAGAAAGCAATTGGCAGTAATTACCGCAATGAAATAATGAACTAGAACAGATTCAATATGCCAATTATAGACTGGACATGAGCATACGATGCCATCAACTACCGTCATTGCTATACTGTGTACAGGGTATATTGTATATGTGCTCAGATACGCTGGCTGAATGACTCTAATTTGCAATCGGGATTCTCCCTCACACTCAATGATGCTGCATGAGACAGGGTTACGATTGATTCTGCTAGATGTGTAGATCTGTCTGACTTCCCAACCGAGAAGAACAGAGGGGCGAGAGGAAGACAAAGCGAAGAAGATGCAGATAGGACTTTCAAGGAGGTCGGATTCAGCGTTGTTTGCAGCGTTGTTCTCTGTTATGATCCGACTCGTCTGGCGAGGTGACTACATTCCCCTTCCCGTGTCTGGTTCCGTGCTTGCTCGAAGCAAAGTGAGTGCTTGAATATCTGACCTACTCCAAATTTCAGATTTCCCAAGTTCTCGCGTGACCTCGGGCCCTCATTCCGCGGTGTTATCTAGCCAATGCTGATGCCGATAATTGACCTCGCATCATTCTACATGAAAAGCTCGTGGCTACACAACAAGATGAGCTTGATGCACCTTTGCTACAGATGAAGGTTCAAACAGAGCCAGCCACCCTCAAGAATGCAACACGAACATAAAGTTATGAAGATCTCGTTCCCGACTATTCTGGAGGAACATTAATTTTGGAAAAAGCCTATTGGGCTACACTACACGGGCTGCTTGAGAGTACTGCAGTTCCACGTTTAGTTACTGGATCAGAGAACATGACCAAACGCCAGACGTACGAACTAAAAGTTGGTTGTTGAAAACGAATCCAGAAAAAAATTATCAAAGGCCGAGAAAAGAAAATATTCTTTAATCCCCTCAGCACTAATATGGAGAAAGTAAAGGGTCCTTTTTATTCACTCTCGATAGGTTAATTTTTCACAGAGTGGAAAATACTCTTAACACTTCATTCCAGGAAATTAGATTGCGGAGAGGTCAGAGATGGTCATCGTCACGACTCCGATGGCAGGGGCCTTTTTTCCCATTACTTTGAATCAATTTTTGATACGTTGCTGCAAGCTCAAAGTGAGAGTTTAGCTGTCATTTTAAGCTCGCACAGTATGGTTAGTTAAACATGAATGCTACAAATATGTGGAAATTATTCTCGACAATGTTGACTTGGAGTTCCTCTATGCCCTTTCCATGGAGGAGATGATGCACTGGCAAATAGTTGAGCAGTTCAAGCAGATTATGCAAACCTCTACGAAGTCCATAACTATGTGGCAAATCTGGTTCCTACTAAGATTTAGGGCTGGAGTCACGGAAAATTGTTGTGCTGTCCGTCTACTGCATGTCGAATCATTGCGTTGAAGATTGGTCACTGACCTTATTGAAAGAATGCGAGGCCACAAAAAATCCATGAACCTACTCCTCCGATTGTGGTCCTAAAGACAAAATCGGAGATCCGTATCTTGTTTTCGATGGTTTCAGGCGATCGGGCATGACATGGCTTTGTGGAACCTAGGCTGAAAACTGGTTTCATTCGACCTCGAGCATTTCCATCACTGCATCCACATGGCTCATGGAACATCGTCCGTGCTTGCATAGCGGACTGAAGGCTTGAGAGTTCAGAAAGAGAAAAGTTAGTTCTCCATTGTCGTCACTCCAATAATAGTGTTTCTCATGATTCGCACATTGTTGCTGCTGTATGATAGAAAATGAATCCTGTTCAGCAATCATAGATAGCAGATTCCACGATAAAGAATAAAAAATGCTCTACTCGGCTCGAGTTGGATGTTTTGAATCTCAACCAAGTGTCGAGACCACTCACACACTTTTCTCCATGTTTATAATATTCCCCTCCTCCGTCCGGTACTCGACGGATGGATGAAGGAAGATGGTTGAATGTGGCGGGCTTGAAACGGGATTCCAAATAAAGAGTGTGCCAACAAGTCACACTGAGAGAATCACGCAATTCATCTCATTCGATCCGATAAAGAGATGGCTCTTAACACATCGGTACATTAGTTTGTCCGTAGAGGAACAGCGTCGTTGAAAAGTCCATGAATTCAAGCATCAGAAAAGGATGGTTCAAAACAGAGAGACCATTAAATCGCATCACTACCTAGTGTACCTTGAAAGAATGTGACCCCTGCTGGTAGAGAAGGGGGCATCATCTTCATTTTCTTTCAAGCAAGATAAGGTAATCATCATACTGATCATCGACCGATCTCTACGTAGTGGGGTGCCACTCCCACTGAATCACGATCCGAAAGGTTTTCTGTGGACTATCTATCGCTGGTAAAGGTAGTTGGAATGGCTGTAAGTAGAGGTTGACTGCTGCAGAAGCTGGGTCTGCTAAAATGTCTGCACCGAAGTACCAGTTAAGAGGACTTCAGACTGCCCATTCCCATGGAGGGAAGAAGATAAGATTTCCGTAGAAGGGCAAAAGACACACTGCAAGACGAAAGTCAACACTCGCGGCCTTCTTTCTCTGACCACTGAAGTTCTTCTGGGAGATCAGTGTGCATTACAAGCACTGAATCTTCCGCTGGAAACAAAACCAGATCAGATTCATGGGAATATTTCATAACAAGACTGCGATGTGGTAAATCATACATACATTCAGGATATTGTGCTAGTTACGATTAGTCAAGATTCCCCAAACTGGGAAACTCCTTCGAGGAACATGCAATAACGCGTTCACACACAGAATGTGTACTTCCGTGAAACGAGGCAAGCGATCTAAATCGAATACAACTTGCATGAAGATTCCTAAACATTTTCGTTGGGAGTGCAGCACCTTGTGCTGTGGCAATTGTGCTGGTTCACTCAACTCACTCGTCGTCAAGAAAGTCCCAACAGCATGTTGGAGTGCCACTCCAAAATTCCGAGATTTATGGAGTGTCACGCCGCATGGACCGATTTGACTGTGTGAGGGTGAGCTGAGAAGGCCCAGCACTTGAAAGGAAAAGGAAAAACGCTTTCCCCAGATATTTTCCAGTAGAAAGGCTCGAGTCTCCGGTATGCAAACCCTGTCATGCCTCTCGGCTGGATGTGGATCTAGGACCGTGACTCACCAGCATGTGTCAGCGGGCTCTTTGTCCCATCCATAATATCTCTGGCATGAAGCCGACTTGGGGGGATGAATGTGACAATCCATCAAAGAAACATTCCCCCATTATGGGTTATGGTGCGAGGATGTTCTCCCCTCGACACACTTCCTCCAGATCTTCTGCGAGGAATGCGGTCCTGCACTCCAGTCTCCGGTCGATGACGTTCGTTCCTTTCTAGGACGATGGTTTCTTGCAGCCTAGGGAAACCGTTGGTTGAGGATGGCCACCACAACTCGCCATGTCCCCAGAAAGTACCATCTGTCCAACATACGCAACTGTTTCGAGCGATGGATCAACTGAACGCGCTATGTCCAATATTTTACTCTCTGCTCTGTCCAAAATTAGAGTAAAGTTCTGCGACCGATTCCGTCCCAGTTCTTTTCGACCAGCTCGATGCCTCTAATGGAAGGAAGCCAATGTCCCAGATAGGACGAGATAAGGACAGTCGATGGTGGTTGTACCTCTTATGGGTGAGGAAAAGCGCGGCGCATGGTCTAAAAAGAACCAACCAACAGAAATCAACGGCCAGTGCCGCTTTACTTTAAGGCCAAGGAGAATGAGAAGGTGCTAGTCATTCTCTATCTGGCCCACAGCTACTGGAATATTTTCTGCAAGCTCATCTTCACGCTCGATATGAACATGCATCCCCGATTTCGTAAGTCTTTCGATCTCTGGAGCTGTATATTGAAAAAGAAGGGTGATGAGAGATATGATAACTGTGGCTTCTCGTGGTGTAGTCTTTTGCAGTCACTAACGTCGCTGTCCATATGGCTTGAACGTAGTTTGTGGCCTAGTGCCTCTTGCCGAGCATGTAGATGATGGGATCTTATTCCTTACTTTGGATTGAAAACTCTGATAGCAGAGCAAGAATGAAAGAGTCGAAGGCAAGAGTACACATTATATGCACAATGCAACTCGTTCGGAAAAGTTTGTGCATCTTCGGGATGGTGCCGGGCGTGGAACATAATATTTACTGGGTCACAATTGTGTACAAAAAGTTTTTCATGGGGTATGTGAACGTGAACGGTTTTCCACGGATGTCCATTCCGAGTATGTCATTTGTTTTTTCAGCGACGATCAGTGACGATATAGACGAGAGTAGTTCAGTTTTTATAAACATGCAGCTATGATAGCGTCTGATTCCTCGTGCGGAAGGAAAGATCACTGCTCTGAACATAGGTCGTCGGTGGTCCCAAAAACTAGGTGCCGAAAGTACTCGACAAGACGAGATTCTCCATGATTGTGGTCAAAATAAAAAGGAGAGGAAAATCCAATCACATAAAATATAAATGGAACCAAAGGGGTGACACGAGGCATTGCCCTAATAGCCTCACAATGGCAAATATGTCATTTCGTATACAAGATATCCGAAACTATGTATCTGGCTAGATTGCTCTGCAAACAGAATGCATCCAAATAAACATCATGTAGTGTGATTGACTCATATTATTACACTGGCTTGTAATCTCTTTGAAGAGTACTGATAACATTCGAACTCCAAAAACCAATCCAATAGCCTAAAATGAGTGTTTCACGTCTAGCCTAGACACTTGTCGTTCTCTCACAAGCATTTGGAAGTATATACATAGTTCTATTTGACTCTAACTTTAGATCAACAAAGAGAGGGACTGTGAATACTAGAGACTTGGATAACCTGGGTGTTGACCCTCCACGGGCCATTTATGGGTCCTCAATTTTCCTAGATCTTGTTGTGTAGTAAATGATATGCAATATCAACGTGATCCTTCTCACAGAGTGTAGATATGTAATCGTTGTGGTAAGGAATGACTGCAGCTATTGAATGTAAACGGCACTTTTTCTCGGCGAGTGGAAAAAATTACCAGTGAATGAGGTCCCACGCAGCGAGGTATATCTGAACTCGCGCTCTGTTCAGGCAGTAGTTTCTTTGATCCATGAGCTCTGTTCTGGTATACTGTTGAAGCTAGATCTGCATGCACCGAAGATCGTTACTGTCCCCGTCCTTCTCCAAATCGCAGTCCTCCGAGACTTGCTCCAGGAGATGGATGGTCGGTCTGGAAAACAACACCAGTACCATGCACACAACGTTGACTCAGATTTATCTCCATCTATGCATGGGCCTTGGGTCGAGGAAGTTCTTTAGCAAACAATTAAACGACGAACCTTTAAGATACTGTATTAGAACGTGACCTTTTGATCTTGCAGTTCGACAGGTTAGAAAAAGTATCCTGGCGTATTCAATGAAGAATTCAGTCTGGAGCCCTGATCTCAACTAAGCCGTTCCATTCAGCCTAGCAAACTGCTCCTGCTTTTCTTCTAGTGCATGTTTCAGTGGGACAGGCCAACTGCATGTTACCAATTCCCGTGGTCCTGCATTCTGAAGAGAACGACTGGAACGACAAATGCTAATTCCTATGGCTCATCGGGCTAGATTCTGGGCCACTGAATGTCCTCAAGGTCAAATGATACGACGTCATTGTGTGCAATCGTGGTGGAGGGCTGAATTTCTTTTGTTAAATTCTGTCGTTGTATCAACAACCACGGATTTTGCTTTTCCCTTTGCTTCACCAGGTGGGAAATTTCGATCATATTTAAAGTGCATGCATTTGGCAGTGTGACGAGCTGCATGCGGCTCAATTGCGTAAAAGCTGTGATGACTTTTGGCTTCTGCAGACCTAGAGAGCAAGAGATGAACGAAGCATGCCAGCGGCTTGCAACGTACTTTCAAGATCAAAGCAGCGTGGCATAGATCTGTGGTCAGAAGCATTGATAGGTCCAGTTAATATTACTATATTTTCGATACCAGTCCTTCCTTCTTTCAGTAACCTTTCGTTGTAAATGTTAATCATCACCCTTCACCCCAAAGCGCCAGAATTGAATGCGAGCTGCCACAGACAATATCAGGCTTGTCTACCTTTCGGGTGGTTTGTCTTGTACCTTTCATTAATGAAGTTTGGTATCTTTTGGCAACTCTGTGTACAAAGTGAGAGGGGAAGATAGACGACGTCGAGTGCAGGTTTCTCTTCTCTTCAATCCCCGTGATCACATTCGTCGCTCTCAATCTAGGTGAGATAGTCAAGTAAATGTGATGTCAGTCACTGGTGCGAAGGCCACTTCCATCGATAGACAGTGGACGGGAAAGAGTCTGTTATCTATTGTTCGCCAATGATTAATCTGATACTCGGCTTCCATTTCCATGCAGATTGCAAAACAATGAAATTTCTCCTTTACAGCCGAGATTCTTGAAAGATATGATTCGAGGTTTCGACTACTTTCTAATTACTCTCTTTCGATGCATTGGACGTACATGATTTGTTTGTGCATATGTATAATGCACTCAGTAGATAGCGTTGGACGTGTGCAGATATCAGATGCACCATTAGACTTCGCCATACTGGAAGAAACGAAAATCCTAGCCTAGCCCAGAGTCTATGTCGGACAAGTACGCACGAGATCCATAAGCCAGGCCACACCAGCCGCTCAACGCTGGACGCAGTGTTTTGAAACGCTTGCAAGCGAAGCGTGCAGAGCGCAAGACTTTTCTTTATTGTTCATCGTGTCGACGAATACAAGAAAACACGGGTTGGACAACCTGCACAAGACCAAGCAGAACTTGTGCTATGCAGTCCTGTCAATGGCTGTGCGACCCTGCAGTATCTATGCTTGCTCGGTCACCCACCGACGACTCTGCTAGAGCTCGACCTCGACCTTGAGCCTGGACCTCACGACTGAAAGTTCCGCATCGAATCTTCCAGCTTGAAAGAGCCAAACTACCTACCACGGCCGGCCTGATGGTGGTGAAGTTAAAAGGCTTGGGGCTGCACCGACCCTGCAAAATTCTCGACAGTAGAATCGATGCTTTTCACCCTTCAAGCATTCTTTGTAAACACAATTGAGCCTCTGAAAATGGGGATTTCCCACCCCACTCTCCAGAAGTTTAGAGACAAGGATAGATTCTTTGAAAGTGAGAATTTCCCACTCCGCTTTCGAGAAGCTGTGTGTCTAATTTCCGAGTGCCCAAGTGAGTGGGTAGCAACTGGGGACTGCGGAGACCGAATTCAGACTGAATTCGGCTACAAAACTGGAGCACTCCTGCTGGAGCACGGTGTGATTGATTGATTGATTGAGTTAAGTTAACAACGCATGTGGCATTCATCAAGGTCCGGCAGCTCTTCCATGGATGTCCACCACCCACCTTTCTCTCCCTTGGTCGGGACTCCACCGAGCTTCTTGAAGGCCGGTGCTGGAGCCGGGGGCTTCTTCAGAGGCTTCTCGGTCGCCAACGGGATGTGCTTGCCTTCCTTCAGAACAATGTTGGTGGCAATCTCGCCGTAGTTGTCTCGGGGCACGAAATGGCCCGTGAACGGATCAGGGTACCACCACTGCTCTGCGCTGGGAGCCGGGGCTTCTTTGATCCTGGCGAAGTCCACGTGAGTGTCCGACTGCTTCTCTTCGTACGTCTCCCTCTGAGACTGGTTCGCCTTCGCCTCGTCCGAGCTCTTCAAGGTGCTCACCGAGTGAGGCTTCTCGTCTTCGTCCTCGTCGTCAGACTCCACCACCTTCTTCCCAGATCGTGCTGCCGATGTTCCTCGAGTGTTCACACTCATAAACCGAGAGCTCCGTCTGCTGCAAACCATCGACACGAAACAATTCAGTGGACTCATTTTCCAGCCCTTCCAGAGGCCGCGGCTGGCCACAGTCGCCATCTGCAAGCCAATTTCTCAAGCGGCTCGAGGCAATTACTAAATCTATCTCGCAAACACTGAGAAATCTATCTCGCTCGACATCAATCTCGAAAGCACGGTTGGCTCCGAGAATGGCCCGCATTTAAGTAAGGACAGATTCATTTATCAGGGCCGAGTCCAAATGCGTGCAGACAATGCAGAAATGGCCACCAGGTGTAAAGTGCAAGTGACAAAATATCTCACAGGGCTCGCGCAGCAGGACTCTGAATCGAGCGCGAGGTCAACGAGAACGGTGCCAATTCAGAGCACGGCTTACTTTCACTGCTCTGCTCTGTACTTCATTCAAGCGTGAAGAGATCGACTGCTGCGGGGGCCACGCGTCCCAGAGCTTTCTTCCTCCGACCTCCGACGTTTGAGAATCAGAGCGCTGAGGAGGCTTGTCATGCCCGTGTCCATGCCCGGAGCCTAATCTATGATCGAAGGCCATGCGCTCGTGCACGCTAACTTCTGTTTCTTCTGGCCAAGAGACGCTTCCCATCTCGCCTCTACTGATTCGAGTGAGAGTCTGAGTCACTCTCATTCTGGCGCAACGCAACCTCCTCGCCTTGTGGTTGGATGTGCGCCCAAGTCAACCCCTGGCCCTGGCCCGTGGTGACACTGCACTCAAATTCGAGACCGCAACCTGCTGGGACATGACTCCATTCGTGACGGCGCTGCCCTTGACCGCAGTCTCCTCATCTCATCTGTCATGCCCCATTCTGCGGAAAGCAATTCGTGAAGAGAATTTGCTTCTCGTAGACACGGCCCTTGGCAGCTGGGCCAGGCACCAGGAGCGAGCGAGCGAGTGAGTAAGCCACCTCCGCTCTGGCTGGTTTTCGTGCCGTCTTGACTCTCCCTCCACTTCCTCGGCCACGGAGGTGGCGCGAGCAGCTGCAGCAGAATGCTGCCGGTGCACGACACCGCCACCTGCTCCCGGTGAAGGATTGATCCTATGAAGGACACCGACTGATGCCCGAAATTTGTTTTTCAGTCGTGGAAGGTGGAGAGAGAGAGAGAGAGAGAGAGAGAGGCCCAGAGGATCTCAACCATCTGGGTCCCGTTTTGTCGAGCCTCAACAGAGATGTGGCTAGAGAGACGGGAGATGGAAGCAAAGATACAAACGCGAAGCAGTTTCGTGCGCTGACTGATGTCCAGTCCATGGCATCCGAAGCGGAGAAGATCTCATTCGAGGAGAGAGAGAGAGAGAGAGAGAGAGAGAGAGAGACGCAAAGGGGCCACCCAGTGGCGACATCAGATGGTTCACAGGAAAGTTTTTGCGGGTCCACCTAGTCTAGCTAGCTGCTCACACTTCGATCCATCTCCCGTAAACCGTTTCCATGCGAGCCTTCATCGAGCAGAAGAAAAGTCCAGATTCGCAAGGCGGGCCACGAACAACGAACTGAACTGCTGCTTCCTTCGATGTTGCTAATTTCATCGGTCCTAACCCACATCTCGAACTCGATACACGATTCCAGACAGAAAAGAGATTCGCCAAAACGGAGTCCCGCTGTCGATCGGGCCACAAATGCTCTGGACGATGCCCGTGTGGCAGAAGGCGAAGCTCTGGGAGCTGGAGGGGAGGGGAGGGGAGGGGAGGGGAGGGCAGACGAAGTACCTGTCGGCAGTGGCGATGGTGGGAGGCTGGTCGCAGACGGGAGCTCCGCAGAAGCGACTGCTGGTCGCGAGAGGGGCCCAGCGGCTCTGCAGCGCCTCATAGCGCGGCCAAACCTTGGACAGTCGCAGGAAGCTGCTCATTCTCGATAAAGGCCACGACGAATCTCACGACGAATCAATCGAGCCTCGCGATAAAGACTGCTGTTTTTACTGCTACGCTGTAAAAACGAATATTCACCGTCGCAGGTCCTTTATCGCGCTCGCATCTCTGAGACGCGGCGACGAGTCGACTCTTCCTCACTCAGTGCCTCCTCGTCTCCCTGCTCCTCATCAAATACGACTCTCTGCAGCCCAAGCCTCGCATTCCCAGCGCGATGGTTCGCATTCGATTCGACAACTCTCCTCTGCTCTGCTCTAACTGTCTCTCTATCAATCTCTCTATCTATCTGACGATGTCTTGCCTTGTGGGGGGAAGGGGAAGGGGGATGGAGGTTGGAGCCTGCAGGCAAGCGGTGGAGCAAGCATTTCGGCTGCTAAACCTTGAAAAGCCACAGGCGCCGACTGTCTGTAGCTGCGGGGGCCGGTCAAATCATGAGGCTCCGTCGAAGCATGGGCAGCAGCATTGCATTGCTCGGTTCAGACTAAAAATGGGCCGACTCAGATCACGTAAGGAAGGACGGAATTCGTCTGCGGCCGCCCGGAGCCATGTTCTTAAATTGGCTTCTTGTGAGACGTCCATGCTATGGCGCTGCATCCTATTTCGAGCGGGGCCCGAGTCCGAGTCCGGTCGAGTCCAATTCATTCATTCGTTCGCTATGTCGCTCGTTCGTTCGTTCATTCCGCAGAGGAGGCCAGTGGCAGCAGTGGCTCTTGTAACCGTGCGCTGGCGTGGCTTCCACGTCCGCTGAAAGGCATCGTCCATCATCCAGCAGCAGCAGCAGCAGCAGCAGCAGCAGCGATGGCTGCCTCCATGGCCAGCCGAAGCACGAGAAGGAAGAGGAGGAGGACGACGCCTCTTCAACTTCTGTCACCGCGCAGTCGATCTGCTCGGACGATGTTCAACGGACACGACCTTTCGCAAGGGCTGACAGTCGAGACGCCACCCGACCGCATCATCATAAATAGCTCGCTCGATTAATTGCCGCGACGGATTCCTCTCGAGCAGCTCGAAGAGGAGGGCCCCGAGAGGATCAGGTGGCCAAAATTAGCGATCCGCCCGACTACTGGGTTTCGTAGCGAACGTATGAACAGGATGCATTGAGGCTCTGGGCTGGTGCCCATTAATCGCGGAGCTCAGATCAGCTCAGGTCTGTGCAGCTCGCCCTTCTTGTTGTTTGGCATGAGGACAGGGCGTGGCTCCTTGCCTGGCTGACGGTTTTGTGGCAGGCCTGCCAAGGCCCTTTGTGGCGATCTATGGGTCTGGTCTAGGCTGCCCAGTGCTCTCAAGATGTACCGCAGCTGCTGCGGCCATCGAGTGCTCAATCGGGCCCTCCGGGCCACTGGTTCTCTCGCATGTGAACGAGCTTCTTCTCGGTCAGCGCTACGATTGCGCAGGGCAAGGCAAGGCAAGGCAAGGCTTGGTGGAATGGTTGATGCGATGGTACGGAGCGATGGGAGCAAGGTGGGCGAAGATGGAAATGGTTCACGGATCGCCGCAACGAAGTTCTGCAATACCCAACTCCTTGTCCTTGCGTATATTCGCGAAGCCCGCGTCTCAGAAGAATCTGTTTGCGAACTGTGAAGGACACGGCGCCGAGGATTCTGAACATTGATTGTCCACGCTGCGCCGCATGAATTCTGCAGTGCAGCCTGCAATCGGTTCCACGCATGCATGCAGGCAGGCAGCCCACGAGAAGGAAAGAGGGCTTAGGAATTCCTCTTGCAGCCGAGAAACTCTGCGATGCGAGGTCCAGCCCGTACAGCGAATCTCAAGGAGGGCCAGGATCGATCCATTGGCAACCAGGACACAGCGTCATGAAAACAATTAACTTCGTCCCGTGGCCTGGAGATCAGCTGTAACCCAGAGGGCTCTCGTCGAGCCTCGGCATCGGGAGAATCGCAGATCAGATCATGTTAACGAATTTGTTGCATTCGTTGAGGCCTGACGTCGGAGATGAGGACGGATGGTGGAGGAAGAACGGGGCAGGATTCCGCACTCTCGCAAGGCGGTTACAACCGCAAAGGTTACGCTGAGTGAGTGAGAGCGAGTGATCGTCGTCATGATCGCTGCGACGTTGTCACTCTCGGGACGTCTCCCCGCAGGAACGAGAGGACACGACCCTCGTTCGCTTGGTCCAGCGTCGGCAGCTCGTACTTTGCTTCCTTCCATGCCTGCCTTGCGTTGCAGGAATGGGCAGGAATGGGTAGCTCAGCTTTAAGGCTTCGAAGATCATTCACTGGCCATCAGACGAAGCTGTCTCTAACTTTCACTCTCACTGCTCCAATTTATGCACGCCTTCGTATTCAGACACACCTCTTCCCCATTAGAGCGAGAGCAGACAGTGGAGAAGTCTCGTCCGCCGAGGTTGGATCAATAAATTTTTTACCATGATCGTTCAAAGAGTTTGAGTACGTCGAACTGTTGTGTGTTCTTCGAGGACTGGCAGATCGATCTGTCGAGGTTCACGAAGGGACGGGATCCGCGTCGATCGAGTCCACGAAGGAACTAGTTATCGACGAATAATTCCAACTTCCTCAACACACTCGCTTCACTTGCTGGTCACGCTCAGCTATGGCACCGGACGGACAGTCCCCGCAGAATACGTCCTTCAACCCACTGGATGACCAAAGAAGACAACAATTCTACGGACCTGTTCTCTCCAGATTGGCTTAATTGATGCTTGATGCAGTATTCGATCGTTCTTGGAGTCTGTCCCGACCACGTCCCTGATTATTGCTGGACTTGCATGATTTTGAGCATTGCCCTTCCCCGTTCAGTAATGCGAACACCCGGACACCTGAGTTTCGACTTCATCATTATATCATGCATTTTGAGACTCCGCTCATATTGCTCCCGTCAACCACCCACCAGTTTACGTGCACTGCCTCGCGGTACAAGTTTCAAGATCGGTGGCGCAAACTCATGATGAAAAGTGGTGAACGAGGTGTCCGCTCATAAACCTAAGTCACCATGTCCAGTAAATTTTCCACTGCTTCAAATCGGACAGTTGTAGGCTGGAGCTTATGGGAACGGCACACAATCATAGGCGTATAAATGCTTTGGATGGCAAGGTACATTTCACATTTGGCAGTGGACTATGGACTCGTCTGTTGTTACAATAGTTTCCTCTCAGTGAGGGAAGCAGAGTGTGAAGTCCTGTTAGACAAGCTCTCCCTCCCAAAATGAAAAACTTCATACTGGTAGAGAAATTACGCCAGCAAGGGATCGGTTACTCACTTTCGGTTTGTTGATAATGAGATTCTCATATTAGAAGGACAATCCACATCACCTCTGGCCATATATATCTACCTAAACTCCACCTTTCACAATATCAAACAAAACAAGTCTGGCCAGTAGAGTTTCAACATTTTAATAAATGTGACTCACGCTTGAACACCTCCATATCCCCTGTTTTTGATGAATTTCGTCTCGAGTGTACTTATCGTTCAAAAAGAAACCTGTTCCCAGTACTGTAGCCTTCATGGGACTTCACGGCCTACTGCGTATCCAGAATCTCCTTCCTTTAGTCTGTACTGCGCTTTGCCCATGTCTGTTTGTACATTGACATCTAACCGAGGAAAAGTTGTCGTCTCCTACAAAACTGGAGTCTAACTAGTTATATACTCCATATCATATATTAATGCGGGTTATGCGACGTTATCAACGCTTCTTATTTTCACGGAGCTGAAGCAACCGATACAGAAAGTGATGCCGAATATACTGTTCACTCGGATGATTATGTGATGAATATGTGCGTGAATGGCAACTACGATCTCCTCTGTCAAGGCGTTCCGACGATTCTTTCGCGGTGAAGAAAAGTATCATATTCTCTAATTTGCAAGATTTGTGCGTACACATGTTCAGCCAGTATGGTTTCTCATACAGGAACGGGAAAACTTCGGAATACACACCGTTTCAAAGTCTCACTGTTAAATTTGCCAGATAGCTTTCACAACGCCATCAACTTGATTGACATCCGACATTTACGATAAAATACTATTACCGTTAACGAACTTGAGATATGCTGGAAAGGCTTCTAAAATTCCGACATTTGACCAAACATGTCAGCCCTTTCAAAGTCCTGTGTCAAATTCATGTGCACAAGTTTCATATGAACCATGGGGTCGCTGCTGTTGTATGTACATAAACTTTATTTGAGAAGATCGAGTTGACTCTCAGGATCTCTTATGCACAGCTTTTGTTGCAACTTTGCGACGCAAAGTGCAGGCACCAAGCTCCAGGATTTTTCCTACTCGCACATATCCATGCAGTTTCTACAATCCTGCACTGACAAGCTGACTGCTCAAAGGCCTCGACAGACACCGGTGCTAAAACTTTCGTGTATGCAGCCACATGTGGTAAACCTCCTATTCAAGCTACCACAGCTTCTCGTAGCAGTCAAAACTGCAGCTAACCAAACCATCCGCCACTATGTTCATCCTACACTATTTACTTTTCCTACTATTTCCCGCTGGAAGCAACTTATGCTGTCCATAAAAATTGCACCTCAGTATCTAATAAATAAATATGCTCCTGTACAAATACCGCTCCACATGTTCGCGTGTTGCAGTGCAGAGCAGAATTAAAGTAACTAACAAAAAAAATGTCATTTCACCGAAGCTGGAGAAAAGACAAATCTACTACGCTCCAGAACCAAGTGTGCTGCTCAGTGAGCAGCTCAAAGCACATGCTTGTACGAATTCGGTGCGCCAACCCCTTCCAGTTTCGACCTCTCACAACTGTCGGTCCTAAAACATCTGAGCCCAATTCGACTCACAGTAATCCTCGCCTGAGAGATCTGGATGTAGACTGGTAAGTGCGTACCAATAATCCCACACCTATACCCACTCCCACACACATACCCATGCCGACGCCGACTCCGATTCTCACACCGGCATTGAACCAGGATAGGTCTGAATCCTCCGCATCGCTATATCCTGCATCGGAGTTCTCCGCAGAGTAGTACGATTCCAGCCTCTCCAAAGCTTTGTCCGGCAACGCGGGATACAGAGCATTCTCCGCGACATCCTGCAGACAACACTTAGCGTTAATTCTACACACCAATATGGAAAATTTCTCAACGAAATCAGCAATCAATAAGTCTCTTAACAGTCTCTGCTCGTGATTCATGTGATTTCGTGATCATCGTTCTTGCAAGTTCCCAAGACGGTGTGCATGTCTGACGCGAAGTGTATACCCAGTTAGCGTGGTTGCCAGAGCAAAACTAGGGACGAGATGTTTCTCACGACAAACGCAGTGCAGCTCAAGCTGATCACCTTACACCTTCTTCATCTCCATTCGGTCAAATACTGAAGAGCTCAGAAACATTTTCAGGGAGAACCCATCCTCATCCGTAATCTAGCACGTCAGGGAAAAGAGAATGTGCCACACCGAAAGAAGCCAAAACTACCTGCGGCGCAGTGGCCGAAGGAAGACATCTCAACAGAGTGCAGATTCAGCTTAAAATCAACGAAGACAGATGACATTGTGGGAGAATGACCTAGAAGGGTGTCCGACATAGACTCAAAGGTTGTCACTCGAATTATCTTCCATCAAGCCACGTCAAATTGTAACTGAAGTTAACCTAAGAGAAGAACAAACTCGACGGATAGGCAAAATAAGTTCTGTGTGAAGAGAGTCCGTGATGATGGAGAGGACGTCGCAGTGCACAAGAAAATGGATTCAACGATCAGAAAGAAGGACAAAGTCGGTCTTGTTCGAGGATAACGAAATTGCCAGTCTCACTGATCAGCAACCAGCCTCCAGCCCAGGAAAGCTAGCGATGGAGACTAACGATCCACAAAAAATGCTCCAGGAGAATGTACGTACAGGAAATCTACTCGTGTCAACAACGAAAATTCCACCAGGAACAAAAATATAATCTGTGAGATTAGTGTTTCAGGGACTGGTGGCTCACCCTCAGCAGCAGCTGTCGGTGGGGTGGAGAAGGCTCCTCGGCCACAACTCGGGCGACTTCATCTTCTTCGAGGATGACGTTCAGATTGCTGAGCCTCCGACGCATGCTTCGTCGGCGAACGATCAGAGTGACACTCTGGTCCAGAATGACAGGGCGCCCGCAGTAGTGCCCCACCACGCACAGTTCCATGGTGGGAGGAGTGGCCAGCCGGAAGTCGTGTCTGGCTTTGAGGAAAACGCACCCGTCGGTTTCGATGGAGCATGTGCAATCCATATTCCAGCCCAACTGGGAGTCGGAGCTGCTGCTCCACTGCGAGGACCCACCGGGCGATTCCAGATCATCGTGCACCAGAAGGTCCGTGCAGGAGCTCGAGTGACTGAGCGACCCGGAGAGCAGCAGATCTCCCTTGTGCAACACCTCGAACGACACGTCCCCGCTCACACGAAGTTTCTCCGTGCTCACGTACGTCACTTCTCTCGACCCCGGGTCGACCCTGTCTCGGCGCAGAACCACCACCGCCTCCTCCGAGGGCGCCACCCTTGCGCCATTCACTTCCAGAGCGGTGCTGATGCACCGCGGCGGGTACCTCATGCTCAGAGACTCGGGAGCTTTCTGACACGGGCACGAGCTCACCCTCAGGTACAGCACCCGGACCTCGAACCACGTCGCCGTCGGAGTGAGCGGACTCGGACTCGGACTCGGCATCGAGCTCGGGCTCTCGTACCGCTGATCCCCCGGCGGCGCTGCTAACATTTTGCTCGCGGGCATATCCCCCGATATGAACAGGGGGCCCAACTTCTCGGCAAACGGTTTCATTTCCTTGCCTCCCTCTCCCTCTCAGGCTGCAATCTGCTCTCTGAATCTCTCACTTCGAATTCCCTGACGGCGTGAATCGATCTTGCAAGGCTTCGACTTTTCACCAGAGTGAGAGTCCGAGCTGGGTCTACAGAGCTGGGCGAGACAGCGCAGTCACGTCCTCGAGGACGAAGGCTGCAGAAACAAGCATCTTCGAGCTCACAGAATCACAGATTCACAAGAGGTCCCTGTGATTGGACACGTAGATGAGGAAGCAGAAAATCGAGTCCACTCTACGGGCGTCTGATTCAGGCGGCAGAGCCTCGGGGGCCCTGAAACTGAGCGTCTCCTGCACCTGTTCGCCAATCGGTCCGTCCGCCGGTCTCGACTGCAATCCCAGTCTCCAGACCATTCCCACAGAATTAATGGCTCAACACTCGCCGCCTCTCTCGCCTTCACAGCATAAGCCTGCCTTCCTCCCTTCGTCGACTGTACAGAATTCACTCGTCACAACGAACCGCACATTCGCCCACACGGTGCTCTAGCTGGCGATCCTCCACCCGATGGACAGACCAGACCGCCTCTGGCCAAGCAGCAGCACAAACTTGAGAAAGTCCCCGACACTTGACGGTGCCGATGGTGAAGGGCGAGGGGATGGCGATACTAGTATTACTACTGCTGCTACTGCTACTGCTACTGCCACTGCCACTGCCACTGGGCGGCTGCGGCTGCGTCGTCCTTCCGCAGGGCCGAGCCAGAATCGCAATTCGCATTCGCATCAGAGGGCAGGCGCCCCCGGGCGCCCCCTGCACGGGTTAAAAACAGAACGCCCGCAGAACCTTCGGGGCCCGGAGGCGAGCAGCCCGGCCAGCTGGACCGGGCCAGAGGCGCTGCTTTTTTTGGCCTTCGGTTGCTGTTCTGGGTGGCCATGCTTAGTTTGGAGCCTGCCTCGGCCCGCGCCGCTGTCGCGTAGCTCGGGTATTTTAGCGCCCTCTAGATTTGGCGGGGGTGGCGAGATTTGGAGGCGCGTGTGGCCGGGGTGGCCAGACGCTGCCCAAACGAGGCCCCCGGCTGCCCGAGATCCTGGCCGGGAGGGAGGCGGTCGCCGAAGGGGCGATGGTGTGGGGCCCGGAGGGCGGAGCGCCCTCCAATTTCTGGGCTGGCCTCCATACGCACTTGTCTCATGCGCGAATGCTCCAGCAGCAGCACTCGTGGAGTGCAACCATGCGGCATTGCGCAGCTGCAGCAGCTGCGGGTAAAATATCAGCAACAGCTCTCGAGTCTGCTGCGGCAGCGAAATCAGGACCTCCAGTCGCTCCTGTGTCCATGTGTTGAGTCGGCTCGGGCTCTCGGCCATCCCCCACCCCTGCGCCGCTTTCCATCTGCGACCCGCAAAGCATGCAGCCATGCGCTCTTGGCTTTTTCTCATGTTTCGGCTCTCGCAGAGTTCGCTTGCATCTCGGACCTGTGAGCGATTCCGTGAACTACCCTTGCCGAGTTGGGAGGCGTTCTCATCTGGGCAGGACTCCTTCCATGCGTGCAGGCCGAGGCGCGAGCATAGCGCATGTGTCGATGGCTTACGATTGGGGAAAGTGGGGTTTGGAGCATTCGGGCGTTGAATGGCGGAGGTCAAATGCTCGGGCCGATCGGTGAAGGCCCCGTATAGGCAGACGACAACTGCCCTCCCGAGGGGAGGATGTATGAAGAACCCACCCCGCAGCTGGCTCTCAACTGCTCTGCGCTCCAGGTGCTCGGGGAGGTTTGTCTTTCTCCGTTTCGAGCTTCCCTCCATCGGACGATCGCGTTTTTCCTCGTCTCGACGCCTTTCCTTGCCCGGAGACATGGTCGAACCACTCGGGGCTCGGGCAGCACCGGTGCCTTCTACCTTGCTGCCCTTTTGTGCAGGCGCTTTGCTTGCCATTGCCTTCATATGAGCTAAAGATCTCGGAGCTGTGAATTGTGAAGACTAGAAATCGAATGCTGTCTTCTTTCGTTGGTTCAGCTCCGTTTCTAAAATGGAAGTTGGTGTGCGAGATATGAATTCTCCATAGAATCGACGTTGACATCCCCCGAGGCCTCCTCCCACCTAAACGAGACTATAGTTTATTTGCTTAACTTTCACGACCAGAAGGCGCACTATTCCCCCATTAGGCGGCGTTCTCTGTACATTGTCGTGTTTTATACAATACGTTATAAAATACAGTGCCAACCATAGTAGAGCAATTGTGGAGTTCGTTCGTGTTAGATGCTAAAAGATAGATTTCTTCTATCTTTGATGTAGTGGAGCCTATCCCATCCACCCCGTTTGTTTCGTCCATCTAGACTTGGTGGGGTCATCCCAGCTTCTTGTAATTCTCCGATCTTTTCTTTACAATCCGCTGCAACAACTTTCGATCTCAAATACTCCTCCTGCATACCAAACTGGACTTGCTGACATGCTTGAACTTTGACTTCTCTCATCTTCTTCCTCCCGTCTTTTCTGAGACGAAAACATTGTGAATTTGAAGTGTCATCAAGCTCCACTGACCAGCAGCATATCTTCCTCTCCACGGTGAGCTGCAGGTTCTGAAAACTGCAAGCATTGCGCAGTACACCTCTTTACCGATGTCCGAGAACTTCAACGCGTTTGGAAATTTTAAATCGTCCGATATCGCCTATTCCGAAAAGTTGTGAGTATAAAGTCCGTTACAGTTACAAGAAGGTGGGAATGCTTATAAAATCCCTGTAGACCTAAAATGTTTCCAGAGAACTCTGGGCATCGTCTCTTGATGGCCAAAATATATGCAAAACTGGAATGTCTAATACCACGAATTCAGTGGAAGACAAAAACTGTGATTTTAGAGATTTTCATCTAGCAACACATACAACTGACACACAACTATGCATTCAAACTGGGCTTTGGTCAAAATCTTAGAGGGAATTCCTTCTCACTATCGATGACGACGGTGATTCTTCCCAGAAAAGAGGGCCGCAGGTCTGCAACGATTCTATTCTTAAATGGTCATCACCTTCGAGTTTGCTACTTCTGAAAGATCCCGCCGACATGAAGGGCTAGGTCCGAGTCCCCTATTGTGGCGGCAACTGCACTTCGATCAACAGGAGGGCTTCCAGTCTGACGAGGAAGAGACGGATTCTAACACTCACGGGTAATACGCAACGAGCATCGGGACTTGTCAGAGTGGAGATCTGAGCATCCAACCTTTCATTCTGGTGGTGGCCAGGTTCCGATGGTCGGTGGAAGTTTTATTGCCTTCGGGGGTATTTTGGGAATGTTTGCACCTTTTTGCCTTCCCGCTGGGGCATCTTTTAGCGCGTCGTTATTAGCCATCAAACACGTCTCCAACGTAGTGAAGTTCGCTTCGCAGTCCGCTCCCTGCACAAACTCAACCATGAACCCAGGTTAACACTGCTTCCAGTTGCAGAATAGTCAGACTGCTCCTCCTATCACCTCCAGACTCTGAATTTCATCAAACATCCTGAACGACGATCCCTTCGTAGCCGTTTCATCATATCCATATTATATCCAACGCATTGCCTCCGAACTCCTCAAAAGAATCTCTCCTTTCCTAGTTCTAGTTCTAGTTCTCAGCTCACAGAATAGCCAGAATTAAAACGAGCGAACTGTTTCTCATCTGTTCATACTCATCATTTCTTCCCACACAACTATGGCAGCTGGCGTGTACCGTAATTAACTCGGAGTTGCAATTCACGCAGGGCAAGATATACAGATCCGAATTTTGCTAATCGCATGTTCACAGGAAAATACCGACTCGTTTAGAAAGCAAATCTGAATCATCGGTGTACAAAAAGTGGATTTCTCGGAACCTTGGCTGGTCTATACAGTGACCACTAGAATTACATTAATGTTTGTGGAAACTTACTTTCTCGGGTTCTTTACTGAGAATAAAACACTTGAAAGCTTCTAGGAAGTCAGGTCCACAAGGGCCCTGTTTCATACCATCCAAACAAGGACACTCCAAAAGTTTGTCTGTATCCCCCCTAAACTCCTGCACATGCGCATCCACTCTGAGGTTTCAACACTCTCATGCACAAATCTTCACGAGACATCCATCGACGAGGACCACAATACAGCGATGTTGGTTCGCAAGACAAAGAAAGCATCTGAAATCGTCTGACAGAGCACAATGATCCTTCTCGACTCTCTTGGTGAGAGAGTGCAGAAAGTGTACGCTCAAAGCAACCACAAAAATTCGCTTCTTACTCTTTTATTCAGGAAATCTATCTAATAAGCAGAGTTGGTGGGGAGGGCTAACAAACAGACCTGCGACTCATTTTCCTCTTCCTGCTTTTCCCCACTTCCTTCTGCACAAACTCAAGACTTTTCTTGTTAACAATCCTTCAAATTCCATGGACGATCCCATCAGAAAAAATTCATTTCAGAAATTTGCAGACTAAGAAATCCACTGAGCAGAAAAGATAAGACAACAGGCAGTAAAAGATTAACGGCAGGCTAGTGTTCCTGTCCATTGAATACTTATCCATTGCTTTTGATCTTTACTCATTTTTCTAGTCTATGACACGTAAGTCTTAGTATGTAGAGTTTCCACCCACATCAGAGTACTCGTATCATTCCATTCTGCGAGAAAACTTCGTGCAGGCATAGAAACTACGTTAAAATGATTTTTCGAATAGTAGAATGCGTTGCCTTTTGTGAAACATAAGCTTGTTCATGAGATGATATACATCATTGCTGTCTCGCAGACCAAGATTATGCATGTTAGTCTCCACAGACTGCTACCATTCAATGACAAGGAATCGCTAGGTTTTTTATGGAGGATGTTCCTGACCACCAAGTTTCCTCTCCTTCCTTTTCCTCCCAAGGCCAGTTGCTGTCGATTCACTTGGTGCCAATTCAGATTCAGTCACGCCGTATCTTGGCATGTTTTGACGCGTTAGCTGGAATTCGTTCTCTTGATCTCGCAGTACAATCTGCTGTACAGTCATCTTATGAGAGCCTAACCTACATTGATCCTGAAGCATATGTGTGACAAGGTTGACGCTGCTGCAAACCGAGAGAAAGGGCAACAATAACTCCAAAGGCGAGCAATCTTCGCGACAATTTGACGGACAATAATTTCAGAGCCCGAAACCCTTGCGCTCAATTCTCGGTTCAGCAAAATGAGAACCAAATCTCACCGAGTTCGAGCTATCGAAATTGCGCGGGGCACTGGATCAGGAAGCCATTTTTCAGCCAATTCTCCGCAGTGCGTGCTTTGTACAACAGACAAATGTAGACGCACACACATACACAATCAAGACCCGCGAAGTCTGCCGTGAGTTATCGAATTCAACATTCACGCGAACAGAAATCGGGGAACAAAGGCGAGAACTCGTACCGGGAGACTGGGCAGCTGCAGAGTCTACCGACGGGTCTTCGCGATGATCATTCTCCCGACCTCTGTCGGCGAACAAAATGGTCCCTAAGAATCCCATCACATGCTCTCGTCACTGCACGCAGCCCCGCAGCAGCAGCAGCAGCCTCGTCGACGAAGCGTCGCCTTGTTCCAAATCCTCCTCCTCTCCCTTCGAGCAGCGACCTCTTCGTCTCTCTCTCTCTCCCTCTGTCTCTGTCTCGGTCTCGGTCTCGCTGTCTATCGTTCGATGGATGGAGCGAGCGGCAACGCGACCCTCGTTCCGTCGTCCCCGCGTTCCGACGAGAGCGCTTCCGTACGATGGCACCGGTCGGTTGACCATTCTCCGTCGCCGCGGCCTCACGTGACCCTTCCAGCCCCGCGGCTTCGCGAGCGTTGGCAACCGTCTCGCTTGCGTAATCGTCACGCTTCTGAACCTGAAGGCCTGCCGGGCGATGAGCAATGTCTGCAGCCTTCATCTGACAGTTCTGGATGGAGTGTGAGATTTTAGGTTCCTCGACGTGTGAGCTGTGCAAGGACAGACGATATTCTCCATCTATCGATCGATGCAAGCGTGCGAGAAAAGTCTACATCCCATCGCATCATGAGCTGGATGAAATTCTCGAGGAAGCATCGGATCGGTGGATTGCATGATGGGGTGAAGGCAACAAGTAGACATTTTACACATGTGTGTCCCGTTTTCTTCTCGGCGATGACAGCCGAAATGAGAAGGAGTAGAGGTCAGAGACCATCAATTCCTCTTTCCCATGGCTGGTAGACTTCACGTTTGTGATTCAGCGTCTTCTGTTGACTGGACACGGATCAACCCGACGCAATGCACCGACGAAATAGAAACAGAAATTGATTGGAGCACAGCACTGGCACGGAAGACTGCGTTTGTTTCCAAGGAGACCTCAAATGCATCCACCAGAAGAAGGAAGTTGCAGCCTTCTTTGACGTTGGAGTGAATCACAACACAAGTGGGATCTTTCGACTGAATGATATCAGATTCCTTTCATGGTTCAAAGTGTCCGATGAACCTTGCTATGCTTTGCTCAGTTGACGTCGTATGAACAAGATTGCGATCTCCACTCTGGTATTAATATGATACTCGTAGTGTTGTGGGAAACTATGGATGCTGAAACATGAGGAGCGAAAAGCGAATAGTGAAGCGTTTGTCACTTTCAATTCTTCCGAGAGGCTTATGTAAAGTTCAGATTCATCGTGGTCTCATCCACTTACATATTACAGCTCCTCGGAGTCTACACATGGAGCCGGGCCCGGTGGACTCTCATGAACCGTACACTCTGTACACCACTTAATATAAATTATACTTCACAACTTCATAACAATACCTGATACTGGAGCTCCGACTACTGTTTGGTGTTAATTGGCACCATCGATCAATTTGCAAGGCTTCGGAGCTCTTATATTTTGCCTACATGAACAAGCTACGGACTTTCACAATATACGCTTGAGTTTTCGACCTCTACGCATGATCCTAAACATGATCTTTTCGAGAGGTCCTTACGAGAAGTCGTTCGAGATTTACCTAGTTGTTTAACCTACGTCAGAGGACACTATAATAGACGACGAAACCTGGATGGGCGAGGACCATCTTGGCTGGGCAGAAGAGGGATAGGGGGATGTTTTCTTCTTCTTTGATATCTGCAATAGACAAAGCTAGCTGCTGCAAACCATGCTAGTGGCACGGCCCATCTGCAAAATCAAGCGACCATCAGCACTCAAAGTCCGTCCCGTTGGTTTTTGATTGATTCATCGAGCCTACTTGTACATCTACTTGTGATTTGACGAAGCACGGAATACCTGATGTTTCTACAAGTATTGATGATAATCTAGTGCCAGACTCCAGCATATGGAAAATCTATCGGAGTGCTGGTCAATGAAGTTTACTTTCTACATGCTTGAAATGCTGGAGGTCGTAATTTACACGACGACGTTAGATCCTAGGCAGTGAAATGAACTTGTGAATGTTTCACTGAAGATCACGTACCTGTCTAGATCTATGACAGGATTGTACACCAAGGTCTCCCAGACTCCGACCACCACTTGCCAAGTAGGATTGTAGTAGAGCGACTCTGCAGACCAGAAGAGATGCGTGTAGGCCTCCAACATGACGAAAAGAGCCCATGCAGCGATCTCGAGAGGGTAGAACTTGAAGCAGAAACGTGCGACCACCACCATTACCAGTGAAAAGCCCACGATCCAGTTAAAGAGGCGATGGTTGTAGTCATTCAGAAATTGCGTTCGTGATCTTGACCACATCTGCTCATTGCGTACACAGGATCAGTTTCTTATAGTAAAAACGTGAGAATGTAGGCTTCTTTCGTCCTCATTCATCAACCCAGAACACACCATCAGACAACCACTTAAACAAGATGAAAACTGCATCCGTAATGCAGTTCGTCCTGATCTGTCTAACAAAGCATGGCTGGGCTGGACTGGGCTTTCACCTTATCCAACCTTTGCTTGAAGAGTTTCTTCGAAGGTCCCAAACAAGAAACTTCATAGCTTCGGTTGCAAGCTGCGACTCCGGCTTCAAACTTGGCCATGGAGGGAAGCCTCAAAGTTTGAAGACTGTCCATCGACTCCTCACACTGATTATAAATATCTTCGCATTGCTGAGAGGAGAGGTACTGGTTTTTCAGAACCAGGGACGCATAAGTCTGCCAGCTCGAGCAACTGTCGTCAGTGTCGGTGCACGTTTGGCATTCCTGATAGCCGCCGAACACTCATACAGGATTCTGAAGGACAAAGGACCAGATCTCACCTTCTCAAGCTCGGCTTTCAGGGCCACTTCCGCCTTGTCTCCATGAAATCGGCCAAATCGGTCTTTTTCGAACGCGGACAGTGCCATATCTGTGGCTCCCGTGTGAAAATCATCCAGGTGAACGTCTGGCAGCGGCAGCTTGACCTTGTTCATGAAAGTTTCGTAAATTAGCAAGCATCTGTCCATCACTCCGCGGTTAAAAGAATCAACAACAGAGCCGGCCGAGGGAATTTCTCCTTGATTGAGCGCATCCAGAACCTGTGAAACCATCGAAACGCACGTGCGAGACATGAGCTTCATTGAATCCTCGACCATGTTCTACGAGATTCTTTGGATAACTTAAACTCAATTCTGCATCGTTTGGCTGGCATTAACATACATTGACCAAGGAACCGTAGGAACTCCACACCTCTGTCATCGAAGGTCCACATGGTATCATGATTTTGCGAGAGAGCAAGAAAAGCATACCTGTTCGAGAAGAGCAGCGAACTCCTTGCCATTGATGAGCTTGCCCTGCACCTTTTTCGGGCTGATCATAGAAGCTATAACGCTCTTCAGGCGATTCCGTTGTACTACATACTCGGAATCGAAATCTGTATCATTCAGGTCACACAGTTTTGTGCGTGCAAGATGAGGCTATTGCCACAAATGTTCCCACCCAACAATCCCCCTCGGCAATGTTAGCACTTCTGTGGGGGCAACGCTCAACTGCAACATATGCTCAACGGACTTTGATGCTTCTATCACAGTTTTACAGCTGTATCCATCAGTACCTGTCGCAGACTGAAGGCAGTACTATTTTCCGCCATCATAGCCAGTGATTCCCTTATACGATTCACCTGATAATCAGCGAGGACGATCGAAAACCTTCAGTTCATTGCGTGCACAATAAGAAACAACTTCCAGAATGGCCAAGCTCTCCGACAATGAAAGAAGTTGTGCTGTTGCAAGGATTCTGACCTCGTCAATCTCCCTATTTCCTGTACATCAACCACAATAATGCCGATTCTGTCAGCCGATATTCATATCAGAATCTTGATAGTGTATGAGCTCCACATAGGACATCATATTGTCACTCTGGGCCAGGCCCTCTTCAAGTTCCCCTCTGTTCAACAACTTGATTCCATGGATCAGATACAAACAGATGGGCTTAAATTGACCAGCGGCATGTAAGCATACGTTTGCGAAGCAATAGCAATTCAATCTCGAGCAGCTCTATCTCTGAATCCAATCAGTTCAATTGATTATAGAGGATTTTTTCGGTTGAAAGCGCGTGTAGATTAATCCGATCCAAGGACTCACCACCAACATTGGGGACGGGCTGGAGTGCTTGGTCTACCATCTGCTGGACACTCTTTCCCTCTGAAAGAACCAGACAACTATCGTCAGAGACATGCAACACATCACCACCTGATTTTAAAAGTTGTCATGCAGGCAGGCCTTCGAATTATAACTATGTATAAGTGCTTACCCAGAAAGTCCCGCTGAATCAACCAAACTAGTTTCGCAGGTTGCAAAGCACTTTCTCGTCCCTAACATCATGAAAATGAAACAGAAACAAGCTGAGAATTTTTGTAAAGAGCACCAATTTTGCGTTAGCTACAGAATTATCTTCTGTACCAATCAAGCTGACATTCCAGTATTTGATCTCTTAATGCCGTCCGGAAGCAGGGCGATGCGAAGATAAATCACAAGATGTGCGAGGATGATCATTTATTCGCATGACACTTCTGCCTGAACAGAAAACCGCACCATCACCATATACCAGCAAAAGAGAATTTCGACAAGATAGACATACCCGCACACTGGATGAAGTTGACAGATTCGATGGCGATGTCCATAGAAGCACAAAGCGCAAGGAATGAAGTTAGGTCCGTGATCTTAGCCTGTTGGCTCTTCAAAATTCAGAATTATATTACAATACAGAATACATTCTGGACAAGCTTGAAGAGGTGTTTCAACGATCTCAACATGAAGATAAAAAGCTGGAGTACAGAATGGCAATGTGAGGTACAGCGGAGAGCAACAAAGGCATCACAGCTTCTGAGAGAGGATCATAATTTGGAAGAGAAATTTGCGGCACATACCGTCCATAAAATTCTTCTGCTAGCTGTACAGCGAAGGAGAGCTTTCCTATGTCAGCCTCACGGACCTGCACGAGGTTAAAGAGATTAATGAAGAGTCAGCGTGTGGCATCACAAACCTCACACGTTGGAAAAACTCGTGGAGCAACTCGGTTACAAAAAGCTTCTGAGTACATTGGACGAATGAATGGAGAATGGGACGAGAACGATGTGCAGTACTGCCGGTCAAAATCAACAATCATGACGACAAACATCCTGGGCTTATGGACATGAACCTAGACAGTTACGGGCTCACAGTTTCAGGCAGGTTGTAGATGAGAACAGAGCTCATAATCGCTGCCAGCGCGAAGATTCTGTGATGAGATAACCCACGAGTTCGGTGAGAAACAAGCCTCTTCGTTCTCTAGCTCTAAGCTCTCTAGCACCGCATCAAGGAGCTGCGCACTAGTATGGACGACACTGGCTGCAGACCTGTCATCGTAGACAGTCGACTTGCCGATGCTCTCGAAGCCCTCAGTGTCCAGAAACAAAACAGAGGTCGTCTGCCCGTCGATTTCCATCTCCAGAGGTTCACCCCAAACCCATATACCTGCTCACGAGAACCAAGTCCAGAAATTAGAGCTGAGCTTGCGTGCGCTACCCAGGAAGAGGAGGGCATGGCTTATCTACTTTCTTAGTTGGTGGGGCACTGACGACCCAACAGCACAGAGCTCATTTCAAATCCTCCTCTCCACGCCATATAGAAAAGGGAAGAGGCAGCAGAAAACCAGGCACCTCTAGTCTTGGTGTCGCGCATGTGTCCAACACCGAAACCTGTACACATGGCATGCAAATTCGTCACAGCTGTTCTGCTTCCTCACCTTCAAAATGATGAATGGACCCCATCAAGTGGTACATGGGCGAAACCAAAGAGTTAAGTAACATGGGGCGCGAGGTCCCAGCAGCAGCACGATGGGAACTATGTCCTACTGCTTCTAAGATATTCAAGCCATCTAGAGCCAACTATCCTGCGGATTGCAATTGTATATGTGCTGCGTTTCATTAGTATCAATTTGGGATTTCGAGCGTTCGCTCGTGCGTTGGAAGCGGTTATGGAGACTTTGTGAACGACTGTATCGAGGGGAGACGATCAGACTCTTACCTTCATTGCAAGATAGAGTCAGGAGCTGATTCAGGAGGAAGGACTTGCCCGAGCGGTAAGGGCCGATTACCTTCACAGCGAAGGTGACAATGGAATCAATTTCCGCGTGTATGTTATCGGCCCAGATTGGATGCTCAGCACAAGTGTCCTCTTTAATTTGAAAGTTGGAGCGGAGTATAGGAACGGAGGTCTAGATACTGGAAAGACAGCAGACAGAGTGGAAAACTTACAGCCACCACCGCGACTGGATTCGTGATGCGAGATATGACTTCCAGTCCCTTCTTCGCCACAGCAAGCTTGGTATGAACGACATCAGGTTCGACGACAGGGAATCTGCTTGCGCGCAACCAAATGCTCAAAGTCTCAGGGTCTAAAGTTTCAGCTTCAGTGTGCAGATTCAATAATTGTGTAAACATAAACTGAGACAGCACACGGACACGCATCGTGACTTGACTGTCGCTCAGTTATTAGAGCTGAAAGATGTGATCAATTCGAGAACCTCTCATTGAAATCCTGATGCATGATGGATGGAGTGTTTGTGTCGCGCAATTCAACCTCACAATCCTTTGACACCTGTTACGATATCTTGTCCGAATGTTCTCTGAGAGAAGAGTTGTGAAATTCGTTATCTAATGTGAAAGGCACGAATCACGAAACTAGCCTAGACGCTCGCAGCCTCATACTCACAGCTGTGACATCACAGCGACAAAACTTCAATGAACGTTTTTCACAGTCCGGCGTCGGTTAGTGCAGACTTTGTAGATCCAAAACAATCATTGCATGACTGTCAGAGAACAAATCGACGTACAACATCTCCAGTTGTGAAACCGTATACACTTGCATGCACGGTGAAACATCTGGATCTTGGCGACAGGAGAATTCCTGAATGAAGGGAATGGGAGCTTCATCTGCCAGTGAGTTCTAACTTGAGAGTACATACGCTTGATGAAGTTCTCCAGTCTCGTCCCTGTCGAGATGTAAAGATGATTCGCCAGATTTAAAAGGTCGGCCTCTTACGGATGACAGTCCAACAATGCACACCAGAAGAAATAATCTTACAGTCCACCGTCTGCTGCTGCTTCCCATCTTTTCCTGTCACCTATCTTCAGGAACTTAATATACACCGGCCCTATCGATCAGGCCGCATCTCCACCAAGAAATATATGGCACGTGAAGACTACAACCCCCAGAGGTCTTGAGCTGGAAAAGGATAGATCCGACGATTTCTGCTCTCAAGTCCAGGAAATTGAGTGTCCCGATTCACCAATGCACTAAACTTCCCTCCGTCCCTGATCCTGTATGCTTGTACCTCCTCCGAGTCCTCGACTGCTGAAGTCGAGAATCGATGTCGCAGAGGAACCGTCGGGTCGGCCTCCAAGCGGGGATGCGACTTCTCGTGGACTCGTAGGCCTGCAGAACGGAAATTCTGGCACTGCCCTGTTCCACTTTCTGTTCTTCAAAAGATTCCCGATTCTGCTCCCTCCCGTCCTCCAACGCACCTCACTCTCGAAGAGTCTTCTGGGAGCCGCAGTCCTGGGACAGTGCAGCCCTTGCGTGTCGCACCCCGAACTGTACTCACGATATTCCTGCCGAGCACGGTCGTTCGTTCTTTGCCAGTCAGTCGTTGATCATTCTCCGAGCTCTTCAGCTGAAGGCTCGGAGAATAATGCAAGTGCTGGGTCCGATGCAGATGCAGTCAATCGTTTGACTACAGTCCCGATTTCGCGCTCGATATTCTATCTACAGAAATTCCCGGTTTCGCTAAAGACAACAGACAATCAGACCATCGACCACCCGATGAACTTCAAACCGAGTATCTCATTTGGAATCACATCGCCGGTCAAAGTTCCGTGGATCTTACCTTCCTGCGACTCAGTTCACAGCCACTGTACTGTGCCCACCGAATTTACTGAAATCAAACGTAAAAAATTTGCAATTTCTTACGGCCCTACGACGGTCGGTCCGCTCGTTTCGTCTCCGAGATTTCATGCACCCTCGAGATTCCAAACGAGTTATAGATCGACGATGTCAACTCGTTTCATTGTACCAGGCACCTTTGGCCGTGCTGAGCTTGGACTCGACTGCATGCTTGACCGAGATTGGGCCGATGATGTTGCCGTTGTGCGGGATCTGTGAATATTTTGATACTAGCGGAGCGCTGGAGTGTCTGGAGTGGCCGCAGGTCTCTGGACATGGACATGTAGAGGTAGAGGGAGGCGTCCACCGCATCACATGGTCGGATCGTGCCGTAGGACGTGGCCCGTCGGCCCTCACGTTCGTTGCTGGAGGATGAATTGCCGGCCCCTGCAACAACAACAAGAAGGAGGAAGGAAGGAAGGCTCCTCCTCTTTCGAGCTCGGTCGTTCGCTGCGTGCTCTGCGGGCATTTGCCGTCAGTGGAATGTGATAAAATCAGATGACGACAAGCAGAGAGAAGCCGCATGCAACAGCATTTACGAATGAGCTCACTTCGATTTCGTGACTCTTGCAGACAGAGTCTGCGGATCTGAGCTTTAGATTCAGCTGGACCTGGACTGAGACAAGGGCTGCGTAGACTTAGCGAGGGCTTGGCTCTTCAGCTTGTGCGAGACAAGCTACAGGACGACGTTTTCTTCCTGTTATTGTGATTTGGACAGATCTATTTCGTTCCATCAGCTCATCTCATGAACCTCGCAGTGGCAGAATAATCTTGTCAATTTGCCATGTTAAGAATAAGACTCGGTCAGTTGTAAGATCTGAAGAAAGGGAAGTAACTCACTTGGTTCCCAGTTCACAAATTTCTTTCTGATTCTACTCTCCAACTGCAGGAGTCATTCGTTTGATTCCAGAATCGAAGTGCCCGCTATGACCTTTCTTGCAGACTCTGAACATTGCGAACCTCCACTGCACTCTGCTCCTCGAGTGACGGACGGTCTGACAACAACGCTTGGACTATAGATGGACACTGGCGTGGCTTTGCAGACTCCCTCGTCTGCTGTAAAATATTTCTACATTTGGTCCTGCCCACCCTGATACAAGTTTGACAAGCTCCACCAAGTTGTGCTTGACTTTCACGACACCCTCCTCCCAAGGCCCTCGTATCCATCTGTTTCCGTAAACCGTGAAGCTCGAGCTCAGTTGAACACTAGCCAGGTGCTAGTCATTCAGAGCAGGATTGCCAATATTTCAAGGCCTAGGGGTAGGGGGCATGCGTTCACTGAGGTCAAGCAAATATGAAAGCTAGCTGAGGAGTTATCGAAACAAAATGATCACCTTCTCGATCCTTCCTGAAAATCGGCATTTCAAGTGTACATCGCCTACTGTACTATTGATGGAGGCAATGTGGCGCTAATACGAAGCTTCCAGTCATGTTCGATACAAAAGTCGGTTGCCATAGACAGTATGGTCGCGACCTTATACACTGTGCAGGCTCAGCTCCAAGACCTCTGGGGCAGAGCCTTGATCACATAGGAATCACTGTTTTTGCTAACGAATTCAAATTATCCCGAATCTCTGCTCGACTGGAGTGCACTCGTTGGACTCTTTCGTTCTATTCTTTGGCATTGGTCTTCTTTGCTCATTCTCCGCTGCTCTGCTCTTCTCTTCTCCCAGACATCTCCGAGTCTAGAACCAATGTGCAAAGCAAAGCCAATGGTGTTCTATAAGTCTGAAGTTTAGCATCCGGAGCCTCCTGGACATATCTGTGCTTGATTGAACACAGCTGCTGACGACATGGTGAGAGGTCCAACGCCGTCGTGGTGAGCATTCCGAACGGACTCTGGAGAGTTTGCATGTCGGCTCCTCCCTCGGTGCGAGTTATACAATTCACCATATCCAATCTCACAGAAATGAGCTCACAAAACCTGCGCATCACGATCCGAGATTTGGTCTGGTGATTCATGCAATGTTTGTGTGACGGATGTATTGTGGGATTTATCGAGACAAGTAATCTTGATTGCTATGACTCTCTGCCGACGTGCCTTGCGCCTTCAGGCGACTAGACAAGAATCTCCTCATTTTGTTTCTCTCCGGCGAGCACGCACGCACGCCACTGGTCAGCTGACACACAGAACCGGCATTCTTGCCATGCCATGCCATGCCGAGATCGACGCACTGAGGTCGAAGAATTTCGAGAACAGCTGATCGATGCAAGCCAACAAACTCTGTCAATGTCCGGACTCGAGACCATGTCTGCGAGGTTCAGTCTGAAGAAGGACCCGAAGACCTCGCAAGAATGGATCCAAGGGAAGGGAGGGGCCGGAAATACTCGAGGCCTCGTCGGAAGAGTACAGGGGATCGAGAGCTGCGGGAGAGGCTGCGGCTGCGGCGTCGCAGAGCAGAATATGGCGTCGTGGCAAGGCGTGTCACTCGGTGACGATCGCATGCTGAGGCAGGCAGGCAGGCAGGCAGGTGGGTCAGCCTGGCATCGACACGGCACATGCTCGGCACCCCACGAGATTCCGGACCCTCGCTCGAGCTCTGCGTTGCTGCTTCTCGTGAGCGTCGCCTTCGTGGGCACTCACTCACTCATTCCGGATCGATCGATCGAATGAGTATCGACATCGAATCTCCATATTCACCGCGCGTCGATTTGCAGCGAGCAGGCTCAGAATTCGCTCTCGCTCTGCGGTAAGAGTCGAGAAGGAGCAGCAGCAGCAGCAACAGACATTGCTTCGTGGTTCCGGGCTCTCTGTCGAAAGGAGTGCGCGATGATGATGACGATCGAAATCAGCCTCGACTGAATGAATGAATGATCATTGCCCTCGCACCAACGGCCCAACCGACCGATCGTGACTCACCACCATCAGGCGCTCAATTTATGTCCGAACGATTCGTCGCACGACGAAAGTTCTCGTCCCGCGAGGAGGAGGAGCAGCAGCAGCAGCAGCAGCCAGAGCCTGCGAGAGAATGAGCACCCTCGTGCGCAGAGGGAGCGCGTCGGGCCATTTGCGCCCTGCGACGTTGCGGTGCGTGTGCTCTGCGCTCGTGGCTCCGGAGCCACGAGCGCCAGGCCCGCCCATCGCCGCCAAGAATGCGCCCCTCGCCCAGCGCTCGTCGTCGCCTTGGCGCAGGCAGAGCGGCAGCAGCAGCAGCAGCAGCGCGTTCTCGTTCTCGACTCTGACGGCGACGAAGAAAGCGGCGGCCGCAGCAGCAGCAGCAGCGAAGGAGAGAGTGCGAGGATTGCTGACAGTGGAGGAATTGAAGCGGCTGGTGGAGGAGGACGAGATCGAGACCGTGGTCGTGGGCCTGACCGACTGCTACGGGCGCCTGGTGGGCAAGAGGTTCACGGCGAGCTTCTTTCTGGAGAGCGCGGTGGAGGATGGAACGCACGGATGCTCGTATCTGCTGGCCACGGACATGGACATGGAGCCCGTGCCGGGGTACAGGTTCGCCGGCTGGGAGCAGGGCTATGGGGACATCCACCTGGTGCCGGACATGCGCTCGCTGCGGATCGCGAGCTGGCTCGAGAAAACGGCGTTCGTGCTGTGCGACGTGGTGGACGATGAATCGAGAGCCCTAGCGCCACACGCGCCGAGGTCGATTCTGAAGAAGCAGATCGCCGAGGCGCACTCGCTGGGCGATCTCGTGCCGATGGCGGCCTCGGAATTGGAGTACTATCTGTATCAGCAGAATTTCGAGGAGGCCAAGGAGAAGAATTACGCGGGCTTGAAGCCCGTGGGATGGCATCGCGAGGATTACCATATCCTGCAAGGCTCGCGCGAGGAGTTCTTCCACGGCCCCGCGCGGCGCCACCTGCAGGCCTCGGGCGTGCCGGTCGAGAACAGCAAGGGAGAGTTCGGCATCGGCCAGCACGAGCTCAATGTGAAGTACGCCGAGGTGCTGGAGATGGCCGATCGGCACGTCGTGTACAAGCAGTGCCTGAAGGAGCTCGCGGACCAGCTGGGCGTGGCCATCACCTTCATGGCCAAGCCTCATTTCGACCAGCCCGGGTCGAGCAGCCACCTGCATCTCAGCCTGTGGAAGGACGGCAAGAACGCGTTCCACGGCGACAAAAAATTGGGCTCCATTTCCTGCAGCGACGAGTTCCGCTGGTTTCTCGGAGGCTGGATGAAGCACACTCCCGAGCTCATGGTGTTCTACGCTCCCAATGTCAACTCCTACAAGCGCTTCATCGCCGGCAGCTGGGCGCCAACGCAGCTGGTGTGGAGTCGCGACAACCGAACCGCTCCGTTCCGGCTCATCGGATCGGGCAAATCCCTGCGCATCGAGTGCCGATTGCCGGGTGCGGACTGCAATCCCTACCTGGCCTTCGCAGCAGCTCTGGCTTCAGGGCTCGACGGCATTCGGCACAAGATTGAACCTCCCGCAGCTTTCGAAGGCGATGTGTACAAAGCCAAGAACCTTCAGCAGGTGCCTCGGTCTCTGGGTGAAGCAGTGGCGCTCTTCCAGAAGAGTGCATTCGCCAAGGCCATGCTCGGCGACGATGTGCACCATCATTACGCGCACTTTTTCGAGACCGAGCATCTTGCGCACCTGCAAACCGTCACGGATTGGGAGAGGAACCGATATTTTGAACAGATTTGAGTCGCTCCGAAGGCTTGCCTTCGGATTCATGTACAGGACTACAGATCTTGTTCTAGTAGTTACTTCTTCTTGTAGCTGTGTCCGGTTTGTAACATTGAGCTAGCACATTTCCACTCATCTTCCATTGTGTACATTGTACATTTAGGTCAACCTTGATAGTGGAAACAAGAGGTTTCCTCCGTCGAAGATTTTGAAGACGGATATGGTCCAAAGTAGCTTAGGGCTTGAAAGAAGTTCGATATCACTCGATAATGTTCAAATCGTGGTAATTAGTCAGTGCATACAAGCGATGTTTTGTACATCGTTTTTCAAAGTCTATGCTATGACTGGCTGGCTGTCTGAGGAAGTCTGAATTTTGCAACAAGCAATTCTTCATTCCTAAATTTGATGGAGAAATATAGCATGTTGAGATACAAAACTTCCAAAAACGTCCCATAGATTCATCACCATACCACAGGCTCCACTACGATGTGTTCCCATGCCTGCATACGGTAGACTGGATGGAACTTACATCAGAAAGTGCGGCAGTCTCTCTAACTACAAGGCCGTGGAGGGAGGTTGGTTGCCTATGGTGAGGGTAGGGTTTCAAGGCTCTAGGAGACTCAATCATTTTGCATCAACTGAATCGAGCACCTTCAGAGAATGTAAGCTCGGCTTTAGCCAAAGAACTCAACGAGTGCACAAACAGAACATTGACTTCGTCATCTGTTACCATTGAACATCTCCGTGCAACACACGAGTGAGTAACATACGACCAGACAACCTCTGTGGGAATCACTGCAACCTCCAGATGACGATGGCCAAGAAACCTTTTCTTTACCCCTTAAATTGGAAAACAGTTTCCGCAAGTTTCCTTGGCATACATGGTCACTAAGGGAAGGGAGAGCACCAATGTAGTAAGTGTGTTTAATCCAGTAGGAAACGAATAAATTCTTGGATCTCCCAATTAGAATGGAAGGCTGCTGACAGCTGACATCTGCAAAGAGGACTTCGGGACGACGACCTCTAATAATTGCAGTAAACTGAACTGAAGCTGGTCTCCATCTTTGACTTAGCGATGACTAAGTTTTTTCACACACAGGTGCTTAGCGTCCACCGTGGCAACCTCTGAGTCTGTCTTTTAGGTTTGGCAGCCACGTACAAGGACTCAAAACTGAGGTTTATCAGAGGTTTTGTTTCTTCTGCAGGAGACAACTATACTTTTCAGTCCAGCTTCAAGAGGCCGGATCCATCTCCTGATATATATTGATTTTGCTGAGGTCTCTTGAAAAACTTTTCATTATCTCGACCGAAAGGATATCTCAAGTCGGTGTTTCAGAATTCCACAAACTTTGGTTTCAGGAATTCACGTTTTTTATGGTCTGCGAGATTTAGTTGTACCTTGGCAGCCTTCGTGTCTGCTGGTGAGGCGTATTTCGTTGGATGAGGTTTCTCGCATTCAGTTTTGTGAAGCTTGTTGACCTATCCGCGGTGCTGGAATTCAAGCCAGTGATGGAGCTGGGCTTACCGATGAGAAATCAAGTATCTCAATGTTGTTCAAATCCATGGAGATGATCGAAGCAGATTTGCGCAAATGGGAGATCTGTGGAACCTCTGGCATCAGCTGGTATTGCTTGCACACGTCAATCTGCCGTGAAATTTGACGAATGTACCCGTCCTGCCTGCTATGGTAACACAAGACTGCGATTATCTGCAATCTCGTCTGAGGCGTCCAATTTGAGACAGTTAGATTGCCAGCAAACATGTCAATGCGTAATCAAATTTCCTCTGCACGCCGTGTCTGTCGAGGGCCCCTCCAAAAGTACCTGGTGAAGCAAGTCTCAGTAGCAGATGTTGCAAGCTCATCAGGAAGCATTCCGAGCTGTAGGTCGGATGGCCCCAGAAGTCTAGTCGATGATTGTCAAACCACAGGCATTCCGCCTGCGGACAGCTCTGTTAAGCAGGGAGGGTTGCCTGGAATCCGCATTTTGAGTTATAATCGTGTCCTAGGGCGAAATTTCACGGCAGGAATCGTGGTGGAGTCGGATACCGGAGACTTAGAAGCAAGAAAATCGAATGAAACGCTGATTAGGTCAGCAGGTAGAAACAGAAACCCAGGAAAATTCTTGGATTGCTTTAATTCGAGCAAATGGAATCCGAGCAAGTGTCGTGGGTTTCAGCGGACGTCGACGAGAGGAATTTCTTGCTCTTCCTGGAAGGAAGGGAGCAGCGGGCCTGCCGAATCAGTTGGGACGGATGCTTATGCCATTACAGAACTTGCCCTAGATTCAGTGGTCAAAATTTTTACCATGGCAAGCAGCCCAAACTACTTCCTGCCCTGGCAAAATAAACCTCAGCGAGAAATAACCGGTTCTGGTGAGCTGGCGCTTTTCGTCTGTGCTCTTGCTTTTGCTCTTGCTTTGCTCGTAAATGTCATTGTATAGAATATTGAATGGAACGCCCAGATCAGTTCTGTGAACTTTTCCTGCAGAGGAATTAGGTCTACATTTTTCTTATTCAGAGCATTCTGTGTTCTCTTCTTTGCAGTTATCGCATAGCTCAAGGTGTGTTTTCGCATGGGGCATCTTTTTGGCAGGCTTCGTCATTTCTGGGAGGCGAATTGTTACAAATGCTCATGTTGTGGCGGATCAGACTTACGTGGTCGTACGCAAGCATGGTTCTCCTACCAAGTACCGTGCAGAGGTTCAAGCTGTTGGGCACGAGTGTGATTTGGCCTTACTGAGAATACATGACGAGGAGTTCTGGGAGGGCATGCGCACACTTCAATTGGGAGACATTCCATATCTACAAGAATCGGTGGCTGTGGTCGGGTACCCTCAAGGTGGGGCTGTCTATATTTCTTTCTGCACTGTACTGTAGATTCCGTGCTTGCATTTTGTGCTCTACTTCAAAGTGAAGACATCTGCGAGTCTTGTAGCTATTCAAGAGCAATGTGCTAGCTCACAAATCATTTTCCACAAATCGCTGAACTTCATACTTTATTTTGAATCTTGAAAATGGAATAGGTGGCGACAATATATCTGTGACCGGAGGTGTAGTTTCGAGAGTGGAGCCAACACAGTATGTGCATGGTGCCGCACACTTGATGGCCATTCAAATAGATGCCGCTATCAACCCTGGAAACAGTGGGGGCCCAGCACTTATGGAAGACAAAGTTGTTGGTGTAGCCTTTCAAAACCTTGCTGGGGCTGAAAACATTGGGTACGTGTGCTTCTGGCCGGAAATCTTTCGTTCGGTGGAAGGCTGCAAATAATGTTCTTATCAAAGATCTGCTAAACCACTCGTGGAAGAAATTGAAAACAATTGTTTCAATGTTGTCTTGTTTTGTCTTGTGAACATTGGGTTCTCACAAGCTCTTATGTTCTTCAGGTACATCATTCCTGTGCCCATCATCAACCACTTTTTGGAGGACGTAGAGGAAAGAAATAAGTACATCGGGTTTTGCTCCTTGGGTCTGACCTGTCAGGCCACAGAAAACGCGCAGCTCCGAGAACATCTCAAGATGCCGTCTGGGCTTACAGGTGTTCTGGTTAACAAGATTCAGAAACTTACGGACACGAATCAATGGATTAAGAAGGACGATGTACTTCTGGCATTTGATGGAGTACCAATTGCAAATGACGGCACGGGTAAATTTTTCAGTGTCGGCAAATTCTGATGCTTGAGGTCATCTTCATCTCGTCGGCAATCTTGGGTTTAAAGATTGTCAATACATTTCATCATTAGATGGTCAATGCAGAGCTGAACTTCATAATCGAAGTGAAGAATCTGTTGTGCAAATCTTCAATTACATTTCAAAATGTCATCTAAGGGAACCAGCTTTTCTGGATACAAAGATTGTTTGTTCGATTGTAGGTGATTTATCTTCCGTACCCTTTCTGACAAAGCTACTGTTTTGCAGTTCATTTTCGCAACAGAGAACGAATCTCCTTTGATCACCTAGTATCAATGAAGAAAGCTGGAGAGACAGCCAAATTAACTGTAATGAGGGACGGCCGAGCGATAGATGTTGATGTAAAACTCGCACCAGTGAGTATTCCAAACATTCAGTATTATTCCCCTACTGATTGTGATAATTTGTTGATGCAATCAGATACTTTGGTTTATCCCTGAAGTTGAGCATGTTGCCCTTGGGAGTCTTCCATGAGGTCTTCCAAGAATTTCGAGTGGAATCTATATGCATTGTGATCTAATATGTTGGCCTTGTATGCAGTTACGCCCCCTTGTACCTATACATCAATTTGATCGTCTTCCAAGCTACTACATATTTGCTGGGTTGGTTTTTACTCCTCTTACCCAGCCCTACCTTCATGAGTATGGTGATGATTGGTACAATACGTCACCCCGACGACTTTGTGATAGAGCTCTTACAGCGACTCTCAACAAGCCTGGGGAACAGCTCGTTATACTTTCTCAGGTACACCATTCGCTTGATACGTCGAGAAATGCTTAGTATCTTATGTTATTTGAGAAGTAGAGTTTGTTTGCTTATAAGTTTGACTCCTTGGTCAACCTCGACGATTTATGTCTAAAGCTTGTCCCCCCTGCAGGTACTTATGGATGAGATCAATGCAGGATATGAACGTCTGGCTGAACTTCAGGTTTTTTCTTTTTTCTCCTTTTGAATTAAGTAGTTACTTTTTGTTGGTAGAGCGCTTCTTTTATAACCCCGAATAAAACTTTCTTTCTTATATCGACGAAAGACACATTTTTCTCTTATTTTGTTGGAAATATTGTGACAGAGAGTTTCTCTTTGCTAATTATCTTTTCAGGTCGAATGTTTGGCTGATGATATCCATCCCCACTGATAAGCAACGATCTGTGCAGGTACTCAAAGTAAATGGTGTGGAAGTGCATAATTTGAGGCATCTTACAGAGTTGGTTGAAGCCTGTAAGATGTCAAGCCTTAGATTTGACCTGGATGATGGTCGAGTTGTGGTTTTGAACTTCGAAGATGCAAAGGAAGCTTCTCTCAGGATTTTGCAACGACATAGAATACCTTCTCACATTTCACTAGATCTTCTCCAACCTCCAAGTCCTGATCAGCTTGAAGAATGGGAAACCCCTCAAAAGGTAGACACTCCAGAAGAAAGAGAACCTATCGCTGAGCATATTACATCTGTACCGGTTTGAGTCAACAATTCTTATTAACAGTTCAATAGGGCACTGAAACAAAAGTTTTCCATCGATCTTTTAAAGTTCTTTCGCAATTTTGGAAATCAGGATCTGTGTGTTTGAAGTAAGATCACATGTCTCTGCTTAGTCATAGGTAGTTGGGAGGTTGGCTTCCGGAGGCATGGCTTTCAGACTCTACATTTACATTTGATATCTGTAGGTTTCTCCCGCGGGAATTAGTCAAGCCAAGTGGCTACGGCCATTGTTATCATTGAGACTAGAACAAAGCTTCTGACCTATAAGGGACGTATGGATCAAGAGAATACAGAACTCATGACTGAACATGTATGATTACTCTTACAGATAATTTTGCAATGGCAATGGTTCCATGCTTTTTTCAAGTGGTTTGGACTCATATGATCTTCATTGTTGTACATAAACCGAAGTGATCTTTAGTCTCAGCCAATTACGCAAGAATCCACTCATAGAAACAAATTGAATCAGTTTCTAAGTTTGATCGAAGAGTCCAGTTGGATTTGGATATCAAAGTATCCAAAGTACCAAGTCTATTTAGAGAGGTAGTGCAAGATATGAAGTTATTCGCCGCGATTGGTGCATTCCATGGATGCTTGCCGATTCCGGTAGGTTGAGGTTCACGAATGAATGATATATGCATAGATGTATATATTCTAAATAATCAAAATTTTAGCTCAACGGAAAATTTGATGAATAAAAATTGAACATGTCCAATACTTGGTATTATTAATATGCATAAATATGTTCAACTTCATGGTGATAGAACATAGAAGCCTCAAAATAGGAGGAAATTTACATACTCACTAATAAAGAGTGTGTAGCATGTAGACACTAGGATGAGGATAGAGTGCTGCATATTTGTCAAGCGAGTGAAGAAAAGAAAAAGTGTGGGAAAATTTATAATGCTTCTGGAGACAAATCATATCTTATTTTCTTATCGGTACATTTTGTGCAAAAATTACCCTGTGCTTGTGTGATGTGATCAGAATTTACAATTTTCGGAATAGGAAAATGTGTAGAGTTTCGATTCAGCTAAAGGTGACTTCTATTCTATCTATATTAAACCTCAGTTTTACATTTCCAGCAGTTTTCTTACTGCATCTTATTTCCCCTATTCTAGACATTGCGATTGGCTACTGAGATACTGTCATCTTGTGTGGGAGATTATAATATCAATAGGAAGTTATAAGGATGCAAAAAGGTCAAAATGCGGATACAGAAAAAGAAGGATTTGATAAGGGGGTCGGTTTAAACACGACCAGGCTTTCAAATTCTCCTGAATATTTGTACGTTTAAATACCATTTTGAGATTTCTTGCGCAAACATTCTCGGCCACAAATAGTGCAGCTCATTAATAAGTCGACTGGATCTACGCCTACTCCGAGCCATATAGAGCTTTTTCTATTCCAGTCTATATGGCCAACAAGTTCCCGAAAAGCTCAAAGCTGCATGACTTTTACCTTTGGGCCCCACGGGCTTGATCTTATTACTAGTTACCATTTACTCAACAATAACACTCGAATTACTCGAGTCGCTGCCAATGGACCATTTCTCGATTTGTGCGTGTCATCCTTGCGCATGGGCCATGCTAATCTTCTCTGTATCGTTCCAATTTTGATGGAACATTGACGAGGATTCGTATAATGCTTTCTGCGACGAACCTAGCAATTAAAAGAGGAACGCCAAAAGAGGAAAATCACCTTTTCTTCTTCTCTATTTTGGACACTCTTGCTATTCCATGTCTTTTTATCTCTCAACTTGATTAATCTTGTGTCCTGCATGTACTTCATTCAGTTTTATATTTTAGTTGGCCTCTAGCATTATTTGCTTACTGGCAGTTGAGTATAACTCTGTCATGAAATTCATGTTGAATTCTAAGACTTGAAACTTACATTATTGCTCATACTTTGTATGTAATTGACAAGTGATTTTCTTTTCTCTAAAAAAAAGTTCACTTAGTTGAAGCCACCAAATCTTTTGCAACCATTCTCAAATCATTGATTACAACACATAAAATTATGCATATCCTCGTGTATCAATATTGGTATAAATCTACCACATTTAACTCAATCAATGTGAAACTTCACAATAATATAAATATCATCCAAACTTGATAAAAAATTGTTTAGATAATAATTGTGTATCAAAATTTATTGCTATTGTACTAAAGTATTCTTTGCTCATTGTAGTGAATGTCGTAGACTTATAACAATATTGATACAAAAAATAAGTAACAAGGAGCGAAATGCTTCACCAAAACACAATTTGAAAAGTGGCTGCATCCATATTTGAGTTGCGGATGAATACATTCAAAAGATCGTTTTGTACTAGTTATCATCATTTTGAGTATCTAGTGATGTTTTTTGGTCTCACTAATGTACATGCTATATTTTAGAATTGATAAATGATGTATATGATCCTTATGTAGAAAAATATGTTATTTTTTTTCTGTATGATATTTTAATATATAGCAAATTTTTGTAATGATCATAGACATGAAATATGGATACTTAAGGTTTTACCCCCAAAAAAAATTATATGTTAAAGTTTCAAAATATGAATTTTGGCAAGTAAGAAATAAATTATTTGGGTAGTGGATTTACAATAGAAGAATGAATAATAAAATAGACATCATTCAACATTGAACATTTCAGTATCAAAATCAACTAAAGAAATTTCTACTACTTACCAATTTTTATTTTAGATTTCTGAAAAAAATTCTTGCGCAAGTCTGAACATCTATGTTAGATAAAGAAAAAACATGAAATTAAATAATATTTTTTCAAACATCAACATGTTTTGATACATGCATCTACAATCAAACAATAGGACACCGATTGATTCATCAAGTGGAAACTAATGAGTTAAGTATAATAGTGGATGACATATCTTAATAAGAATGAAATGAAATATAACATAAAGTTGTTTTTTTCTATTTGTTGTAGTAGATAGATATCATACAAGGGAACGAAAAAAATTAATCATTGTGTAAACCAAAAAAAATTAAAAGAATTATTTAGATGGCAAAATGTCTATGATGGCGACAGATCATCAATCATTGACTTATTTCAAAATTTATAAAGATATGCTTAAATCACAGTTTGATGGACAAAATAACGTCACCATTTCAAAATGAAAAATCTATACTTAAAAGAAAAAAACAACTTATGAATGCTTTTACAAAAAAGTCATATCTTAATCATATTGCAAAAGTTAAAATTCTTGTCCATTTGTGGAGCAAAATGATATGTCACAAAAGAAGATCAAAAGAGCAAAAGAGCAAAAGAGCGATGCAGGCTAGAGAAAGATTTGAGTATTGATGTTCTGCATGTTTGAGATTAAAAGATACACATAATAATTTGATAAAATATCATGATTTAGTTAATATATGAAAGTGAAAAATACCTTGAATAGCATACAATAAATGTAATATAAGTCCAAAATACTGAGATTATGAAGTTTTATTTATAAAGTTGTGTTTGTTTATCATCAAAACCAGACAAGTAATTAAATATTGACAGGTTTCTTATAATCTTTTTTTATTTAAAAACAAAAATGGAAATATTTATATTGAAATCATCAACTTAATGTTTTTAAAACTTCCACTTGTGCATGATGCCGGCAAGAAACATGTTGTGCAAATTCATTCAACTTTTGTCTTTCTCCCATTTCACAACAGAGTAGTAGGATTTGATCAAGCATGTGTTTGTAAAATCCGTTGTTAAACCTCCATTAAAATTAGTCAATATAACAAATTGGATGGAATTGTTATTCTTGATTGATTTAATCAAATTCTATGCATTGTTGAAAAATGTATTTTTGATGTGATTTTGAAGTGATATTTTCACAACAGGTTAGTTTTTTAAAATGTTCAGCAATTTTTTGTGTTCTTTTTTTTATTTAATTGATATATTGTAGTGACTAATGTTTTTTGACATGCGTTTGAAACTATTCCAAAATATGACAACTGTATTGTTGAAATCAATTAACTTTGATGATGACAATATACTTGCCAACGTCCTTGTTGATTTTCAGTTTGAAAAGCTTCATAATGTTTGTCTTTGAGATTGATTCCAATTCATTATTGTATTCATCCAACTTTAACTTGAAAAACAAATTGTCAACAAAATCATTCACTATTTTCATGTTGAGAAAGTTGAAAACAAGAGCTTCAGATTTGCAATCCATACATAAATGTATCTCATGGTTAAGTTTTGAATCTGAATATTTTTTCTTGTCCTTGAAACACAAATGCTAATTTGTTGCTTAATTGCTTTCATTTTGCATCTCAAGATGGTTTTTGTATAATCCTTATAACAAAAATAAGTGAAATTGTTGAATATTTTTAATGTGTTTTCGCTTCACACCAGCATCAATTCAATTCTCCCTTTCATTACAGACTCAAAATTGACATTGGACAAAATTCATCTTCTTGCCGCAGTCAAAATACTTTGCACTTTTGAGTATGTATTGAATGTAATGTACTTTACTAAATTTAATTTCATGTGACATGAAACTTTTACAACGTGTAGCGATCCAACACACGTCGCATTTGCTCTATTCGTCCGCCACCCACAACGTAAACTTTACGCAATGTGTATAAACTTTTAAAGATTTGATCTTAGTGAACAATAAAAATATTCATTTTATTAGCATTTTTTTATATATTTTTTTTACTTTTTTCAAAACAAAACTAACAATATGAATTGTAAGATCAATTGTTATATATATATGAATTAGTAGTAAAAGTAGCCAATGAATTGATCATGATTATCTTAGTTTTGACCAAGTTTAGTTACTTATGATTAAGTTATGCCATTATTTCTATACTTGATTGAATAATTAGAATAATTTTAGTAGATTTGAATGAGCAATAATATTTTTTTTTCTATCAAAGTTTGCATTATAAGAGTACAAGACTTTAACTACATGTTACTTTTGATTGCTTTGACTAGTAATGAAAGTTTTATTGGTAGACTAAGCCTAAAGTTATTTAAATGGCAAGTGGAGATTTTAGAACTTTGAAGGTTGTCACCTTCATCTAGCGATAAAAATTCTTCTAGAAGATTTAGATAGTTCAATGTCATGTTGCCACTTAATGAAAATTAGTCAAACCTATCACAATTATAATAAAAGTAAGTTAGATGATAAATACCATGTGTTACAATGATAATTTCTCAGTTACTATAAATAAAGAGGTAGAAAATAGACTTTTAAAAAAGTCAAGAGAGTTTAGTGTGTGAAGACTTATTTCTTCATTAGAAGTTTGAGGTACATTATAACTTTTTGAATTAATGATGAATTATTGTATCAAGTAATAAGTGAAGAGCTTGTGTAAATTGATGTTT